AGTCCGCAGGTAAAATGCATCCGCGCTGCCCCTACTCGGCTGACTCTGGTGCCGCTGTCGCTGAAGCTGTCTGGGACGCTCTTCACCAGTCCACACCTGGTAGTAGTGCGGAGAGAGTTCAGCAACTTTGTGCTGCCCACGCCCATGCGATCCGCTGCCTTCCTGCCCGGCCCCCTCTTCAAAAACGGCAACCTTATCTGTCTGAAGTTGCTGCCGGCCTTCTTGAAACTCTTCGTGATGCACGGGCCGAGGTTAGGCGGCTTCGCACCCTCTATCACCGGCAACTCTGTTTGGTTGCCTTTCGGACATGGTGCCGCCGCCGAGTGGAGTCCCCAGCCCTCCCCTGGGAACTTCATCAGGTCCGCATGATGATGGCGCATTTTGCACACGTTTGTTTCCGGCTTCGAGCTCAGGCTCATGCACAGGCACGGCTTGATAAGCAGGCCTACTTCGAATCCATGCTCCTCGGCGCAGTCGATCACTGGCATGCCACCGGGCGCCCTCTCGAGGCGGTGGCCAAGCTGTCTTGGGCGTCCAAAGGTGCCAAGCAAAAACGTGATGTTAGGGCCGCAAGTGGGTTTGACATCGATGAGCAACTCCAGCTACAATTCCAGCAGCAGGAAGATGGCCGCCCGGTGTCGGATGCCCAATTGAGTGCAGCCTTTTCTCTTTGGGCTGCTGAACCGCGTGGCGTTTGTCTTTCGGCCTTACCCACCCTTCTTGATGTTGAACACATGTGTCGACTCCAGCGCCGAGGCAAGGCCCCTGGCCCGGACCACATTCGTAATGAGGTCTGGCGAACCCACCCCGATCGCGCCGGCCGATGGTTGTGGCCTATGTGGGTTCACCTCGCTTGGGGCGAGGCCGAGCCACTTCACTTTAAAGCTTCTACTGTGGGAGCTCTCCACAAAAAAGGCCCAGCTCACATTCCCGCCAACTTCCGGTCCATTGCCATGCTGAATGGAGTGGCTAAGTTGTGGCACTCCCAACTTCGGGCCACCCTGGGTCAGGAAGTTATCGCTCATTACTTTCCGACCCAGCTCGGGGGTAGGCGAGGCGTGGACACCGGCCTTGCCCTCACTGTCTTCCGCTCTGCTGTCGACTTGGCTTCCGTTCATGGCCGGTCCTGGGCTGCCTTGTTTGTCGATATTCAGGCCGCCTACTATGAAGCAGACCGAACCTTGCTTTTCCACGGTCGTGACCTTGAACCAGCTCTTGCGGGCCTGCAGCTGCCTCGTCATGTTCATGGCCTGATTCAGGATGGCGTCCTAGCGGGTCTCGGGGTTCCCGCTGACCAGATTGCTCTCCTGCGTGACTGCGTTGAATGCTCGTACTGGCGCCTTGTCGGCCAGCACCAGGCTATCATGGCAGGTCGAGGGTCCCGGCCCGGGGACGGACTGGCCGATGTCCTGTTCGGAGCCTTGTTTGCAGTGATTTTACAGTGCCTCCATTTTGCGCTCAAGGCTGAAGACATTGTTCATGCCGCTTCCTCTGATGCCCTTGGCCGACCTGATGCATCCCTTCAAATCGCATGGGCTGATGACCTGTGCCTGCTTGTTGATTTCATCCGAGCCACTTGGGCTGTCTCGAAGTTGCGTCGCCTTTGCACTATTGTTCTCCAAGTTTTCGAAGCCTTTCGGTTCCGCGTCAACCTTGGAGCAGGTAAGACCGAAGCGCTCGTTCACCTGCAAGGAGCGGGGGCTAATGTTGCCCGCAAGGATCTCTTAACCCCTGAGCCCCTTCTTGCCCTCAGTGATGGGAGAGGCATTAGGGTAGTCCCTGAATATAAGTACCTCGGGGTTGTGCAGCGCTGCCGTGACACTGGCCGACGGGATGTCGAGGCCGCCGCCGCGCGTGGCAACTCTATCTGGACTCAAGCCTCTGGACTTGTCCATTCTGAGAAGTTGCCGTGGATGCTCAAGTCCGTATGGCTGCAGGGAAGGACCCTCCCTGCAGCGTACTCCTCCCTTGCCACTACTTTAGCTCGTTCTGAACGAGCCTGGGGACCCCTGAATGGTTTCTACGACAAATGCCTTCGCCAGCTCGTCGGGTCTTGGGATGCTGGGCACCATGTGGCCTCAGTCCAACTGCGAGCCTGTACAGGGGTTCTTGATGTTGAATGTGCTACGGTTATCGCTCGTGTGCGCCTGCTCTGCCGCATTGCCTCGGGCCGTTCCCCTGAGGTCTTTGAATTGTTCCAAGCCAGCTGGGATCGCGGCGGGGAATGGTCTTCCCTCCTTGCTGACGCGGTGCGGCGTGTTTGGCCGGCCTGTGGCCTACCGGCACTCCAGACAGGCGAGCCTACCCTTCTCTGTGTGCGCCGGCATACCAAAGAGATCCTCTCGGCCTGTCGCCGGATCAGTCGGTCCGGCACTATGCTGCTGGCTCTCCATCGGGCGTGGAGAAGTCATGGCGGTCCGCCACCCAAGCGGGTGATTGGTCTCGCGTCCCCTCACATATGCCCGGAGTGTGGTGTGACTCTCCCTTCGGCGCATGCCTTAGCGGCCCATGCCCATCGACTTCATGGGCGCGTTGCTCTGTGCACCCAGTACACGTTGGGGACGATCTGTCTGTGGTGTATGGTCGAATTCCATAATGCTGCGCGTCTCCGGTACCATCTTTTGCACTCACCGGACTGCGAGCACGGGCTTCGGTGCTGTGTGGGCCCTGTCTATGAGTATGGTACAGGCACCAAACGCCGCGGCAAACAGGGCCATGCCAGGGCCCCGGTTTTCCGTGTTGCAGGCCCGTGTAATGCTACCGCGGCACAGCGTCGTGCCGCCGAGGAGGGGCGTTGCTGCACGGACGAGGAGCTCGCTGCTGAGTTACGCACTATCGCCCCTGGTCCGAGCTTCTCCGAGGGCACTCGCTCCTCTCCTGTTGTGCCCTTTCGCCGTGTTGGTGGGTACTCTACTCTTCCCCCTGGCGAAGAGGCTAGTACGATCCCGTGCCCTGAGGTCTTGCACTCACCACATGCTCCTGTTGCTTCCTCCACCGGAGCTTTGGACTTTGGTTCACCCATTACCTCGGTTCGGCTCTCTTCCGATGACACCGCGGCTGCTTCTGCTCGGTACCAGACGCATCCAACGGAAAGGTTCTGCACTGTCTATTGTTTCGACGAGGCCCCTGGCGCCTCGTCGTTCTGCGCCCCCTCTTGCCGATGGTGTGCGGTGCCTCCCGCCATCTGGTGTCTCCCGCCATCGTGGGCGCGGTGCTGGAAGCTCTTTCTTGCCCTTGAGTCGCTACACCCGTGGGCAGCTGAGACTTGGAGACTCTCTGCCTTTCTGCGCCAGGAGGAACGCCCCTCTCCAAGCGCCACACTCGGATGCCTGACATGCTTTGAGCAGATCGCGGCACAGCGGATCCTTTTCCTGCGGAGACTGCTCACCTGTCTCCACTTGCTTCGTCAGATTAAGGCTGGAGCTGCTCTGTGGTGCGCTGTTCCCTTGCCTGGCGCCTTCTGGGAACTTCTGCGCCGTGTCGTACCTCACGCTGTGGGTACATCGGCTGTCGCCGTGCTTGGTTTTGGCACTGTCGTTAGCCTCCCTGCGGTCGCCCCGCGGGCTCTTTCCTCTCTTGCCTCGGGCTGGCTCTCTTTGGCCTCTCCCCGTCGCTTGGCGATGCCGCACCAGCTTCCCTTGTAGTTTTGCGGTCCGAGTCCTTACGCCTGAGGCGTAGGTCTCGCCCCGCCGTCTTTTCGCTTTGCATGTAGGGCTGTAAGTTCCCGCTTTTCCAGGACCGCGGCCTCGCCGCTTTTCGGTCCGTCTCGTTTCTTGCACAGGACTAGAACCTTCTAAGCAACGAAGAAGAAGAAGATTTAGGGTTAAGGCTTTTAGGGCTTTCAGGGCTTTAGGGCTGTTCGGGGTTTAGAGGTTTAGGGACTAAGGGTTAGGGTCGGGTTTCCTCACTTCCTCACTACAAGGTACTGACAACACGCCTGGCTAACCGAACAGAACTGCATTGGACAGTATAGGTGAGCCTAGAAGCCAGCAATCATCCTGAGCATGTGGGTACTATACAGGTCACAGGCAGCATCCATTCTGCATATACATCGGCCAGCCTGCGTAAGCCCTGAGATCTTGTGTTGATCACCATGACGTGTTTCTTGCATTGTACTGTATGGTAAACTCCTCGTCCTCGTAGTAATCTAATTGGTAGTGATCGTGCAGAACAGGCTCCAGCGTACAGTCTTCTAGGTGGTACTATCCTGTCATACCTGCGTCCCGTATTCCATACATGTGCAGTACGAAGTCAGTGGTGCACTGCAGTATGTCGTTTCATTTCCTTAGACACACTGCTGGAAGGGTCCATTACATGATGCTCCGCATAGTCGCCGTCTGCTGGATGACTATTAGTTCATCTTGAGAGTCTTGCTGCCTTGGGAGCTGCCTTTTTCGCCAGTCCGAACATGTAGCGGTTCTTTTGTCGACACGGGGTTCACACAGAGCTATAAGCCTTAAGCCGTACTCAACCCTAAACTGTGTTTTGTCTATGTTTCCACGGTCCTCCTCAAGTTCTGGACACGTGCTTTTTTTGACGTATTGGCTTAGATTCTTTTGCCACAGCGTACCAGCGCCGCAGTTATTTGCGACATAGCCATCCGCAGGGGAGTTTGGCGTGCTCTACCACAGTTTGAAGTCATATGTTCCGTAGCTACTTGGTAGTTTGTCTTGAGGTTAAGAGCAGAAGCCCAAGTGCCAAGAGCAGGACGGTTCGAGTCTTTGAGCCCTCAGCCCCGAAGGCAAACAGCGAGGGCAATACCTACAACTCACCAACATTCAAGCTAGGGGATTCTGGTTGAGCAACGAGGCTTTGTAGCTGTCTGTGACTCTAGGCAACGTTTCCATTACAAGCATGTTGGTGATTGGGTTTGGGATGCCAGCGTGTTCCCAAGAGGTGAGGCCGATTGTAGGTTCAAGCTGTCTGGACTTCATCCCACACCCTCAGCCCCTGTTACAGCCAGCTTCACACCCAAACTCCGTCGCAGCATCGGCTTTCAGGCCGCGTAAGTGGCCCTCAGCTGCTGTGCCGTTCTCCTCGCTGGCGCTTGGATGGGCCTTTCGCCTCAGATAAAGAGAGTTGGGCATTTGCATAGAACCCTTAAACCCTAAACCCTAAACCCCTAAACCCCTAAAGATGAGGAGAGCTCTTCAGACCCAATATGAGCCGATGAGCAGCTCGAGACTCTGGCCTTAAGAAGTTCAAGCTGTACCTAGGGCTTCAAAGCGAAGTCCTTCCTTCCATCAAGAAGCTCTTGCTGAGGACTCAGAACTCAAATCGAAAGAAAGCTTCTTTGAGGATGAATGTGATATTAAATATACATCAAGAGTAATTTCCTGCATGCAGTGCCAGAGCATTGGGGCCTTACGATTAGGGGTCTCAGGTCAAGGGAGTTTAGGGTTTAAGCGTTCAGGCTTCGGGATCTCGGGTGTATTGTAGGGGTCTGTGATCTAAATCCTCAGTTGCCAGTTTTACGACTTGGTGTCACCGCTTCTGCAAAGCTACGATTCCCAGATGTCTTTTTGGCGATTTCGACTGCTTGCCCCAATGAAAGCAGTTCCAGGATAGTCATTGAAGCGCGAGGTTTTCGGGGTTGTGCTCGATCCTGTGGCCGAGGAAAGCCCTGTTCGGAGGCAGCTTAGTGCTTGAATGCTTGCCACAGGCTGTCCACGGTCTATGCCCCCCACGCATCCACATTAGTCCTTGTCACAAGAGTATTTCTGATTGCGTAAGCGACAGCTAGGGAGAGCGGGGGTTATATAGGGGCCTTAATAATTACTGGGGGTTCCTTAATATAAGTATACCTAAACCCCTATTCTAATCAATTAGGCCCTTACATTACATTCATACCTTGACTGTCTCGTGCTTGGAAGCCAGCAGCTTGAGCTCGCTCGTTTAAACGGCTTTCAGAGCCAGGGACTTCGTGATACTTCCTTTGGGTTAGTGGGGAATGGAAGAGTGGTAGTAATACTTTTAATTATACCCCATTCCTCCATTCCCTACTAACCAGAGGTAAGGATAAAGGCACCCCAGCAGGGGGTGGCTTGGTGCTGGTATTGGTCAGTGGTCTGTTTGCAATTGAGCCGCCTTTTGTTTTTCCGATTCTCTGGACCACGATCATACCGTTCAGACTTCAACTTTGGCGAGACTTTTCCCAAGCCTTTCAAGCCGAAACCTTGACACCATTGCCTCTTTGGCCCCGAACCCCCCGCGAAGCCTAAACCCTAAACCCTAGATTCTGAGCCCAACTCAACCTGAGGCTCTTTGAAGCCGATGCTATGGGAATTCATGCGCCTCGAAGGCGCGAGAAGATGCCCCAGACACAAGCGGAAGCCGGCGAAGAAAGGATGCCCATTGGGTATTGGGTAGGGTTGAGGTTTGGGCGGGGGGCATTTAACCGTTGTCTTCTAGAGCTAGGGGTCGAAGCGATCTTGGTTTGGTCTGCTTCAAATTGTCTCGCTGCACTTGTCATTTCCAGAGGGACACGGGTCTCACATGCATGTCGTCTCTTGCAATATATACATACGCGGGCACACATACATACTCTTGTGCCATCCAGTTGCTAGGTGGTATCTGCGAAAAAGTCCGGATGATCGTTCATCAGCCATTCCAAGCGATCCGTAACCATGTCCCTCATGCACCACCCTAGCCCAAAATCTGGAAACTCCTGATCCCGAGCTTGTGCCAAGGTTGGGGGGACATGTGTTTCCGGCCCCATGCAGGCTGGGGTGTTTCAGACCAGCGGAACTGAGCACATCGAATTGTTGTCCCGGATCCTTATTAACAAAAGAGCAAACTTTGGGGCTTCCCCTAGACCCTAAACCCGACAAAAGGGAACACAAAACCCTAAATCACAGGAAAATCCCGAAGACCAAAGCTTGCTTTACTTTCATTTAGGTATATCCCGAAGCGGCTGAACCCAGGTCTGCAAGGCAGATTCAGAAAGAAAGCCCTCAAAGTAAGGCTCGAAGAACCTGCCATCTGAAAGTAAGATTGGGAAGTCCACATACTCATAGGCAGGTTCGAGCATTGACGGCATACCTTCTTGTTAATGCCCATATCCGTACGAGCAAGCTTCGCTATTGGTCGCAGCACGAGTAACCGGGGCATCGTGAGCAGCTATGACGGCGGGAGTAATCGTAGCAGCAGCAGCAGTAGTAGTAGCGGCGTTAGCACAAGCAGGAACAGCAGAGGTAATAGAAGTGGTCGTGGCAGTTGTGAGAGCAGACACATCCGTCTAGCCGCAACTAGCACCAAATTGTACAGCGGCAGTTCGCTATCGATGTGCTGAGTGATGTGTAGAAATTAAGCCAGCAACGGTTGGCGTCACGAATTGCGATCGGGTGCAAATACAATGATGAAGGTTACAGAAAGTGCAGTGCTCGGTCAATGCAGTTACTCTTGTCATCATCGACACATTCATAGAGAACCCATATGAATGCCTCATGGGACTCTCAAGGAACCCCTCGAGAACGCTAAACCCTGTACAGTGGTGGTCACCATCTTCATCTCGATATTCATAGTTGCCTTGTACTTGCGACATCGCGATGGCCCAGTCTTGATTATCCTGATGGTTAGATGTAAGCCCATAAACCCTATAGCTCTAAACCCTGAGCGCTAAGTCCTTGCACCCTAAAACCCTAGGCCCCACTGCACTTAGCAACAAAAAAGAACCCAAGCCCCTGAGCCCAAAGCCCTGAACCCTAAATGCTCAACTGTGCCAGCCGCAGGCTGGGCCTCTACAGCCCTACGGTCGCTAGGCACAACTTCGAGCGCCATTGGACCTAGGGACGCAAGGTTTGAGGGTTTCGGGCCAGTTCCACGCTGGAAGCCCTAGGTCTTAGTATCACATGGGTGGTTGTCGAAAATTATGGTCCCTTTTTGGGTCCCTATTATAATGCGGCAACTAGTATTGAGGGTACCTGAAAAGCAACCTTACTTTTGACAACTACCCGTATAGTGCAAGCATGCGGCCTAATGGGTCTTGGGTTCCACTCCTAGGTTTCGGTGGGATTCCGGAAGTTCGCAGGTTGTTATCGATGACGCACCAAGGCGGGCATATGCACGCGATTCCATCCCCACGGGGATGATGAAGTGATTGGCACTCTTACGCAGAATCCTTGAAGCATCTTGTTTCAGTTGCTCGAGCTTTGATCAGTGCAACTGCTAGGGATGTTGCGGGCCCAGAGTTTCAGGTGCTAAGCCTAGACTCAAGTAGCTCTAGTGGCCGTAGCGCGCTTCGGATGGAATCAATGCTGCAAAAGCCGGGTCGTCGGTGTTTGTTGGATGCAGAGCTCGATACGATTGAGATATTCCCGGCTGGGTGTTTGCCACTGTGTCCTCGTGCATCTGGACTTATCTTTTCGGGGCGTCTTTCGGCGGGTGGGCGGCGGTGGATGCTCTTGTTTCGGGTAACATGTCCCATTGTCTCTGGGGCAAAGTTGAAGCTGCGCAACAGGAGAAGACTCGTGGACAGCGTCTATTACCCCCCCCCACCCCCTCCGCGCGCCCTCCCCTGCATACGGTGCAGCACGGGGGCAGGCTGCAGGCCTTAGACGAATGAATAAGATCAACAGAAACTGACCAACTGAGCCGGACAGCATTGGATAGATTACAGTTCAGTACTAGTAGTCCCACTGCAGATCGGCAGCCTTCAGCCATGCAATCGACAACTACATCAGCAGCTTGTGCCACAATGAGACATGAGCCGCATCGTGAAGTGAACCCAAAGCCCGCACTGCTCACAGCTACACAGAACGAAGTTCATACACACAGCATCCATTGCTAGTTCTGGCATTGCATTTGCCAGCTATGATGTCCTTGCGAAGGAATTCCAGGTTTGATCGCTTGGGGTGTGGGATTTGGCAAAGAAACTATAGCTGCGAAGAGTCGCGCCTGACGATTTCGGGTTCACAAAGCTCGAAGGCTGTAATTGCAGTGCATTTGGCTCCGCATGAATTCGGCAGCTGAGCCAGCCAAGGAAGTGAAGACTAGCTTGACAACCATCGCTATAGTAAGAATGTACTACATGATGTTAGGGTTTAGGGTTTAGACTGAGCAGCCACAACGGCCATAGCCAGCAAGAGCAGGAATATCAGTAGCAGTGTTCATGGTGGGGAGTGCAGTCATATCAGCAAGAGTATGCAATCAATGATCTCAGCCATGATGCCCAGTTGAGTACTTGACCCTCATAAAGCTCGACATTTCCAAGACCGAGTGAACCGAAACAGAAGGCGCGCCAGCACATTGTAGAGGGGCCTTAATAACTAGAACAATGTTTCAGGTAGGTTACCCATGCTCTTGTTCTAGGCAGGAACCCCAAAAAGTATTGGCAATTGCCTGAGCCCCTGTAATCATGCAGCAGAGGTCCCCCCAGATCCCGACTTAAATCGGCTCCAGTCCGTATCCCCTTGCATCCGCAACGCTGGTCAGAGTATTCCGTTTTGAATCACCTTGCTGCATTGTTGTGGGACTGTACTGGATGTGAGGATTTTGCTTGTGTTTTTGCTTCTTGTTTCAATCCTGTACAGATCTGTTTGTGCTGCATACAGGTATTTGTGTTCCTTTCTTCGACGTTTGAAAAAACCAACTTGACACAAGCTCAACAAGCAGGGAGGAGTGAACCACTACCAGTCATCTCATACTGCTACTAGCATCGCTTGAACTCAGCACGATTGGGTGTCTCCATGTCTTCACTCCCTTGTAAAAATGCTGGCGTGCGATTTGGTCCACAGGGAATTTGGGGTCACCACCCTAAACTTGAAGCTTAAGTCTTAAACCCTTCGCCCTGACTTCGTGGTGGAGTACTTTCTTCTGGGCGCCCTATCGGCGCCTTGGATTATTCCGAGCATCTGAGCTGCAGAGCTGCAAGATATGCATCCCCTCGACTATCGTAGTTTCTACCCCCAGGCGGAAGTCGAGCATCCCAGGGCACTCTGGTTGGGTGCAGAAATCATCAGCGCTTTTCTTGGAGCTACTCTTCCACACTGGAATACTATGTTCCGTCAGGGTCTAGATTCAGATTGGGCTGGCATTAACAGGTCCGGCATGAGGTTTGGCCCGTACCATTTCAGGAAGGCTCGGCCCAGAATGCCTCGCACATCAAAGAGCCGAAATCAATCCAACCTCAGAAAGCCACAAACAAACACGGTTTTTTTACTAACCATGTAGGCCAATGTAGGCCCGTCCAGCAGGAAGATTCGGACACTTTAGCCCGGACCGTGTGCTGGGCTGGCAGCTCTATTTGGCCCTCCCACCGGGGCTCCGGCTATGATGGTCAATGAACTAATGACCTGGGGACTCCATGTGCTTCAGAGCATGCGAACCCAAGGAAGCAAGAGACCGTAGACAAGCCTGACATAGCTATGATGCCTCTCGTCATCAACGGTAGGCGCCCCGTTAGTGATATTGCTCGTAGTAGGTATCGGCTAGTTTGAGCTTCGGGCAGTAGCACGGTGAGTCCAGGGTTTAGGGCGCTTTGGAATATCTGGGCATTTAGCACAGGCAGCAATGTGCCTCGGAAGTACAAGAGACAGGACCCGAAGGTGGAAGGCTCTGCTCCCAAGCGATCTCTCCCGAACTCTGTCGGGCAGCAGTCAGTAATGTCAAAGTCCAACTTTTCTCAGCTCTCAGCACCGAACCATTCCGAACAAGTTGCAAGGTCAAGTAGGCCGATCCCTGAACCCTAAACCCTGAACCCTAAACCTTAAACCCTAAACCGCGATGGTAACGCAAGCCAGTTTCCAGAGAAATGCTGGCGTGCAAGGAGTCTTCAGGGTTGCACCAGCCAGTGAAATGCTGCCTTCAGGAACTTCAAGTTCCGGGAGTTCATCACCTCTTCTTAGCTTGAAAGGAAATGTCATAATCACATATATATATATATATATACAGATGTATATATATATATATATATATATGTATACATAAGTATCCTTGTTCAATGTAACAACTGTGTTTGTTCCTGTGGCCTCTGCGCTTCTCAGGGAAGTTGTCAATCGCTTTGTTTGTTTAGAGGGCTCGAACTCACTGGCAATGTAATGCTGCATCCGCATCAATTCAAGACCGGAATGCGCAACCGCCAAGCAAAAAGTTTGAGCTGCAAGACCACCTTGGTCTACCCCGAAGTTTGTTCGACTGTTGGAAGCCAGGTTCAAAGCAGTCTTGTGAACTATTGCCTTGACTTGAACCCAGTGTTCATGCCGTTTATGCTGATCCAAGACTGTCGCCAGCAGTGTACATTGCCTATGCTGTTACAATCACGACTGACATTCCGAGCTTGCTGGTTCTCAAGTACTACTAGTGTGAAGTAATATTCTTATCTGTTGCACTAGTAGTTGGAGGAGTAGTAGCAGTGGTACAGATAGCAAAGTGGGGCTAGTACTAGAACTAACAGTAAAGGTAACAGGAACAGGAGCGGAATCACGAGTTGTAGATCTAGCTCTACTACCATCACGACGAGTTTGTGTTGAATATTTAGGACAATCAAGCTCTGTGTGGCTCAAGCAGCTGTGGGCAGTGTCATGGAGACAAGCGCTAAGGAAGCCGTTCCAATGCTAGTGTCGAACAAGCTTGACGCCTTCAAACGGCTTCAACTCGATTCGAGCCCTGCATGTCAAAAGCTGTTCAACTCTTGAGCAAGCAACATCTGTTTCTGCCATAAATACACCACAACTCAACTCAACCCAGGGAGTGCTACAACACTCAGACGAAACACCCTTAACCCTCAAGCCCTAAACCCCCGGGCCCGGAATCTCAAAATCCGCACCATCGCAACACCTCTGAAGTTACTTCTACTAGAGTTCCTTTGGAGATCATCACGGGGTACGAGTTTCCCACATGATACTATCATACTACATGGTACTACGTTACGTTACATAAAGGTATTGACACATTCCGACCTGAGCATCCTACGGGCCGGTGTCATTATGGTCTGGACTCCCGTCAAGCTCCTCGGCTGCCCTCGGTTCAATGGAGGGTCAACGGTTTGGGGTTTAAAGCTCAGGGTTTGCCGTGGACTCGTGCGTAGGCGACAGTATCTTGCGACCGGGCTGTGTCAAGTGGTTCATCTCCCAACCCATGCCGAAAACGGCGACCCAAACCTATGCCTGGTTTGATTTAGGCCTCAGCACTTTGTTCATTTTCTGCGGCCAAGACGCCTTCGGCAGGGACGGGGTGGGGCAGAGCAGGGCAGCGCACTCCATGGCCAGGCAATCTGCTCGCTGGGCCCTCCTGGGTGGGTTTCGGGGAACTTGTTCCGGTACCGGGGTGCTACGGTACTGGTCGGCCTTTCGCGAACGCAAAGCGTATGCCTTGAGTTTAGAGTTCAGGGTTTGGGGCTTAAGGTTTATAGGGTGTAGTATTCAAGCTTTAATATTTACGGGTTTAGCATTCAGGGTTTAGGGTTTAGGACCCATGGTCCATGGTTTAGGATCCAGGCTTCGTTAGTGCTTCAGGGGCTTGGAGTGCTCACTTGGGTCCACTTGGGTCTTGGGAGCCATGTCAGAGCTCCCGATGTTGCAGGTGGCACCTGGAGCTGAGCCTTTGTTTTGCGAGGGGTTTGAGGACTTAGTAAGTAGGTGTTATAACTACCCCAAAAGGGATCTTAATTGGGGGTTACACTAGGTTCTGTATAGGAGGTTTCTTGTCTTTATTGCTTAGGGGTTCTCGAGCCCCTTGGGCGTGTACAAGCCATGAGTTGTAGTGTATGACATTGTGGGTCCACAGGGGCTAGAATATCGCCCGGAAGGTGTTGGGGCTTCGGGTTTCCAGGTCGGGCATTGGCAACACCGCCCACCAAAGCAAGGAAGCTGCTGGGTAATCTTTTCCTGCTCTGATTATTCTGGCTGGCAGTGTTTCTATCGACAGTGTTGACGATTATAGCGATGATGATGACGTCTTTTGTAGTCGTGATGATGACGGTGATGATGATGGTGATGATGATGGTGACGATGACAGCATATCATGTTTCTGTCAGTATCACATTACCATTCGCCATCGCCGTTCTATTTTCCGACCTACAACTGCGGATGCTGCTGCTGATGCCTGCTTGTCAAGCTTTTCCATAACCATAGCATGCTGAGGCTTGAGGGTTCGCGCCACTTGCTGTCTGTGCCCTCGGCCGCATACAAGGTTGGAACCTCGTAGCTTAAAGCCTCGACCATGATACTTCCGGGCTGCAGGAAGTCCTGTAGGGCATGTGGGACGGGGGCTTCCTAGCTCGCCGTCGCGATCCTTGGTCGTGTGAGCAGTTCTTCGGAGCTTCAGGTGCCCTTTCCTTGTTGCATCGGATTCCGATGTGGTGCCAGGGTGAAAGGTACAGTTCTTGGATCTGCATATGTGGGTTCTTCGGAATGCGGTCAGCGGGGATCTTCGAAGCCGGGGGTTGGGAGGAGGAAGCTATCCATGGCCACTGTAGCAGCCCTATCCCAAAGCCCTACCCCAAACCGTCACCGTAGCAGGTGACTGAAGAAGAAGTGGGAGAGAAGCCAGTGAAACTCGTCGCAGACTCAGCCCAGGACAAGCGAGTTCGGGGGAAGCTCATCGACTGGCAGTCTACCTATGGCTGGATCAGACCCTTGGAGGTGCCTCGCAGTTCGGGGCATAGTAAGGAATAGTACATAGAAGGGCTTGTTTATCATGGTAACTTAACAAAGTAAATCCCTTAACAGGAACCCAGTTTAGTATTAGGGGCTGTGGTCTTGCATGGAAGGCGCAGCGCGAGGATCGCTTTGCTGTTGCTCTCAGATTCTGACAGACAGTGAACTCCAGACATCCTAGTGACTCCTAATTAGGAGCTAAAAAGACCACCGAGCCGTGCATGTTTGGCCTCACATTTTTGTGCTGTCCATCCTTCAGTTGAAGTGGCTGCAAGCCATCGCCTGATTGGTGAGATGTTGGGACCTGTCACTACTACTCGTGCTATTGCTACCGCTGCTGCTACATCCACGCCGCTGTTCCCGTCTCCTCTCATCAGCCTACCCCCTAAGAAGACTCCCAGCCGCACTCTGTGATTCGCTGGACCGTTCTGGAAACCCTAAAGCTTAAGCCTCTGAATCCTGAATCCTGAACAAACCCCAAACCCTGAAGCCTGAACCCTAAACCCTGAATCCAGAACCCTAAACACTTAACCCAGAACCCAAAAGCCCTGAATCCTGAATCCCGAATCCTGAACCCAGAACCCAAAGCCCCAAAGCCCCAAAATCTGAACCCCAAACTCAAAAGCCCTTGAGTCTCAAAGCCGCTGGAAAGGATGTGAAGCCCCTGGAGCTGCCCCGGAACAGGATCTACCTGAACCGGTCAGACCTCAGGAGCCTCGTTGGGTCTTAGCTCAGAGCCGTTCTTCCATTATTATGCTAGAATAGGTCATATCAGATCCTGTTAAAAGCTACTGTATCAGGTTAACTATACTATAATGTATCATATCATGTTAGGTTAAAAGTTGTCATATTGAGTTCTACTATGTTGTCTTGTTTTATGTTATATGTTGTTGTTGCTAGCATTCAAGCTTCAGCCATCAAGGATATAGGGTGTAGGGTTCAGGGTTTAAGGTTTCCGGGCTCACGGATCTAGAGAGATGGGTTGATGTGGGGCTCGTGTAGTGTAGATAGAATCACATTGTCAGTCAGCAGTTCTGTGTTGGCGTTTACGCGTTTGTCCGTGGCGTTGCAAGCTTCTCGGCCCTGGGAAGAGAATGGAAAGAACCAGCCCCCGCGCCTAAACTGTGTAAACCCCAAAACCTTCACCCTAGCTGGCATTGATGCAAAGATGGATGTATTCATAAGCATGATTTTCAATAGCTCTACAGGCGTTAACCCTTAACCCCAAAACGCTCCAGTTCCTTGCATTGGCCAGACTGGACGTCAAGATCGGGCCTCAGTGCTGCATTCCAGTACATGCAATCGTATAAAATCATAAACATCATCTTGTAGGATCTTGAATTCGGAAGTTTCTGTGCCTATTTCCTGCTGCACGCCGGCTTTTGCCCAGATGAAATCACCCCGCCCTGAACTCCGATGTCCAGTAGTGTGCGTCAGGTTGAACAGGGCTTAGCGAAACCTCAGGGCTTAGGGTTTAGGGAAACCTGGGGTTTAGGGTTTAGGGAATCCTAGGGTTTAGGAATTAGGGAAACCTTCAGAGAACGAGACGCATGACCCAGATTGATCCGAGCTCAGTCGTCAGGGATCCTTCCACGGAGCCCGATGTGAACATGGAGATGGAGTTCGTGCTCTATCGCGATCCCAAGGCATTGGGAGGCTTTTCTGTCCCCTACTCTGCTGTTCCGTTAGAAAGGGTTTAGGGATAAGATAAGTCAATTGGTAGATGGACGTATGGACACAACAGCACTGGTACTGCGTGACAAGCATGGAGCAACCACGTCAGTAGTAGTATGTAATATGGGAGTTTCCGAAAACTAGGGGCACATGATTTTTGGGTCCTTAGGATAAGGATCCTCCTATTTAGGGTACTATATTAGGGTCCCTATTTTCGGAAACTCCAATTTCTCACGTGATGGTCAGCAGGTTGGGACAAACCTGCAGAATCAGGCAGTTGTTAGCTGATGGTCAGGATTCCGCGACCGTGCAGCTTCCTTCAAGATGGTTTTTGGTATATGGGGTTTTCCGACAATAGGTGACCCTACTGTAGCACCCTAAATAGTAGGATCCTTATTATAAGGACCCCAAAATAAGCGTAATACGTGACCTCTACTTTTCGAAAACTCCCCTATCACAGCTGGTACCATGCTTACCTGGCAGGGTGTCGGTGCTGCTGACTGCGAGCTCTTGCCCGATCCACCCGAGGCCTGGGCTGGGGTTCCGGCTTGGATGGAACCTGCTGGGCTTGCCACAATACTCTTGCTTGGGGCTCCTTATTGCCATAGCTACACTTGAATATACGTTGGTTATGGAGGCCCATTTATCAGTTCGCGGGAAGGCCGCAGCAACGGTTTCCTTTGGCACCTGTCGGTAGCAACATTAGACTAACTACTTTTACGTTTGTGTACGGCATAGGTGAAGCGTGCAGGTCGCTCAGGAAGAGGCAGCGGCTCAAGTTTCAAGTCGGCTTTAGGGCATAGGGCCTAGGGTCCCGAAACCCTAGGCCCCTAGGCCCCCAAGACTGAGCTGCTGCTTGAACAGGGGAAACGTCTCCTTCCCGTGACAGGAGCGACTTGTAAGCTAGCCATGAGGCTGTGCGGAGAAGTCTTGAGGTGTCGCAATACTGGACGGGCTGCGGTGAAAGCTATTCTTGCTCCGTCCAGGGTCCTTCCGGCTCTAAGTCTGAAGTGCCGACAATGAATGCACAACTTACGGTGGAGCCTGGTCTAGAACAAGCGTCCTTGCCGGAATGATTTCGTTGTTACGCTGGAAACCGGGGTGCCTGTCTCGTATGTGGTGTAGGAAATGACGAGGGGTGCAACATGTATTTAAACTCTAGGCTTCGGCTAGGGAGTCTTGACTCTCGAGAGATGGCCCTGCAGATCTCATTAATCATCACAGCGACAAAAACGACTTTCACCTTGAGGTGGGCATGAATGCAGTCAAGGAGGAGGAGCTGCTTCGGGATAAGCTCGGGGTGGCGTCGGGCTGTGGGCGGAAGGTGGTCATGATCTTGGTCAGCCTAGGTGTCAGGGTCTTAGACGACTTGTGCGCGGTTTCACGGCATCGAGGGTTAATTACCGCCGCAGTGTGGAGTTGGCAAGCAACCTGTCTTCAAAAGGAGGCCGCATCGCTGTCAGGTGTTTCAAGCAGCAGACGGAGTTGGCTTGCCTGGGGTGTTGGGTCCGTCGCGGGTCCAAACTCAAGGCTAGACATGAGTGATCTCCTGTGCCCATTGTCGTGCCTTATCGTAAAAGCAGGGCATGGGAGGTCACGATCTCACAAATGAACCCTAAGCCCTAAACCCAGAGCCCAACCCGAATCCCCAAACCCCAAGCCCGAATCCCTAAACCCGAGCCGCGAAGCCTGATGCTTGTGCCTCCAGAGGATGACTCGCTGCCCACCGGATGGAAGCTCCCTGTCTCGAGCGTTTTGGTGGGTTTGGGGAGGGTGGTTGATTGCTTGATTGTTTGATCGTTTGCCTGTTCGTTTGTTTGTTTGCTTGTTTGCTTGTTTGTTTGCGTCTGTGTGTGTGTGTGTCTCTGTGTGTGTGTGTGTATGTGTCTGTGTGCGCGTGAGCTTTTCCTGTGGGTGTACGTACATACGTGCGTGCGTGCGTGCGTGCGTGCGTGCGTGCGTGCGTGCGTGCGTGCGTGCGTGCGTGCGTGCGTGCGTGCGTGCGAGTGTGCGTGCGTGCGTGTGGGTGTGTGTGTGTGCGCGCCTTAAATCGGATCGATTTGCTAGCCGGGATGAAGGCGTGAACGTCTACAGTACCAAGCCACTAAGCCAGGACCAGCAGATTAGGAAACATTCAGTAATGTACTTGTTTCGGGTGTTGGGGGTGGTCAAAACAGCAGTAATATGGACAAATACAAGTGACTTTAGACACTGTAAGAAGTACGTGAACAGATAGATAGGTCAGTATACGTACATACATACATATATATATATATATATATATATATATACACATAAATATATGTTATATGTATATAATACACATCTACATAGCGTATATGCGCCTATCGATGGATGGATGGATGGATGGATGGACGGATGGATGGATGGATGGACGGATGGATGGATAGATGGACGGATGGATGGATGGATGGATGGATGGATGGTAACTCAAGAACCCCACCGCCACACCGGACATGACTGCAGGATTGGAATCCATAGATGTCGACGGCAATAGGTCTTACTGCATTTGACACTGCTTCAGAGACAAGATGAAGTTGCCATTTTGCGGAACCTATAGCCAAACCAAACAAGCTTTACCGGAAGACGGAAAGTCGGATGGAGCCCGCGACTCGAAGGGTCGTAGTCACGCTTAAGCCTTAAACCCCGAGATGCACCTGAAAACCCAAGCTGCACTGTAGAAAGCCGAAACCTAAGGAGAGTCTGGAGCGAGGAGCACAAAGAGTGGCTCCTGGATTGCAATTTGCAGGGCGTTCGGCTCTCGTTGAGGGTTTGCGGTTGAAACGGGGTTTGCGTGTTTAGTGGTTCAGTTTTAGAAATCCAGGCTGGTTGTCGTGTCGGCCCTGAGGATTTGGCTGTTGCGACTTCGGAGATCATGTGTTCGGATGTTCGGGCTCCGGTAGCTTCGATGAGTGGGGCGTGCCAGTGGTGGGATCTGTGTCGCAGATCCCACACCCGACGAGTCTGTCCGCGAATGAAGCAGAAACACTATTAGCGCCGCCAATGCGATCATTAGTGCTCAATGTCCTGAGCATGTGGTCTTCTTGAATTAAACAAATTGTCCCTAAGCCCTAAACCCTAAACAAGGAAAAGGGCGTTGCATTCAAAAACACAACCATTTTAAATTTAGTTGATCGTTATTCGTCGGTGCTCCCGGGGCCATGCCTGGGACCCCAATTCCACGAGCGTGTTCATTGTGATCTCGATTCAGACGTTTAATATAGGGGTCTAAATATTTACTTACGTTACTTTGGTGGTTCCCTGTTATGATTATAGTATACTGCGCCCCCAAAACCCTATTCTAGCTAGTCCCCGATGTTTACGCCCTTGGCATTCTGTACCCAGCTGCTTCATTTCCCTGCCAGGAATGCTCGTACCCGAGTTCGTAAACCTTGGACCTCCAAGACCCGAGAGTCGATAAACCACAGCCTCAAACTTCAGCCCGAAGTTTCGAGGGTTTAGGGTTTAGGGTTTAGGGTTTAGGGTTTAGGGTTTAGGGTTTAGGGGAAACTTGCTTGAACCCGAGGCGGCGAACCCAGAACCCTCAAGGAGTATCATGTTTTGCCCCAAAATCCTCGCGGTCTACTCTCATGTAATCACGCCTACTGCGGCTTTAGACCTTAAACCTCGAACCCTAGCCGCAGGCCGGCACCTTATTGTAAGCTCCTTCGGGCTTCTTTTTGGACTTAGTGCCGCGGCCCCAGGTACTTCTGGAATCGATCCACAAAGGACCGGGTCCACACTAAAGAAGGGTTTCCATCAGGGTGGGTCAAGGGTTCTTTCCGGGTCCAAATTTCGCTTGTGGTAGACTTCCGAGGCTGAAGCCCTAAACCCCAACACCCTTCAACCCAGGACCCTTGTAGCTGAAGCCCTTGACCCTGAAATGCTCGGCCAGGAAACGCTCAAGCCTCGGCCCTGATCTCCCAGACTTAAACACAATCCGCAGCCAGACACCCAACCTCCACTGCTCTAAGTTTCCTTTGTGCCAACCTAAACACACCAAATCTCTTTACCATTGAAGAGGTGCTACCCTCGATTCGTTCATTAACCGGCCTTGAAGCGCATGACCTCCTGCAAGCAGCTCACAGCCCCGGCCTCGCTTCAACAAGACGGTAATGTTGGATCGTGTCGAAAAGCTGCAAGCACAGTATCAGTAATAGCATAATAATCACCATTATGTATTCAGGCACAAAAACGACAACCGCAACAGCAGCAGTTGCAATATTTCCCCGTACGAGCAGTTACAGTCATCAGGTTCACAGTCATAGTCAGCATCACGACAGCAACACCAGACCCACCAAAAAAGCCTATACTAATCCCTAAACATTCAACCCTCAACCCAAACCCTACACCCTGCGAGACATGTCAACATGTCGTCATGCATGTTTTGAATTTGGGAGTGCCGTCCGACGGACACAGGCTGCGACGAGAAAAACCCTACACCCTAAACTCTAAACTATACATACATATATTATTCTTATTGATCTTGTTGTTATTATTATTGTATATATATATATATACATATACATACATATATATATATATATATATAATGTACAGAGCCGACGTGGCCTGAGCCTGGAGGAGTCTCGATGGACCCGGCCTCGAGACGCAGACCAGGAAGAGGAGGAAGAGCTTCCGGAGGCCTGAAGTGCTCTGAGATTCTTGAGGCTCCTGAGCGGAAATTGAGGCTTTTCTGACTCGGTCTGGCAGTTTGGGAGTTAGGTTCGGTTCGTGTTTAGGTTTTGGGTCTGAACGCTGTGGAGCCCTCGTTTATTTGCCGGACGGGTCAGAACTTGCTTCCATGCCGGGGTTAGGTTTCTGTGTGTTCGAAAGTTCCGTGTGGTTCAAGAGTTTCGAGACCTGGGGAAACTTTGGGCTGTTTTTTACCGTCTCATGGGCATTTCAAACGTAGTGTGCAAGGAGCCAGAAAGGCCCGAAGCCGTGGTTGAATTTCTCTGTTTCGCTGAGACAATGCAAATTGGCAGGCCCATGCTTTGCTAACCTTAGGATCCTGAAGCAATCTACTCCCCTTGAGCCCCACACGCCCTAATGATCCCACATAACCAGCCAAGCCGAACCCTGCATCGGCTTTCAATCCGCACTGGCCTGCAGGGCTGGGAGAAGGCTGGGCTGCATCTTGCTGTTGGGTTGAGTTCTGAGTCCCCTCAGTAATGTAGCGGCCTTAATAATAGGGTTTGGGGGGTTCCTTATTATGGTTATAGTTTATAGTATACCGGGCCTCAAAACCCTATTCTAATTATTAAGGCCGCTACACTATCCTGCGCCAGTGCCCAAATTTCATCCCCCCAGCCAGTGTTAGCCTTGGCCCTGACTCAGCGGACGGTCGTGGGACTGTTTGGAGATTCCAGTTTAGGGTTTAGGGTTCCTGGGAGCCTTCAGGTTTTATGGCTACTTTCGGAGCAAGATGTTTTTACGCGCTGCAGCTGAACACGTAATTTCACCATGCCGGGAAGCCATCGGCTCTTCTTCACTGAGTCTGATTTGGTTTGGAATGGCTGGCAACCAGGATTTCACAGCCGCGACGGAAAGGTTTTGCGAGTCCAAGGTGCAGGCTTCTTCCACCGTCGAACAGAGCAGAAATACATTACCCGGCGTGGCACATTCCGAGCCAGCATCATCTGAAACATGATGCGACGACGGCCGGCATTGCCATACGTTTGAACTACTGCCTCTCTATCCCTGCGGCTCGCTACATCAGCTGCTACATGCGGCAATAGCAGTGGTAGTGTCGTCGTCGTAGTATTAGTTGTTGTTGTCGTTGTCGTCGTAGTAGTAGTAGTAGTAGTAGTAGTAGTAGTAGTAGTAGTAGTAGTAGTAGTAGCAGTAGCAGTAGTAGTAGTAGTAGTAGTAGTAGTAGTAGTAGTAGTTGTTGTTGTTGTTGTTGGTGGTGGTGGTGGTTGGTGGTGGTTTTGGTGGTTGTTGTTGGTTTTGGTGGTTGTTGTTGGTGGTTGTTGTTGTTGAAGACGACGACTGCGACGACTCTACCGCTTTCTACTCAGCACTACTGTTGCTGGTTCTACCCCTCTCCGACTACTGCTGCGACGACGACCGCGGCACGGCTCAGTTTCGTTGATTGCTGCGGGGCAAGCAGCAAGCATCGTAGCTCGCAACTGCCAGCTCCGCCGGAGGTCCTGGATGTGGAACGAGGTGCACCGGACATCGAAGGTTTATAGTATCGGGGTTATTCAAGATTGGTCTGTGCAGTCTGAACGTTTCTTGGCGTCAGGCTTGGTAGGAGCAGAGAATAGCATCGCCAGGGTCCAGACATGTACGATGATACGAACAAGCTGCGGAAAGAAGACATCGTAACCATCGTCGCCATCATCGCCTTCATCATTGACAGTCCAACGGCAATGGCATCATCATCGTTCCCACTTTGTCCACATATTCTGGATTTACAGAATTTGAGCCGAAATTGGAATTGCGGTAGGGAAGACAACCCAAAAACTGTTATACCCAATTCGCCACCAGTCTGGGAAGGAGGGTTGAGAAGATGGGTACATACTTAGTCTAGACTCCTACGGCGGATTTACATCGTCATCACCAGAAGCTTCACATCTTCATGAACATCTCGTCAGTGTCGTCATCCTCATCAGCATCACGAGCCAATTCTGTCTTGGTCTTCTCGTCCTCATCATCATCATCACCATCACCATCACCAGCATCATCATCAGAAGCCGCATACTCTACCGAGCGGAACGGTGGTCAACAAGCGAATATTGTTGTCATCATCACTTGTGTCACCCTCACCATTCATCCGACCTTGACCATCAACATGATCGATATCATCGGCCCCATTGTTCGCAGCATTAGCAGCGTAGTGCTCTCATCATCCTCGAGGGTGCTCTTGGGGTGTTCGCGGTTTTCGTCATCGTAGCTGGATCAGTACCTTCAGAAGGTGCTGTGGCTTCATACGGTAGTTTGCACCCCACTTGAGTCGAACATACACCAAAACCGCATCCTACATGGTGAGCCCTGTGAAGTCAGACACCCACTCAGCCCAAAACCCTAGCCGAGGCCTCTGGTACTACTGGCACCGGCCGACAAAGACCTCGACTTGGGATCGGCCTGAGGCAAAGCCAGTTTCCCGTGTAAGGCTACGGGGTTCAGGAGTTTGGGAAATGTTTCTAGCAAAGTCCATTCTCTAGTTGCCGATGCGATATGTCGAAGGTTCTAGCAGTGGGGTCAGCATGTATTCTCAAAAGGGACAGGGGGGGCCAAGGGCCCGGCAACTTCACCTATGTACAGGGACAATGACCTAAGGGGTATCTTCATTTCAACACGGCAATGATGTCCAACGAAGGGTGTAGGGTGCACGTCCGCGGTCTTCGAGACCAGGTTGCAGGAGTGTGGCGGCCGTGTTAACCAAAGACCGGACCTGGGTTCCCGAAACCGTCAGAGAGCTTAGGACTTCAGGGTTTAGGGTTCAGATGGGTTCAGGGTAGGCTTCAGAGTCTAGGGTAAACTCATAAGACCACCGTCCTGCTTGCGCCAGAAGGTCCCTGCCTCTTGGGAGCTGCTTAGCACTGAAGGCCTATATGAAAGGGTGAGTAAAAGAGGTACAGTTAAGGTTTCGGGTATCGGGGTATAGCATGGTGGCCTTAACAATTCAAACAGGATTTTCGTCTCTCTTCTATAGTAGTAGTAGTAGTAGTAGTAGTAGTAGTAGTAGTAGTAGTAGTAGAAGAAGTAGTAGTAGTAGAAGTAGTAGTAGTAGTAGTAGTAGTAGTAGTAGTAGTAGTAGTAGTAGTAGTAGTAGTAGTAGTAGTAGTAGTAGTAGTAGTAGTAGTAGTAGAACAAGTAGTAGTAGAAGAAGAAGTAGTAGTAGTAGTAGGAGTAGGAGTAGGAGTAGTAGTTGCCTCTGTCCTCTTGGCTTGGAGGCTGTCAGGTGCTCCAGGTTTTCTCCGCAGGGGTGCGTAGGCGTTTAGTTTAAAGAAGGTTTCAGGGCTTGTATTATGGTTTCCCCTAAACCCCTCTAAACCCCCAAAAACACTAAACCCCAAAAACCCCCAAAACCCTAAACCCCTAAACCCCTCTAACCCCTAAACCCTAAATCCCTCAACCCCTCTGCTCCGTTTCCAAACGATCTCCGCATCTGACCTCCCCGGCACCTTCCCGGTCAGGCGCCCACCCAGGCAACCTCGGAAGAGAAGGCCATCAAGTGTCCAAAGAGAGGTTTAGGGGTTTAGGGGTTAGGGGTTTAGGGGTTTAGGGGTTAGGGGTTAGGGGGTTAGGGGGTTAGGGGTTTTTTGGGGTTTAGGGGTTAGGGGTTTAGGAGATTAGGGGTTTTGTCGGAAAAAGAAGTAGTGCTGCTAGTCTTCATGGTTCCTTATGATCATATCCGATCCTTTCGATATCATTCGCCAAAACCGTATTAAAATGCTTAAGGCCGCCGCATAAGGATTTTTCGGTCTCGGTGCTTCGACTTGGCTTTAGGGCTCCGTATCATTTGAGGTTGGGATGCGCTCAATGCGTGAAGGCTTCCCTGTTCCAGTTTGGCGAGGTTTGGGGTTGTGCTGCAGGCAAGAGGCATCCGCCACCCAAACAGCAAAGAAACCATGCGAAAGTCAAGGCACACATGAATTTCCGTAAAGCGAGGGACCCCAAGTAGTCGAATGTCAAAGCAGGGTCCACAGCAAATTTACCCCCCACCCCCAATGTCAAGAAACCCCAAGTGGACTATGCGCCAGAGACAATTGTCATATCAACTGTTTTCTGTTTCTCTGTGGTCTAACAAAAGCAATATATTCGACAGCTTTGTTCCCAATCGGACTGGTCGTAGCGTTTAGCAGATGGGGTTTGACATGGTTTGTAGGAGCGTTGAAGTGACTTCTGACGTTGTGAAATGACTTCGCCCCACCCCAGCGTTTACGAGGATGATGTGACTTCACGCGGACTGATCTGACTTACAAGTAAGTCTCCCCCTAGTAATAAGAACTATAGTAATCATGATATCAACACAAGTAGTAGTGTAAATCGTAATAATACTGGTAAGAGTATTGGTCACACTAAGAATAACAACGGCAGTACGAATAATCACAATAATTCTATATTTGTGATTCTCGTAATTTTGTCATCCTCAGTATTCGGTATTAGTATTACTATGATCATGATGAAGGATCATGATTATCCCGAAACCACCAGCCAGAAGCCCGACGACTCGGCTGAAGCGCTGCAAGCGCGCGTTCTCGGCGAGGTGCGCTACGCTTCGTCATGTTTGCGCATGCATATCCTCTCTGTCTCTCTGCCGTGTTCCCTTGTTTTTTCCTCTCTCTCTCTCTCACTCTATCGTCGTTTTGCTTTATGCAAGCAAATAAATAAATGTGAGGGTGCGTGCGTGGGCGGGTGTGTGGGTGCGTATATGACACATGTCTCTATGTGCATAGGTACATACGTACGTGCATGCATACATGCATGCATGCTTGCATACATACATATGTGCATGCAGCACACATGGAGATAGAACGGAGGTTCGGAGTTGATGTGCGTGGAGTGATTTCAACCGCAGTCCATCAAACTTCCCAAATCCCTAGACTCTAGACCCCAAATTACGGCCTGGGGGTTTCAGGTTTAATTAGGGCAGGCATCGTATCGAACACGGATCACGAAACCCACACCTGAACTCCCGATCCCAAGACCCAGACTCACTTGACCAGGTAGCAGAGTGGAGAGGCGTCTTCGGCTGGATTGCGGTCTCCGGCTACTTGGTGCAGTAAAGACTTGTACCAGGCTCCAGAAAAAGGATGAATCCAGTGAACTTCAGAATCTATACTCGCAAAACCTGGACCCGGGACCTTGAACTCCAACCCCGAAACTGCCTAAACTGCATGAAACCTAAAATCTTCAACACTCACAACCTCGAATCCTCATTCGTATCGGATGCCTTCAGACAGAGATGGAGAACTGGAAATTTGGAAATATCTTGGGGTGGGGCCTTTGGGATCCTTTCTGGATTAGGGCACTATGGGCCCACCCCTAACCCATACACCCTCAAATTAGAGTGTCGGGCCGACAGCTTTCTGGCTTTTGGTTTGACAACACTGTCCAGACACGTGACCGTGTTCGGCACTCTTCGTATGTTCGCTCAGTTCGCTTCTTCGTAATATCGTGGTCGAAGTTGTATGAAAAGGGTGTTGTGGTCCTGCTTGGAAATTCCCAGGTTCAGAGGACACTGCACATTGCATCGAGTAGGCCCCGGATTTGAACCGCAAAACCCTAGACGCGAAGATGCCTCGAATCTTGCCTACAAGTGCGAATGAACATTAAACTGGGTCTTCAGGGGTCGTGCAATGCAACTTCCAAGCCCAGGAAATGCCAAATCTTCACACCCACTCCTCTCCAATGGTGACAGCAAGCTTCTTGTCCTGATTCAATCCGCGCCCTCAGAAACCAAGCCCCGAACAATAAGCTCAAACTCTGAACCCTAAGCACTTAATTCTAAACCCTAACCCTGGCTGGATGATCCGGGTTGTCTCTGAGCTAGAGCGCTTGTAGATGTTCTACTACTACTACTACTACTACTACTACTACTGCTACTACTACTACTACTACTACTACTACTACGACTACTACTACTGCTGCTAGTACTGCTACCACTACTACTCCTACTCCTCCTACTACTACTACTACTACTACTACTACTACTGCTACTACTCCTACTGCTACCAGCAGTAGCGGTAGCGGTAGCCGTAGCCGTAGCGGTAGCAGCAGCTGAGCATAGTTCATACGCTCCCTTGTTGGGTTCGAGAGGATCTTTCTTACGAAGTCTCTTCAGTGGTGTTGAGGGGCTAAACAAGTAAAGGGCACAAGGTTCTTAGATATGGGTAGTTGTCAAAATTAGGGTCCCTTTTTGGGCACCTTAAACATTGGGGGCCGTATTATAATAAGGACCCAAAAAGTGACCCTAATATTGACAACCACCCATATGGCTGTGAGCTTGGTGGTTAGGCTGCCAAGGTGAATCCACTGCCTTTCAGCAGCTGCAGCTGTTCACTGACCGACAAACCTAGGAAGCTTTTTTCAATCCCTCAGCCTAAAGCTGTGCTGCCGACACCCCTACCCGAAGCCCACGAGAAACTCAAACAGATGAAGCCTCCGCCTTAAAGCCTAAACATCCTAGGGTCTTCGTCAACTGGCGCGATGTGCAAGACGATCAAATGCTCAGCGTGGGAGACGCTGGCCTGGTGTACCGGTTCATGGGACTTAGTAACTATGGTTATAAATAAGATACATATACTTATAATGGATATAACCCCAGTTAGAGTACTTATGACTGTACTTACTAAGTCCTATGAACGAACCCCCAAGTAGAGGAAAGGGTCCCAGACTATGGCCCCCCTCTTTCTCAATCTTGCTCTCGGGATTGCAGACTAACCCTACACCCGACACTGAGATTTATCGGGTGGGTCTTGGGCTCTGGGGGTACGAGGCTGTGAGGAGGAAGACGAAGCATCCTCCATGCTTAATCCGAAATCGAAGGAACACGCCAATTACAGCAAAAGCCTCAGAGCAAGACTTTGGAGCGCCTTCTAAGTCGACCATGACCCAGGACAGAGTCGACTTCCTCGTTTGCTCGGACGGGGGCTTGGGGTCGGGTCGCATGGGAGAGCCGATCCTGTTTGGGGGTCTCTGGAGCTTTCAGGCTGGAGGCTTCAGAATATGTATCCAGGAAGACCCTGAACCCTAACCCTCTCTTGAGCCCTAGTGCCTAAACTCTTTTGCCTCGGCGAGCTTCAGGCTGTAAGCTGCTTGCTGAGCCTGCAAGCTCCTTCGTACCCGGCACATGGTTTTGCGCTGCAGGGGTTCGCAGGTATGCGGCTTGTACGGTTTGGGGGTTTGGGCAAGCGTGGCTGCCAGTCCTGAGAGCATAGTCATGGGTTAGATTATTCGAAACACTTCCGAAACACAACAGGGGATACTTTAACATGGTGCCGGTGCTCTAACGATAGCGCGGCTGCAGTGAGAACTTCAGCAGGAAGAGCAACAACTTGGGAGATGAGAAGAGCAACGAACCAATACGACAAGATCACCAACACGAACAAGGGCAAGAAAAGCTCTAACAACAGCCATGATAATAACAGCAACAGCAAATGATCACTATTACAAGACGGCTAAAGCCTAAGCACCCCAAGCCGTAGGTCTATCCATGAAAAATGTAGAGGAACCCAGAACGGAGCCCCCATAAGGAGCCGTAGAGGAGCCCCAAACCCAAACAAGCCTCAGGGAGCCGTATGCAGTTTTGGGCGCTCAGGGCAACCGTAAACCCTTATACACCCAGAACCTTAAACCCCAAACCACAACCCTAGGCCCCAGGCCTAACCCCCAAAACTGCAACTCTATCAGGCATTCCCCTAAACCCAAAACCCTCAATCCCGGACTGGAAGCTTGGAGGACGATGGCGGCCTGCGTGCGCTTGATGTGCATGTACAGGTGCCATCTCCTGTGCAGCGCATCGGAGCTGGGGCTCCTTCAAAGGGGGTCTATAGGGCTCACTGTGAGGGTTCCCATAAGGGTTAGTATAGGGTTTGGTGTTGAAGTGTTTAGTGTTGTAGGATTTGGGAGTTAGGGTTTGATTTCGAGGCGAGTCTCAACCGTACGTCGAGATAAATGACTGCACATTGCCCTGTTCAGTCTGTCCATCCGCAAGGTTAGTCAAGGGCGGAGTGTTTCCAGCCATGTCTTTATGGGCATACCTACATGTCAGCTTAAAGCAAAGCCTGGATTGCAGGGAGTCTGTCCTGATGTCATACAGTCACACACACACACAAGTCAAAGAGCCTCCGTCTGATTCCCGCAGCTTGGGAGACTCAGCGCAGACACCACGGGTGTCGGAGTCAATGCAGTCTAGGGTGTAATACTGCAGGGATGCAGAAGCAGGCATGGCATCCTAGCATTCTTCAACACTCCCAACACCATGTGACCTTGAACTAGTGATGTAATTGGATGTTCTTGTTTGGCAGGTTTCCTACATCGACCCTCATACAGCCAAGTGTGAACATTTCATGCCTGCGGTAGAGGGACAGTTTCTGTTTATTCAAGAAGTTCAGTGGCAGACTAGTCGAGCAAGTCATAGCAAGTCTATGCATGCGATTTCACCCTGTGTCAGCATTCACAAAAAAGACTGCATAACTTATGTTTAAGACAGGGATCGGAATATGTTGGAATACTATTCCTGAGGGCCTTCGGTCCCGTACTGTTAAAATACTATATAGTATGTGCCGAAACGCTGCTCCAATGGTTAAGACCACCATTTTACATGGTTTTTCCTCCCAGCACGTATCGCCAAGTCACAAACCTCTTGATGTATCTCGAAGTCGGCCCCAACGATATGCATCTCAACCCGAGGGTTCAGGAAAGGAGTTTAGGGTTTAGGGTGACGCTTTATCCAGAACCCAGAATCAACCAACCATGTACGTGGACGCTTTGCAGGAAAGCGCGGAGAGCGCAGGCGCCTGTTCTGAGTTGGATAGAGCCAGATAATAAAAAAATAGTATTGCCATTATTACTATTTTTACTATTGTTACTATTATTACTATTATTACTATTAGTCCGGCTACAAGTGTCACAAAATTACACATGCGATTGTTGTAACCATCTGTATATTATACGCCGGAATGGCATTTCTTTATCGGGCCTCTGTAATCATCGCACAGCGTAGCCCAAACCATGTTCTACTTATTGAGACTCCTTCAAATTGCTATCGGGCTATCGAACTCAAGCTGACGGCCAACCGTTCCTCGTGTCTTGTTTAAAGCTATTCACGATTCATGTTTGCCGCTTCAAGAGGCATTGGGCTGCAGAGTTGGTTGGGTGCCCACTTGGCTGGCTGGCCCCTGAAACCCAGATACTTGACTCTGTTCTGAGTTGCGCGAGGAAGCACCCCTTAATCAGCATGCTTCGAGGACTGAAAAGTACAACCATCTCATGCGAAGCAATGATGTGAAATGTAGGTGCCCCTGCCCGAAACCCTAAATTTTCCACTTTGAAGCCGAAACCCTGAACCAAAACCCAAAATAGATCCTACACGCGAAACCCTGACCCACAAGGCTCAAGGGCTCTTGGGTTCGCGATGTTGTCGCAGGAAACGCACCCCCTGCTTAGCAATCTAGTCCATCTGGTCTCCAAGGAGCATACTTTGCTTCACAGTTTGGGATTCACGGCCTTTGTTGCTAAAGCCTAAACCCTAAAACCCCACAAAAGGCTCGACCTTTAGATGAGCGGAAGTGGAAGTGCAAAGCCAGACGTAATGCCCCAGATGCCAAAGACGTAGGGGTACTTAGAAATAATATTTAATTTTTGGTTAGTATAATCCCTAAGAAACAGCTAAAATTATGATTTTTGCTAGGGTTCTAAGTTCAGTATAGAAGAGAATCGACCCCAGACATCCCAGACCTAGGCCTCTTTCCTCATGCTTCCGTCAAGGACATTAGGTACAAAATATCGGCTGCCAATAAAGAAGCCTGACTGACTAGAAACATTGCCTTCAAGGAGTCCCCAGTGAACGAACATATACGTATCCCAAAACCTTATTCCAATTTGCGAAAGGCCTGTACTACATTCGGCGGTCTAAAGACGTCCTACGCCTGAGTCTCGAGCACCTGACCCCAACCACGGCCTCTAAACTCGCGAGGAGCCGCGATCAACAGCAAGCGCGCCGCCCCGCCGCTGAATGTGCTCCAGTCCCACTGGGAAGAGGATGACCTACCCGGAGCCCTAAACCAAGATGACCGAGAGTATGTGGGCCCGAAGCCTTCTTCTGAAGACCTGGACTAGACCCTCATATGGCGTTTGGTTTCGAAGTCCAAGATGCTAGCGGCTAGCGTGGATACCTGGCTCAGGCTCAAGCTTAGTTTCTGGACTACAAGCCATGCACCCCAGACTTGCAAACCTGGGCCGCGGGGCCAGGGATTCTGTAAGAATTCGGCATATCAGCCTCGCTGTTGCGTCCTTCACACTTTTTCTGCAAAGGTAGTCTCATGAGTTTGATCATGTAGGCCGCCCTGCTCTCTCGCAGCAAAACAGAAGAAAGCACCAGCAGGAGGACGATGCGCTGGGAGCTGAGGAGGCTTGGAAAGTTTCATGCTGACGCACACCAGGAGATTCCAGTCGGAGCATGATATTATTCTGAGACCTTGTGAGTATGACGATGACTATCATTATGCTCATCACGATGGTTATGACGATTATTATGCTCAATGCGACTATTGGTATTACTAGTGTCGCTATGGTTGTCATTAACACTCTCTATCAACTATCCGTTGTTACTAGTCTTATTGTACATATTTGATATCACTAACAAGCGAAATTACCAGTTATATTGTGAATATGACTACTGATTTAATGAGCTAGTCTCAATGTTGCACTTATGGTATAAAATTGCTTTAGCCCGCCACTTTCAACCATCTTCACATGCTCTTTGTCGCAAGTTCATGGCCTCGTGTAACCCCTCACCCCTAGACCCCCAAAGCCTAAGCCCTAAACCGCTTAAGCTGCAAAGCAGGACATAGGAACTCGAAGCGCTGGTCGCTACAGCCCAAGGCCTATCGTAAGCATGCATACAATGGCAGGCGAGGACTTTGATTGCAATGTAGCTGATTGCAATGTAATAGAGTAACGAATACTTTTCCCACGGTTCCGTTCCGGTTATAGATACAGTATAATAGTATACCCCCCCTCCGCTAAACCGAGAATCCTTAACCTCGTTGGAGCTCTATTCCGAAAATCAAGGTGCATAAATTATACTGACAGGAAGAGCAGCCGCATTCGGATGCGCCTCTCCTTCCTGGCTGGGAGCAGCATTGGTCCGAGGACACCCGTGTTTTTAGGGTTTAAAATTAGGGTTTACGCTTTATAGGGTTTAGGGCTCGACCTTGTTTGCAAGTGTCCGTCCAGCGCAATGAGGAATGCTTTTTCCCTTCGCACAGTGCTTCGAGAATGAGAGTATATAAACCAGACGCAATAAGTCTGCTTTTGGGGATCATTGAACCTTCGCATTGAGTTCACACATTCGCAATCTGATCCTACGATACCCAGGAGCACAGCTGTGTCTACTACTGGCACAAAGCCACGAAGCAGCCAGGGACTAAATACCGCTTGCCTTCGTCGGTGGGGATTCAGGGTCCGGTTTCGGGGTTCAGGGGTTCAGGGGTTTAGGGGTTTAGGGGTTAGGGGTTTAGGGGTTTAGGGTTTAGGGGTTTAGGGGTTTAGGGGTTTAGGGGTTTAGGGGTTCAGGGGTTTAGGGGTTTAGGGGTTTAGGAGTTTAGGGTTTCGGTTATTGATTTGGCCTCCGACTTCGATGACTTAAGCGGCTTTTTGCTGTTTCGACCCTGAGGTCATCTTGGGAGAGGCCTGCGCTGCCCGTGCAGGGAGGCTCGCAGGGAATGTCTCCTTAGTAAATACAGTTAGAAGTGCCCTAACGGGGGTTATGTCCAATTATAAGTATAGTTGCCTTATTTATACTAAGTCCCATGAACCTTCAAGTAAGGTCTTGGGGGGGTTTGGGGAAGTTCAGGGTTTAGGATTTTGGGTGTTATCTGAGGGTTTAGGGTTTAGGGTCTGGGGGGGTTGGGGTATGTGGTGTTATCTTAGGGTTTAGGATTTCGGGTGTTAGGGTTTAGGGTCTTGGGGGGTTAGGGTTTGCGGGATTAGGGTTTAAGGGTGCTGGGGTTTACAGGGGTGAATTTAGGGTCCGGGCTTTTCGGGGTCTTGGGCGTTGGGTTTTAGGGGCAAGGACGCTGCCTTGCCTGAACCTGAAACCGAGTTCAGGATCGGATTACATTATACACTATTATGTTATGTTGTAGTAAAATATTCGCCCTTATCGTAAACTGCATAATAAACTATCGTACTATATGACATTTTACGGATGTCGCAAATGACAGGTTTGTAGCCTTTTCGATCTGACTTGGCTAGTTTAGATTTCGGTTTGCTAAGCTTTCCGAGTCGTGAACCCAGCTTTTGAGCTCGGGGCTCAGGGAGAGCCGCAGCATGTCTTGGGCAAAATCCTAGACGCAGAAATCTGACAGCATTATACTAGACGCAGAAATCGCTATTAATTCTTGACCACGGTATCCCTCAACCCAGAACCCTAAACCCAAAGCCACAACTCAAATCAAAACAGGACAACCCTAAAGCCTAAGCTGCTCTACGGAGCCAACCTGGTGCCCTAAACACTGAACCCTACACCCCTAAACCCTACAACCCCAAACCCCTAAACCCTAAACCCCTAAGGCCCTAAACCTAGACCCGAAATTAAATCCCTAAACCCTACACCATCCTCAACCCCTGAACCCCTAAGACCTTCGAGTCCTCTTCAGGTGCAGAGCCCGAGGTCGGGAGCTCGGCTTGGGATTTGTGGTCCGAATCCCCCAAATGAAACCAATGTAGGGGCATTAAAAGTGAAAAAAAAGGGTTCCTGTAAGAGGATCCCTTTAAAAGGGATCTATAAGGGTTTCTATAAGGGTACTATGATATTGGGGGTCGTAACAGTAGAATCAATAGGCTTTTGGGGTATACAAAACTAAAATCACAATACGGAACCCCCACAATACTATTGGTAATCTTTAAGGCCCCTACAGTACGCCCCCATAACTTTGACGGTTTAGGGTGCAGGGTTTTAAGGTTTAGCGTAGGGTTGATGGAGCGGGGTTTAGGGTAGGATTTAGGTTTAAGGGTTTAGGAAGGGTTTAGGGTTTACGATAATTTACAACACCCTAGAAGTTTTCAGCGTTTAGGGTTGAAAAATTTAGTATAGAAGCCTTTGTACAGCAGCCCAGTTGTTCAAGACTTGTAAAAATGGGGTTGAGTGTCATGGTTCGGTGTGTAGAATCCGACGTAGAGTGCCCCTACGCTTTTATTTAGGGTTTCGGGGGTCAGGGATAGTAAGTATTCATACATGGCCTTGTGCGGAACCTCTACGCCCACCTTGAACTGAAGCCCTGACGTACTCAACTCTGAGCCTGTCACAACATGGCAGTGCCTCCTCAGTGAGGACACACTGGGTCCTTGCGGAAAACAGGGATGTTTGTTATGCTTGGTGTTTCTTAGGATTCCTTGGCTTGCTCCTAATGTATCGATATATAGGCATATATATATATATATACATAAACACACATCCGTGCATGTGTGTGTGTGTGTGTGTGTTTATGTGCTATTCCATGGGGCTCCTCAGGCGTGTTTTGGCACAGAGCCCCAAACCCTCATGACATTCTTCCGTCTTCTGCAGTACATAGGTTTCAGGTTCTGGCTTCACTGGGATTTTCAGTCAGGCTGCCTGCAACATTTAAGGCCATCGGAATGCTCAAATCCTTGCTGTAAACCCTAAACCCTGAACCTTTCTATTCTAGTCTCCTGGGATGCATGGACCCGCACGCAGCTTACCATCCACTGTTCGTTGCAAATGGTGCTGCGAATTTGAACTGTTCAAAGTTTGGATGACTTGCTGGACTTGTGGTTGGGGCGCTTCATCCAGTCTTCTGAGTCTTCTGGTCAGGTCTCGGATAGTCGGAGGGAAATCAATGCAGCGATTCAGGCTAAGGTTTGCAGGTCCAGGGTTTTCAGAACACTCCAAAGCCCCTGAGCCCTAAAACGGCGCTCGAAACACTCAACCGCCCGGAGCTTCCAATGAGTCTAAGCGCTATCCGGGCACCGAGACGAAGCGGAGACTTGAGCCACATGGGGCGCAACGAATTACTGGCTGACCCTGACCCCGAGCCTTAGAAGCCCACAGGGGTGGAAGCCCCTCCTGTCCCTGAGTCCGAAACCCTAAGTCAAGGTGGCGCCCATCACGCCGGGTGCGAACCAGCCATTAGCTTGGCACACCTTTGTGACCAGAATCTTATCTTTGGTTAGTAGGGAATGGAAGAATGGTAGTAAGTAGTTATACTTGTACCCCATTCCTCCATTCCCTACTAACCAAAAGTAAGGAATTTGGGAGTCCGGGATAAGGGCTGAGGAGCTTGTTGGGCCAATTATACCACGCGGACTCGGTTTCCGTGTTCAAGAAGGAGTTGCTTTTGAGCCTTGGGGGGTTATGGTTCAGTGTATGCGCTCCAAAATCTAAAGCCGGCTCTCACTGCCGACCTGACCTCCCAGGGCGCGCGCGCCCGACACTCCCTCACATCAATGCCAGGACCGCCAGTCCAGAAACTGCATGTCAGCTGTGTTCCACATGGAGTTCGGGGTTTTGGACCTTGGGCGTATATAGATGATAGGCTGAGTGTGAGTAAAGGACGCAGGGGTTTATCTTTGACATTCAGGCCGGTATAGTCCGTGGGCTACCTGCCCTGTTCACAGGATCTTGACCAGTTTTCAGGTCGAGGTTTGTCTCATGTGCTCTGTGAAGCACTGGGGGTTGGTGAGTGCACTATGTTTCCAGTTCCAGGTCTTAGCTTTTTTCTAGCGGCGTAGACTGCTTTGCTAGCATGCCTTGGCCCACTCATCGGGACATCAGATTTCGGTTAGTGCGCGAAGATGGCCCACCGGGATCGGGAATGATCAGAATCTCCGGACCTAATGTCTTGGGGTTTAGCAAGTGCTTAGAACTCACCCATTTCTGCAACAGCACCTGTATGCCGTTTGAAAGTAGCATGAAGTTCCTCCGTAGCATGAAAGCACAAAGCGCATCCAGGGCGCGATGCCGGGACGACCCAAAGGTGGGAATGAGCTGCAAGCGTCGGTGCAGAGAGTGGTCAGTCTACACCAATCGCATTCATAATGCCCGGAGCAGGAACACAGAGAGTGCAAACAACAACAGCAATTACTGAGACTTGTGTCGTGGCAATATTCAGACTACTGCAGATGAGGCTAGGTTGCATTGACAGTGCAGTTGTACTGACAACAACGGTACTCATGAAACTGACTCAGCATAGTCATGGGACAGTAGTAAAGAGAGCCGCGTCAGTTTTGTAGTTGCGCAGGTTGATTGTTATTCGTCCTTATCTTGAAATTTGTCTTCATCATCATCGTTGCTACGTAGCATGCGTTGCATCGTCATACTGCAGATTTCTCATTGCATGTTGTTCGTAGCATAGTTTATCACACAGTGTTTTCGGCTAGGCGGGGAAAAATAAAGTTTAAAGTATGTTCGATGCTGTGTTCACAGTCTCAATCTGGACATGTCCTGCCCCTTTCGAGGCATCAAGAGGCACACTTTCCTTTACAGACTCCAGTGCCTTCGGTGCTTCAGAGCTCTCACAGGCCCCCCGATGCGGCCCCAGCTGCCGACCAGAAAGCCACCGTGGATGCAGTCACCCACTCAGTCCGGCCTGGGCCATTGTTTCTTATAAAGTATAGTACAGTATGGTAGTATGTTGTAGTCATCGGATATCAGTTAGCATATTATATTGTAGCATACTTTTTGATAGGAAATTTTATGTTGTCGTCTTCTACATGGATTCTGCGTCAGTCAGCCCACACGGACACCTTGAGCGGATGGACAGGCATCACTGTCCCTATCATTCAGCCTGACCAGGTGTCTACAGGCCTTGAATGCCCTGGACCCCCCCCCCCCCCCCCCCCCGAGTGTGTAGGAACCGCTACTTCGCTTTCGATAAGGGTTTGGGGTGCGGGTTAGGCTTCATGCTTCTTGTATGCAACATATTTCCGCAACTTGATCTGTCAGTTCTGCTTCCGGGCGTTCACGGGTTACTTGCTGCCCAGCCAACAACGACCCAGTTTTCGGGTGGGAACCGCTTCTTGATGGCCCTTCCACCTCGAACTCTGAAGCTCTAAACCTGATCTCCTAAACAGAATCCCTGCACTGAACAGTTTTCCCTACATCTCAAACCTTATCCCTAAACGCCAGGCCCATGCCCTGAATCCAAGCCCCCCCAGACCCTAAATCTAAGTTTTCGTCTTTCGGATCTTTCGTCAGGTCCGCGGCCCATACCGCCGGTCAAGCTCAGCCAAACGGTCACCTCCCGAGAAAGGGTTCTACAACGGTTATAGAAGGGCTTCTATAATGAAAGAAGGGTCTTGCAACGGTTTCTATAAGGGTTCCTTGAGGCATACGAGAAGGGTCCTAAAAGGCTCGGTAATACAGGTTTCTGCAAGAAGTTTAGGGCTTCGAGCTTTCCGTCGTAACGAAGGGTTTCAGGGTTGCTACTCTGACAGGATGGATTCTTGAAGTTATGCCTCGTGCAGAGCCAGTAACCCGACATCCTCTGACCTGTTCTTTGCTGGCAATCTGTGAACCCGAAACCACTAAACCGCAGCGGAGTCAGGAGATAGCTTCGCAGCTTCGCAAGACCGCTCACCGGCAGTTAGCTGTGAAGCTTACTATATACAGGTGCAAAAAAAAATCATTATTATGATAGATTTTAGGGTATAGTATACCGTTCTGTACAAGCAAGAAGATATCATCAGTAGCTAAGTAAACCAAGACAGGCCCTCATCCATATGTATATGTACATCTCACAAACACACACACGAGCGTACTCATATTTATAATATATATATATATATATATATATATATATATATATATACACACATACGTATATGTACATACTGTTTTCCTGGGCCTCATGAAATCAAGGCTTTTCTGCAACCGCGCAGCCTTTATAGCCCCGCGACCACCTCGTTCCCGAGCCACCGAAAAATTCTCGCATGTATAAAAGTAGATGGCACCCACTTCCCGATAGCAAGTCCAGCATTCCGCAGATCCCGCGCACATCCCTATCGCTGCATCGACCGCGGCTGTATCTGCATGGGTGGGTTTACGACAGTCATGTGGTCTGAAGCCCCTGCGCTGACTTCGGCTATCTTGGACTAGCCTTCTCACAGCCTTCATCCGAGTCCCCCGCCCCACCTCAAAACCCGACATTCCACGAGTCTTTGCAGGGCGCTCCTGGCGCCCTTTCCGGCCGCCTTGGTCTCAAAGGGTTGTTACGTGGTTTCGTAGGATAACGCTTCTTCACGCAGGTGTCTCTGAAAGGGAACTTGAGCCTTCAGAAACTTCAAGCTGCCATGGACCTTGATACTGTGTGGGTGGATGCCTGTGTTCGGATCTAAGGTTGAGATCTACGGGACATGGATATTGTGACCGGCACTAATGAAACCACTGTACCAGCATTAGCTGATACACTCAGGTGGCTATGCAACATCTTGCTTGTCTCTCTCCATCTTTCGTATACCATTGTACATAAATATATATATATATATATATATATATATATATATATTCAGAATGAGTAGACGTTATGCGCGCATAGAAGCTAGATAGCCAGATAGCTAGATAGCTGGATAGCCGGAGAGCCGCATAGCTCATGGCTAGCTAGATAGATGGATAGGTAGGTAGATAGATAGGTAGATAGATAATTATTAGCTATTTATGCCGACCGACACATATATGTATTTGTTTATGTATGTATGGATAGACAGACAGGTAGATAGATAGATAAACAGAGAGATAAATAGGTAGAGAGATATGTAGAGATAGACCAGGCAGACAGGTGGACAGACAGGCAGACCGATAGCCAGGCAGACAGATTCGACAGCTCGACATACAGAAAGATCTGAGGGCAGAGGCGAAGGCACCACCCACCAGTGTCATGTTTTGGGGTACTTCGATCACACATGTCCCGAGCTAGATGGCCGAAGGAAGGAAGCAATGTTGCTCCTGTGTCCATGAATCAGCTATAAGAAGCTTCAGACCCCTCTGCAACCTGCGGCGTGCTTTAGCCCTCCACTTCTCAGCTTACTGCCCACACTGCAGGCTAGAATCTTATCGATGCGAGAACGAAGACTGAATCCAGCGTCAACCCCAGTACCCGAAACCCCTAACCACAAAGCCCTGCAACTACTCTGAGCCGCTTCTTCCCTGCCGGAAAGACTGCATTCCATCTCCGCTATCCGGACCTCTGAGGCAGATCCGACCCGCGGCAAAGCGGCCTCCGGCTTAGTGCGATTTCTCCTACCCTAAACCGCTGGTCTAAACCCGGAACCATCCTAAAATCCTCTTATGCTGCCAAAGGTGTCATCAAGCCTGCAGAAGGCGACACTGTGCTGTTTCAGGTAGGAAGGTTGCCTCAGACAGGGATGAACACACACATATGATACTATGTATGTATATATATATATATATATATATGTGTGTGTGTGTGTGTGTGTGTGTAGCGAGACAGACAGATAGACATGTATGTATGTATGTAGGTAGGTAGCTACGTAGGTAGGGTACTGTAGGATAATGTATGGTGTGGTGTTTACATGTGTATCTGTACATGTGTGCATGTGTATGTGTGTATGTCTGTATGTCCGTATGTCTGCATGTCTGTATGTGGAAGTGTTCTTGTGTGCATGTGTGTGTATCCATCCATCCATGCATATATATATATGTACATATACATGCATAATACATACATGCATGCATACATACATACATACAGACACACAAGCCAAGTTCACAACCTCGAGTTTCGCAAGACCTGGAGAGCCCACTGGAAGCTCGAGTTTCAGGCCTCGCTGGTGAAGGCAGCGTCAAGGACCCAGCTGCGGGTTTAGGGGCGTGGGGTTCTGGGCTTTGGGGGTTTAGGTGTGTTTGGGGTTTAGGGGTTTAGGGGCTTAGGGTTTAGGGCGTAGGGTTCAGGGCTTTGGGTGTTTAGGGCTTTTGGGGCTTAGGGTACAGGGCAAGGGGTCCGGGATTAGGCTACTGTGTTTCCCAGGGAGCAGTTCATTCTTTTCCCAGAGGCCATGGTCGGCAAGCTGCACCTGTTCAGAGAGCTTATCTTGTCTATTATGCATCATGAAGTATTATGAGGCAAGACTTTGCAGCAGTGGACTGCACTTAGTTTCTTGCAACAGCGAAGCGTCCCACAGATGCCGCATTCTCACTGTTGCTTTCCTGCTCCTCGTCCTTCTCGTATTCTTACTCCTTGATCCCTTGGTTCCTCATGCATGTTCGTGTTGAACTGGTACTCTCCTTCGTTGACCAGGAATCGATTTCTATCATTTGACGTGCAACTCTTGCCACAGTTATTGCTAATCTTTCGCATTAACGTACACTGTGCCAACTGGTACGGCTGCGTGTTTTCTTGTCTGCTGCTGCTGCTGCCGCGGCTTCTGCTACGACTATTACGACGACGATTCTACTAATTTCTGGTGGTCTGTACTGCTATTGTCACCTCGACTCCTTGATAAACAGCTCGTTGGATGGTTGCTGACGCATTCCTTGGCACTACTCTGGCTGTCCGACGTGTCTTTTCATATCTTTCCATTTTGAGATTTTCTTAACGATCTGATTTCATTCCCGTGATCTTGGCGCGTTCCCTTCACAGCGACTCTGACGATCCTTCTTTCTCACGAAACCCTAAACCCTTAAACCTAAACCTCTCAGACCCTGGGCCCCCAGTACCCGTCGTGACATGCAAGGCATCGGACCATCAATGCCGCAACCGTCCTGTGCAAGCCCAAAGCGCGGCGAAAAGCAACAGCTTGCTGAAGATTTGGGGTTTCGGAGGGACTTGGCTCAGAGCGTTGTGAGGGTTGGTGATTTATGTATTGACGTGTTGGGCCTACGGCCATAATCCACGCATGTTGACGCTTGGACTTGGTGGCGGGTGGCGCTCTCATGGAGACGTGGCATGGCGTTAGGTTCTGCATCCTACTCTAGCCGTGACCCTAATCTGCCTTGACGGTAAGGAAGGGCCGGGTAGCCCTTTCAAACGCTTGGGAGAGCACTTGAATCCAAGCCGTCAGCCCTAAACCATTTTGGCCTTGATTGGGCTTGAGATGACCTCACATACACCAAGCACCATGCGACTCGGAACTCCCAGAAAGCTCCCGTCTTGCGGCAAAATGCCGGGCCCCCCCACTGCACAAGAGCCCTGAAGCCGATCCGGCAGTATCGACCCAAGGGCTCTTGTAGTAAACCGTGTCGTCACCTTATAGACCCCCTATAAGCTCTAAACCCCTGTAGTTGCTTACTCCATTAACCTCCAACCCTCAACCCTTAGGCCCTCAAGAAAAACCTAAACCCTCATAGTAGCTTTGGTTCTTCCCTAGACCTTTAAAACATAAACCCTTAAGGGTTTGCCTTCTAACTTCCCTAGACCTTTAAAGCCTAAACCCTTATAGTAGCCGTATAAACTCCCTCAGCCCCAAACTCTGAACCCTTATACAGTCAGCCTTCTAAGCTCCACCAACCTCAAACAGTAAACCCTTAAAGGAGCCTTACAAACTCCTATTCTTGTTATGCAGCCTCTGACTAGGAAATAGGAAAATGATGATGCTTATCCCGCGTATGTTTTTGTATTCTTGTTATTTTTAGTGCTATTATCATGTGTACTCGTAGTCTTATTCTTCCTCGTTTTCGTTATTAGTAATTTTGGTTGTTAGTTACCGTGATGAACACTAGAACTAGTATTGCCGTTTGTAAAATATGTATTTCTATGGTTATGCGTATCATTCTATTCCACTGCGTTGTCCCAGCTCTTTCTGCTAAACCATGAGCCGAATGCCCGAATTCACCGCAGCCGCTAGGGTGGCCCCAACTAGTTTTTGTACCCACACCGCACGAAAAAGAGTGCTTGTTGGGGCTATGTCTCGGTCGTCGCCTCAGAGATGCCCTGAGGGAGCAACAGGCTTCCGAGTCCGGATTGGAGACTTCCGGGGCTCTACATGGCTTCGGAATTTGTGGCAGCAAAGGTTACGGGACAGGAAAGGGATGTCATGAAAAGCCACCCGCCGGCGCCACTATCGCCATAGGACTGTATACCGCATTCAATCAACAAGAGTCTAACACAACGGCAAGAGGCCAAAGCAGGGAGCAGCACTGAAGCAACAACGACGTCACAGGGCATCACCTCTTCGACAGTGCGCGTCAGGATACCCAATCTTGCACCAGCAGATATGACAAAGAGATACGTTTTCCCAGGTTTGCTTTGTGCGTGGCAGTTGTGGCCTCAGCCAGACCCTTCCACGTGACTGTCGGCCTTTTTGCGCTTAGCTTTGCGCGTTGGGCAACTCCCGAGCGAAATTTCGGAATTCTCGCCACCCCAAACCCTCAACCCCTAAGCCCTAAACCCTAAGCCCTAAACCCCTAAACCCTAAACCCCTAAGCCCTAAACCCTATGATGGGGGAGTCACGGGATGCAGAGAAGAGCTTGCGCTGTAGAGACACAATCTGCGACTCGCGGTCTACTTCAGGGCCCGATGACATCCGTATCACCAACTGTCCGGAGGGCCGAGTACCCCCAAATTAAGGAATATGGCTTAAATTATAAAGCGCTTCATATTAAGGTTTAAGCTATATGCCTTAATCAAGGGGTATTGTGGGTGCAGTAACCAGGCTGCGGCCCTTGGCACAATATAGAGTCATTTAGAGGTCTGAAGAGCAATTCTCGGTCGTATGTCCTCATAGCCCTTTTGTGGCTCTCCATCATGCCATAATGAAGAATACACAAAATCCTCAGTCAGACTGTTAAGGCTGTTCAGGATCCTGTATTATGTTGAATGTTGAACTGCATCATAGAGTATATGGCATATGGACGATCCATGCCTGTCAAAGGTTAGCATTGTAGCGCTACCCTAACCGACCATGACCGGTAAATTTTGCAAGGATGTTATGAATTCTACACTCCAGGGTTTCAGCTTTTGAACAAGCCCCACAGAAAGGAAATACAGGTTATGTTAGCTGCTGGTTCAAGGTAGTCTCCGAAGCATACTCAAAGCACAAAGCCTTGAACTGTTGGTAGCAACAGGCTACCGCCGTTGCTCTCGTGGCTCGCTACAGTCAGGACGATGCCTGCGTGTGTCTTCTTTAAGCAGCTTAGGCAGTTTCTGCTCGGGTTGTTGATCCAGGCAGCTTCGGCAATGCACTTTCTCTTGGTGGTACCTGGTTCTGGAGCCTTTTTTCGTGTATTTCTTCCACATCGTTTGCGGCGAGCGGTCCCCGGATTTTTCTCATTGGAGGGCCTTGAGAGCGTAAACCTCGGTGTCCATGATAAGTGATACTTCCTGGGTCGATTTTTGGGGCGATCTCCCAACACCGATTGAGAAGCCATCGCGGTTTTGTGCCTCGATGCTGCTGTTCCGAAATATTACTGTACTGGCAACTTGGTAGTATGCTTGTGATTGTCACTTGTTTTGTTGCTTTCGTTAGCTTGTTTCACCAATGCCTTTTGTGGCTTGTTCTGCTACTACGACTGTTCCCAGTGTATATACAGACAGTTGTCCCTGTCTTTGTTGTTGCTACAGTGGTGTTGTTCGGTTTGACATTGCGATTGGCTTGTGGCCCATGGCTTATGCGACAACAGCATGTCTCTGGCCCCCGGAGAGAGGCATTCAGGCCTCTTTGCAAAGGCATCTGGTGACCCAGGTTTTGCAGACTCGACTTGAGACGAGGTGGTCTTTCTTCGGCAACGTGAGTACTCCTGGTTACAAGGGCTGGTGATACATGCAGTTGCAGTCACACTGCTAGCAGCTCTCACATGTTCTCACCACCAATCCTTCTCACCACCTTCAACCCGAACCCCTGAACTAAACTCTGAAGGTTTCCGAAGTACGAGGTTCCTTCGTCACCGAAGCTCTAATCCAGAGCTCCCAGCACCCTAAACGACTAGGCCCTGGCAGACGAAGCCGAAGCTCATTTAGTGTTTGGGGTTGCACGCATCGTCGAAACTGTGTTCTTTGGGTTTTAAAGGGGGCTGGGGCCTGTAGTATGGGGGCCATCGGGGCCTAAATAATTGCCCATACCATTTTGGTGGTTCCTTATTGTAGTTAAAGAAATAATGGCCATAAAGGCCCCGTGTAGTAGTGATCTTGTGTCGAAAGGAGGCTTTCGCCCCTGCCGCTTGGGGATCGCCAGCCTTGTCGCGGGTCTCAGTGGAGGATCATGGGAGATGACCAGGGTTTTGGGGCTCAGGGTTTCGGAGTTTTGGGCCTCAAGTTTGGGGTTGGTGATTGTATTGTAGATAGCCCAGTTGCAGAGGACCGTGCGTAGTAGGAAACACGGCCATCAACCTTTGGCCCAAATGGCTCGGAGCTTGAGGTGTTGAGATAGACGTGGCTTTGTACAGTTAGAAAGACGCCTTGAGTGCGAAGGTAGGTTGGTGGATTGTTGCTTTAGCGGTTGGGTGTTTTGTTGGTTCGGCAGGCAGGCGGACAAGGTAGCCGGATAAGTAGATATACAGAGAGTGCCCACAAACACTGTTCTAGCGAATTCTGCCCCCAAGCGCCATAAACCCCAATCCAAAAGCCAAACTCCTAAGCCCTAGATGGCCCTAAACCCCCAAAATATCTCCCTCATATGGTGCACCCTAAACCCTAGAACCCTAAACCCAACTTTGAACAAGCAACCTCAGCCCAGTCTCAAAAAAGGCGGACGGCCTCGGCCCACAACGGCGAGGCAGCGCCCAGCGGACTGTCCACCGGGGCTCTAGCCTCGGCTTATGTCCCCTTGTAGTCCCTGTAACTAACTATACTAGAACATACTATACTATAACATAAACTATGCAATAATAGGCTAGACTATGCTATACTATGTATGCTATACTTTTCTATACTATAATTTACACTATGCCATTCTTTGAATATCGGCCTTTTTGACCAGTCTTCCGCGACATACCTCCAAACCCTGCTTGTGATTTTGAATGCTCCTATATTCTGATTTCTGGGCTCAGCCGTCGGGCATTGGCTGGAGCACACGTAACGGCAACAAGCATCCCAATAAATCAGGATCAGCAACTGGCTTCAGAATCTAGACATTTGTGCATGTAAGTAAAACCCGAAGGAGACTTGGACCACTTTTTTGGGGGTATAGCACAACTACTTCGATGCAGCTCAGCTGCGGTGGAAGTTGCTCGATACCTTTGGACTTTATACAGGTTGTGTTTGCCTGGGTCGATATGGCCTGCGACTTGGGCTGACGCAAACCAAGCTCAGAAAGCCTAAGGCACTCACGGGTGCTGTGGCCGTCAGTGCCGCCCTGGGAGCCGCAGCCGCCGTGGCAGGGCGCTCAAAGAGCGCCGCGCTCCTGGCCAGGCTGGATGTGGGGCTTCAGCAGTCGCATTAAGTAATAGGGACAATATGAGGGCGGTAATCGCACAGTGCCAAGCACTGCGCAGAGGAAGAGAAGACAAGCATACTCCGGGCTCAAGTTCTCTAAGCACTGCGTTACAGTGTTACATCACATATATCTATATTGTATATATATATACACACATAATATAATATAATACAATATAATATAATATAATATAATATAAGAGAATATAATAAAATATAATATAATATAATATAATATAATACAACATAATATAATAAAATATATAATATAATATAATATAATATAAATATTATAATATAATATAATATAAATATTATAATATAATATAATATAATAGAATATAATATAGTATAATATAATATAACATAATATAATATAATACCACATAATATAATATAATACAATATAATATAATATAGTATAGTCTAATATAATATAGTTTAATATAATATAATATAATATAATATAATATAATATAATATAAGATAATATAATATAAGAGAATATAATATAATATAATATAATATAATATAATATAATATAATATAAGTTAATATAATATTATATATTGTATATATATATATATACATATATATATAGGATATGACATAATCTGCATTACGTTATACTATATTATATTATATCATAATATACAGTACTCTTGTATTTGGGTAACTGGAGCCCCAGGGATGATAATCCTGAACCCTCAATCCAGGATGAGCGATGTAGATTCGGGGTCTTTGAGGCCTCCAGGTTGGAGGCATGTCCGTTTATTGTTTTGCAGGCTTTGTGTGAGAAGAGGCAGAGACTCCTGGACTTGGAAGCCTATTGATTTTGCTATTTAGTATGAATGTTGTTCGTTTTGCTATTACAACTATTATGTTTTTCACAGTTATCACTGCTATTATGAGGTCTTGGAATGCTGTTTTTCCAAAATAAGACACCCTCTACAGGCCTCGATTGTGTATTTAGAGCCGGAACAGGCTTGCCCGCGGCCTGCGTAGCGTTTGAACATGCAGATCCTTCTTCGGATTCAGAGAAAATGGGCAAAGGGCGCCAAACGCATCTGAGAGCGACTTTTGGAAGGTTTGGCTTGCCGAAACCCAGCCAGGAAGTCAACTGTGCTAACCTCTTGTGTTCCGAATGCGAGTATTGAAACCTCGTGAAGGCCACCTTCACTCACTTCACTCCTATCTTCTGCGAGACTTCAAGCGGAAAGTGCTAGGCCTAGCTGTAAGCAGGGAAAGCACGAGTCCGCATACCCGAGGCAGCCTCATATAGATGCCATAAATCCTGATGCCCGAGACGGGCAGCCTCCAAGCAGGCGCTCCCATGCCGTGAAGATCTACGACACTTGCATTGGTCGGGGACTGGGTTTGAGATGTTTGTAAGGATTTGCAAGGAGTCTGGATCTGGTATTTAACCCTAAATCGCAGCTTAGTTGAACTCGGATGCAGCATGCTGGATTCGACGATCGCGAGCCTTACATCCTGCTGAAGTCTCGAGTTGCGCGATGGCTTTCAGTTCCCGGGGCACGCACTAGAGGAACGATGGCTTGTGCTCGAAAACCTTAGCGGCGACAATCAACCAAGAGCTAGCAACAAACAAAGACAGACGCGACAACGGCAGCGTCGATCGCAAGTGAAACGATAGCGGCAAACGCAGCTGCAGCAGCGAAGATATAGAAATAGCAGCACCAGACAACAATCGAATCAGCAGCCATCATCGCCTGCAGCACCAGCAGCATCAGCACCGCCAGCAGCACCAGCAGCACAAGCAGCAGCAGCAACACCCCTGCACAAAAGTCCAGGACACGCATGAACACGGCAATCTGCGACCTAAGGCTGCACCCTCTGCGTCCGTGCCTGCCCCACTGACGTCCTGGAGTGAAGAACTCAGCCTTTTCGTTGAGGGTTTGGGGCTTTACAGGTCTATCACATGACTGAAGCATGGACATCGAGCACCGGCTTTACGGATTCATTGTTCGAAGCATCCAGACATTAATTTAAACATCATCTGCTCGGCGAGATTTTGGCCTTTGTGCCTGGGATTTCTGGCAAAAGGCAAACCAAGAGATCCAAGCTACCCGGAATGGTGTTGCCAGTATCAAAGCATCAAGTTCTTGAAGTACCTGGTCGAGGCTCCCTGACACTCCAGGTTCGGACTTGTACCGGGGTGAGGGCAAGGCCCAGGTTCATGACCACATTACATGAAAAAGTGTTTCTGTACTTATGAACGTCCTGACCCTTTGCCCCATGTAGCTCTCCTAGGCCCATGCTAGTGGCCTCCTACACGCTCGCACCTGTCCCAGGTACATATCGTAGGCCCCCACTGCCATCTGAAAGATCCTCGACACTTCAGTCACTTGACATGCTCAAAGCCATTAGCGGCTGGAGGATGGTCCCAGCCAGCATCAACGCCGCCAAGCAGGCTGGCTTCAGAGCTGCGTGGCTTCAGACTTGAGGTGTTCAGGGTGGAGTTTTAGTGGTTTGGGGTTTGAAGCTTCTTCAGAGGCCAGCCAGAACCCAAACTGAATCTCCCTGGACCCTGGTGCTCTGGCTGAGCTCCATAACTGGTACATACCGGTACGGTAGGGTATGGGTTTTGACACTTTATGAAGCCCGGGTGGCTCGCATGCGCTGGCAAGAGAACTCTCGCTGGCTATTGCGGTCTGGTTGCGGGCTGGATTTTGCAAGCCTGAATCCTTTAGTCCGTCGCACCACACCCAGTTTTTTATAGACCTGCTTTCCTGATTCCAAAGCCTAGTCGGCAGTTGAGATTGCCGTCAGGTGGCATCTTCCCCGCGGGTCGAGGAGTCGGGATTCAGCGGGAATCGGGGAGAATTCTTTCATAGGGTACATTCTAGTATAGCATTATTATAGTACAGTATCATAGTCGTATAGTATATTATTATAGTATAGTATTATGATACAGTAGTATAGTATTATCATATGCTCCGCTCCTCGTCCTCGTCCCGCTCCTCGTCCTCATCATTCTCGTCACCGATTTCCTGCTCCTGTACACTGCCGTTGTTGACAGGACTGCGTGGGATGCAAGCGCTGCGAGACCGCCTGCCCCACCGACTTCCTCAGCATCCGCCGGGGGCAGAGCTTGATTTAGGGCAGAGAGTGCAGTCCTCGTCGTTCCACTCCCGCACCTCGCGCCAGTTGAAGCCTGCTTCTCCCCTGTTTGAGGCGTGTACCTGCAGGACAACGAGGAGACCCAGTACAGTCTGGGACTGGACCTGGTCGCAGGGACGCCCAGACGTTTCTTCGGGCTGAGTAGTAAAGACTCATCACATCTTGGCCGCAGACGGAATCATATTCCATACAGCACTTCGTGCCAGAATCTGTTCGTGCACTATGAGTATTATGTAGTTAATCATGCTTAAACGGTTTTTGAGCGGTCTCGGGGTTGAGGGGGACTCCTACACAGGAGCAACTCTACGACTCGTACCAAAGATCCATGGAAGCTGAAGTCTGAGGCCCCACACCGCCTGAAAAAAATCGGCATACTTCAGCAAAAGGAGAACACAAATTCATAGTTTAGGACCGAGGGTGAGTTCCGATCTTTTGGGACTCCACGGTCTCATCCCAAAAGCCACCATCCTCGAACCGGTAAGCCCCGAACCCTGAATCGGAAGCCCTCGGCCGAGGATTGGTCGTAAAGTGTTGTTTCACTTTGCACCGCCGCTGCCCGAGTTCTGGGACCAGGAGCAGCAGCAACGGCAGTCGTCGCGGATCGTGGTCGTAGTCGCAGCTGGCCGTCGCGTAGTCGTACTTGTTGTCGTCGTAGTGCTAGTAGTGCTGGTGGTAGTGGTAGTTGAAATGGTATCAGTGGTAGTGCAGCTGAAGCGTCAGCGCAGTGGTGGCATGTAGTACAGCAACGGATGCAAGAGCTAGGGGTGTGTGAGTTAGGGCTGCAAACTTGTTCGACTCCAAACCTCATGAGGATGATATCCCAGCCCAATGCATGCTGAACCCTGAGAATCAACACTGAGGTGCTCCGTGGTGGCGAGGGCTGGGATTTTTGAGCTCACAGGCAAAAAAAGAAGTCTTCTGTGTCAACAAAAAGTTTGCTTGTAAGTTTAGAGGTTTGGAGTTCGGGGTTAAAGGCAAGGTGGCCGGGAGAGGCTTTGCAGAAGCTCCCTTTGCATGGACTCGTTGTCGGGTTTTCTGGAAAAGATCGGCGATGTTTCCTGTTTCCCTTGCGACGATTGAGGTCTGCGAATGTCCACTCCGCCCATCCGACAAGACCAGAGATGATCCTAGAAATGCTGGACTGCGCCATTCTCCATAACATGACCCGCAGGTGAGCATTGAGGATTTTCGGGCTCTCTTGAGGAGGGATCCATGAAGGGATCAACGACTGGCCGGTTCATTAACAATCTGTGGCAGTGGCTCATGTGACTCAAGCGGAAAACTCGAACCACCAACCCCGAAGCAAAAGCCCTAACGCCACTCCCAGCACCCGAACCGCAGCCGCAGCCGATTCGGCTGAGGTTTGCAGAGATTTCTTTTTGTATTTTGAGCCGCCAGCAGGTCCAACTCAGGATCCTACTCTAGCTTAGATTTACCTGTGTGCCCCGCTACTAAGCTTTGAAGCTTTACGCCAAATCTATGTATCCTTCTGAAAAAAAAGGGGCCTAAATAATTGCCATTACTATTTTTTGGGGGGTCCTTATCATAATAGTATAATGTAACCCAAAGCCCTATTCCACTTGTTAAGGCCCCTATAATATATCATTTCGTGATTTCTTCCGCCGGCTGCCATCCTGCGTCCAGCCGCAGTTCTTCGAGCATCTCGCCTTCAGATGCATTCGCGGTTTGGACTTTAGGGTTTAGGGTTTGGGGATTTTCCACGATAGGACTACTGTAAGTATGGAGCTTGAGTTCAGGTTCGGGGTTTGTTGGGACACACGGGGCGAGCTTCAAGGCAACACTGCATTTGGGGTTCTTTCCGTCTCGCTTTCTTTTGCGGGTTAACTTTAAGAAGATTTTCCAAGTTATTAAAGCTGGATACAGTATGTACATGTATGGCCTTGCACGGCTGTAGTTTATGGGGCATAGGCAAGCGGCCGTACAGGGCTGAACTGGATGATCTCGGATCATCCCGGCAAAGGGACATGCACTTTGGGAAATACCATGCCAATTACAGAGATGTCTCACGGATTCGCATATCCTGTGACATCTGTGAGTCCTCTCGGATGGCATTGCTTTTTTAACGCCCCCTAAAGCCCCGAACCCTGAACCCCAAAGCCCTAAACCCTCAGCCCCTCTAAGTCCTACCTTAACCCCGAAGAACCTACATTTTTAAGGACGTATATAATGAAATCATAATAAGGAACCCTAAAAAGGTAGGCTATTCAGGGTTAAGGTAAACCCTATGAACCCAGCCCTCTAGGCTGCCATGGAGTTGGGCACCGATGCGGGGGAACTCGGATTCCAGGGGGGAAGACTTACTTGCCTTGCGTCAGGGTCTAGGGTTTAGGGGTTTAGAGTTGAGGGAATTTGCATTTAGGGAATTAGGGGATCTACTTTCCCTTATAGATCCCTAGACCCTAAACCCTAAAGGATCCCTTAAAGGAGCCCTTTAAGGAACCCTACTAAGGTTTCGGGGCCAGGGCTTATGGTCTAGGGATCCTCGTAGCTTCTTGGCGCTTTCGACTTCAGAGTAGTCGCCTGTGTGAAGATATTGCGAATAATGTTCCAAAAGGGTTCCTTATACTCTTTTTTATCCCCCCAAGCCCTGTCATCATTGTTAAGGCCCCTATGCCCCTATATTATTCCCAAACCCCGGGCTTCAAGCCCCGATTCCTGAAATGCACTCTTCACAGTAAACTTACCGTTGGACTTCAAGGAGACTTGCTTGACAGTAGAGGTCTGCCAAAGGTTAGCGACCAGTGGCCACCAAGGAGGGCGTGGTTGCCGTCAGCTTCAACGAAAACTCCACCGGCAAGACGTTTGCAGACACCAAGGCGGGTTTGCTTGCAGACATGTCTAGTGCTAGTCGTCTGCTGCAGCATAACTATGAAGAACCTAGCTGGCTTGTGTAGCTTTTGTTGCTAGGGTCACTACCGCTCTTTTTCCATGTGACCCCTTGTAAGAGCCTTAGCTTTCAATTGGTTTGCTATCGGTGTTGTTTTTCCCCGGTCACAGCTGCTGTTGGCGTTGCTGACACGAGTAGGAACACCGGTCTACTTCTCTGATTACTACATCATCGCTACGAGAAGAGGCTCTCAGAGTACCTCCATAATATAGCTTTATAGACTGGCCTGCTTCAAGGGCTGCAAAGACAGGGGGGAACTCAGTTTTGGCACGAGGCATCCTGCTTGCAGTAAGGATCCTATTCAGTGTCTGTACCGTGGCCCCTTGTTTTCCGAACTCTCTTGTTGAGACAGTCCAGGTGCGGTACACGTGGGAGTTGGCCATCGACGGCAAAATGCATACGCACCTCGGCAGATTCACTGGGCTCAGGGGAAGTCTTTTTGTCTGCCGTTGAGTTATGTCGGATAGACGTGAGATTTATGTTTAGGGCTAAGGGGTCCCAATCCTAAACCCCCAAAACCCCTAAACCCCAAGTCCCGAAAGCTTGCCACACAATTTTGTGGACCGGATTCGGGTCCGGGGGCCCTGCCTGGCATCTGATTGCAGGATCGAGTTCACCAACACGAAGTTGCGGCCTCAGTATGTCTCAGGGTTTAGCGTTCGCGGGGCTTTAGGCATATGAATTTCAATTTCGGTCTCAAGTAGTGGACCTTCCTAGACTCCAGACGAAGTCAGGTGTAGCGGCCTTTGTAATCTTGGGCTCACGAAGCCTCGAAATTGCTCTTGGAGTGAACCCATGTCAGTATCATGTGAATCATACGTGCCATGTGTTGCAGCATCTGCAACACATAGTATGCAATGTCTAGATTTATCGTGTTATTCAGCTCTCTTGACGGCTATTTAGCAGACCTCGGCTGCTTCAACGGTTTCTCACGCCGGATCCATCGAAGGAACCCCGAAGTTTCAACACCGGAGTTTCAGATTCTACGAAGCCTCATAGCTCCTAATATAGACCCGAAGTAGAAGGATCCTGAATATGAGCAGCCCATCAATCAGGGCATGTCAGTTTTTTGAAACGAGGAAGCGCCGCCGGGTCCCAAGTAAGCACCATCCAGGACCTCCGGTAAGAAGCGCGTCTTCGTGGATGGCCGCTTGCTGCATGAGATGACGGTGCTGCCGGCTTCTTCCCCCCCTTGAGAAGTTCTTCTCGAAAGACATACCTTCAACATCTGAGCCTATCTGTTGGGAGGTACGGTCCAAAGTAAGTGAAATCAACCTTGCATCGTAACAGGGCCACGAGCCAGTGGGCCTTCCTTGCTCTATGCGCTTAAGACGACAGACGGGCCGGGCAAGTTCTGGCTTGTGCTAGACTTGAGTTCAATGTGTAGCATGACGAAGTGCTGTGAATTCTCAAGCTACTTCATGGCCTAGTTAAAACTGTACAACCCTTCGGCGATCCTGTATTCGAAGCACCACATGCAAGAATCTAGATCTGCGGTTTACGCTGTTAGAATTCGGGTGTAGGCTTTTTGGTCAAATGGAGCGTCAACTCGGAAGTTACTACCCTACTATGTTCCCAGCTGTCCCGGACAACTCCGAAGCGGTGGGAGTACCATCCTTTAATACTTGTTTTCGTACAGGAACCATTGTGACATGAAGTTGTATACTTGTTTCTCCCTGGCTACTTACAATTACAAGCCCCGTAGAGGAACCCTTAAGGGATCCCTTAAAGGAACCCCCCTATAGAGCCCTTTAAGGGCTCCTTTAAGGGCTCCTTTTTGGATGGGATCTGCGCCTCCTGAACCGCCAGGTTATACGCTCCCGCAACTTTCAGTACAGCTGGCCCATCGGCCGGGCCCTCAAAGATCCCCAAAGCTTCGGGTATAGAGGGTTTAGGGTTTAGAGGATGGGTTTAAGGGTTCAGGGTTTAGGGGGTCAAGAGGGTTTAGAGGGTTTTGGGGCTTCGAGGGTTTAGGGTTCAGGGCAGGGCGACAGAGCAGTTGCAGGAGGTCGCCCTAGACTTGTAAACCCTGAACGCAAACCTCAAACCCAGACCGTGCAAGCGCTACGAACCCCAAACCTCTAAACCCTAAGCCCCGCAGACGCAGTAAGAGCCCGAGAAGCTCAGACGAAGGTGGTCATTTGCTATCCATCGTGCCGATCCAAGCGGAAGGCGTGGCTTCTGTGGGAGGATTTGAGATGTGGAATGTGTTTACACAAATGTTTTTTGTATATACACACATACATACATGCATGCAGGCATGCATACATCTACTGGCAACATGCATGAGCACAGTGTACAGGCTCACGTGCATGCCTGCAAACTGCCTATGCATGTATGTTGATCTTTTTTGCTGGTTTTCACGTGTTTGTCTGTCTGTCTGTCCGTCCGTCCGTCCGTCTGTCTGTCTGTCTGTCTGTCTCTCTCTCTCTCTCTCTGTGTCTCGCTGTTTGTCTGTCCGTCCATCTTTTCGTCCGTCTGTCCGTCTGTCCTTCTGTCCTTTGTCCTTGCTTGTTTGTTCGTGTATTTGAGTATGCAATACTTACTGTCTTGACTTCATGCAGTTACTTACGAGGTCTGTCACTTTGTGTTTGTATGCGCACTGTGACAGGGTCTGACAGCATGCTGGACAAGGTAATGGACAGAGTTGCAAGTTCGGTCGGGAGCTCGGGCAAGTGCCTGGGCCGCTGGTGTTGTCAGTCATGGCAGCGCACACAAGGCTTTTCAGAGCTATTCTTACCAATCCCATTGCAAAGCCTGCTATGCATCTTGCGTCCTTTGAGCCTGTAACCTAGAGTCCTTCACTTTACAGGCCATCCTTCCACCCCTTCAGGTCTAAAGCGTGGATCTCAGACTTGGCCTAAGGTGATAACGCTTGCATGCCGAGGTGGGACATGGTGTTGGTCCCAGCAAAGGTAGGCTGTGCACATGTCTCCGAGTTTTCAACTCCACCCAGTCATGCTTAGCTATAGCATAAAATTGTACTATAGTCCATGCACATGAAACTCCAAACCGAAAGTGCGACTGCTCTCCTTGATGCCATCACCAGCCATGTCTCTAAATGCAAAAGACCCCCCTCAAGCCAAAACCTTAGACCCGAACCCCAGGATCCTAAGCCCTTAGCCCTGAAGCCCAGACCCTGGACCCCAAAACGCAAGAAGCCCTATGAACCTTGAAGCGTATCGAGACTTTCCCCTTGCTGCGGGCTCTGTGAGGTCGATTGCAGCTCGGCCGCAGAATCGCGAGTTCAAAAATGTGGGCTGAAGACCTTTAGCTCAGGAAGCAAGCATGACTGTGATAAGACGGCTTTCGCGCATAATGATGTTTGGGAGGGTTTGTTGTTGCCGTCGTGGTGGTGGTGGTGGTGGTGGTAGTAGCAGTGACACCAGCATGCAGTAGTAGCCGCAGCAGCAGTGGCCGTGCTTCGTCGTTTCTCTGTTCCAAGACTTCGTCGTTGCGCCAGGTACATTTGTTTGGGTCTAACGCACATCGCAGCTGCTCATCATCCCATGAGTTTTTTTCAAGCCGGACCGACTGTGTCACAGTGCTCCGTCCGACGGTAATCCCCAAAGAGATGGAACGGGTGGTAGTAGCAGTCAGCAGCTGCAGTAGCAGCAACAGCAGCAGTAGTCGTTGAATCCGCATAGCAAGCAAAGAAACCGCTAATCTGCGGCGAGTCAGCGAAAATCTCAGCCTAGGCCCCTTTGAATTGCGCATCAACGGCTTGCCCTTCCGCTCCTTTCGAAAGCGATCCGTGGCAGGATGCTGAGATGTTTTAACCCTCGGATCGGCGTGCAGGGTTGAAAATTTTCAGGTATAGGATTTGCTGCTGAAGGTTCCGACATCTTCTGAATGTGCTCTCCACTTCGCGCTTCCGTACTTTCGTAGAAGTTATCAAGGAAGTGGTGCACCTGGCTAGCACCAACTCTTCGCTTCTGAATGCTTCTGACATATCAGAAGGCCCTAGTCACAGCTACCTCTCCGCAGACCAACAGCTTTTCAAGCATGAGGGCTGCCCCGTGTTGGCATGATTAGACATGCGAGTGGATGTCCTCAGCATGATTGAGGATCATGGCGATGTTTAGTTGTGTTCCCTTCGACGAAGGACTTGTTGCAACCTGCATCAGAATGGAACGGAGTAGTGTTGATGTCCTTGCCGTTTTCAATCACCTGGCTTGTGCAGTCTAGTGCAGGGAAGCCCTTCGAAAGCAAGATGGCAAGAACATGCCTTGTTGCTTGCCCCGACCTTGCCTCTTCACGGTGCATGCAGCTGATATTCTCAAACTCTGCCGTGGAAAAACCACAATGCTTCCATAATGTGTTTTCTGGTGCACCTTATCAAGCTCCTTCTCTCGTCGCCATCGCCATCACCACCATCATCATCACCACCACTACAACCATCATCATTCTAAATTTCTTCTCTCCCGTCCGCTCCTCCCTTCCGTCCCATTGCCTCCCCTCACGTCACCTTCACTATGACCATCAGCATCATCACCCTCATCATTACCACCTTCGCGCCATCATTGTCTTCGTCTAAGTCTAAGTATGGTTCCGTCATTTGCTATCGTCATCGTCATTGCAAGCATCAGCCTCGTCACCGTCATCGTTTTCGTGTTCTGACCATCGTGGTTTGTCGGCGTCAGCATCAGCCTCATCATCACCCCCCCGTCGTTTTGGCAAGACACCTGGCAACTCCCGCCGGCTTGCACACTAGTAACTAGCCTGCAGCTCAATCAATGAAACCAGAAGCATGACTCAGTCGAAACTACAAGGCATCAGACTTACCAGGTACCTGTGCACCGACCGACGCGTCCGCTGCCGGTTAGCCAGGCGTTGGTGATGAATGGCACGAGTTTGCTGGGGTTTAGAGGTCACGAAAGATGTGGGTAAGGTTAGAGTTGTATAGTTGGAATGTCCATCAGTCTATCAACGTCTGATTTCTTGAGTCGCTGAAATCTAGATGTTGCACAAGACTTTTTTGTCCGGCAGAAGTAGATGTCCTTTGTAGGGTTTCATGGTGCTTGCAGGCTTTGTTCTCTTTATGGGTTCGTATGAGTGTTGCAGGGTTATATTTCATCTTGCTCTGCAGTATTGGGACGGATCTCTGAGACTCCATGAACCCTGGATCCTGGTCCGCGCGCCGAAAGCTCGAAAGCTCGCAAGCACAGCACGTGTGCCCTTCGTCCCAGCGGTGCCAGGGCTATGTGACCGCGCCCGCAACGGCCATCAGGCTCGGGGCTCTTTTATTCGGATGGTCAAGCTACGGCCCTGCCTTCTGCAGGGTTGTCGGCACCAAGCAAGGGAACTTTCTTCGTATGGTGCCGGGAGGACCTGGGTACGGGAGCCTAACCTTGCTCCAAGCAAGCTTCTTATTTTCGGGAAAGTAGACATCGACTAGGCACCTTTGCAAGCCAAAGCCTCCCGAATCGAATCCAGATGGGTCGTTCAAAGCCCGAACCCCAAATTGAGAAACTGTATTTTTGGTTTCGTTCTCCGACGGAAACAGAAGAAACTAGTGGCCGAGTGGTTGCAGCAGCGGGGCAAGCCTGAACACGTACTGATACCATTCCTTCAGATTCCTCATTAAGCCAACAACGATGATGTATACTCAAAAGCCTTTGTCCTGTCATAAATAAAGGCGACCCCGGGGCTATCAACCTTAACGGTCTCGTGTAAGGAGCAGCTTTCCTTTCAAAAAGATCCAACCATAGTTTCAATATGTTATCACCGACTATGGTATACCTTGGCATACGAAAGTACGTCCTTTGCACACCCATGATATACGATAAGCCGGTAGAGCAGACCCCAATAAAGCCGAAGTAATCCCTCACCCTTCCAGGAACTGTTATATAGAATGCTCATGCTCACGCAGAGCAGCCCCCCCCCCCCCACATAACAAACACAATCACCACTAAAGTCTCACACGTATAAACCCCACAACCGAAAAACCCCAAACAAGCACAGCACACCTAAGTTAGCCCTAAACCCTAAAACCCTAAACCCTTAGCCCTAAACCCTAAACCCAAACCTAACTTAACCCTAAACCCTTAAGCCCAAACAGGCCCGCCACGCGGCCGTCACCGGAGCAACAAGCCGACCGAGAGCAGAAGGGCCCAGAAGAGTTCTGTAGTCATGAGGGTTCAGGGTTTTAAAATCATGGTCCCTTTTTGGGTCCCTAATATAGTACGGCACCTAATATTTAGGGTTCCCCAAAAGGGACCATAATTTTGACAACCACCCATGAGGGTTCAGGATTTCAGGGCTTAGGGTTTGGGGGGTTTGCAGTAGAAGCCCAAAAGTTGGAAACCCAATAGCCTCAATCACCAAGAATGATACATAGGGAATCCCAGCACGATTTGGCCTTTAACGGGTTTCCAACTTTTTGGGGTTTACTGTAGGGCTTCAGAGTTGGAGTTCAAGGGTTCAAGGTTTAGGGTTTAGCGCTTCAGTGCTCAAGGGTTCGGGGCTGATGTTCAGGTTTTGGGGCTTCATTTAGGGTTTAGGGTATAAGAGGGTCTAAATGCATGAGGTTCTACATGGGCTTCGTGGTGTTTATGGAGACTTCTGCTATAAAGGTTCTACAATCCATCAGGGTTTCTCAAGGGCGTTTACGCTTGATCAGGGTTCTTCAAACTGTCTGTTCGGGCTCTTTAAGGGTTGTATGAGGGTTTTATTCGGCTTTCTGAGGTTTCTAGGATCCTTTTTCGCCAAATCCGAAACCAGCAACCCTAAACCGCGAGCTTCAATGTCGCCTTCGCCCAGCAGAGCTTAGCAGGCGTTTAGTTGAGACTCATTGCTCATGTATGACTCACTGCTCTCTGACTTTGTGGTAGGGTTCGAAATCTTGGTACGAACTTGAACCATAGCCCGTTCGTGTTCGATGGACGCTTCCGAGACTCAGAACAAATCGTGGGCAGTTGTGTAGATTGCATACCTGGGTTGGATTAGGAAAGCCTTCTGACATGCTCTGGCCTGAAGCCCATACGTAGCCGCAGGAATTGGCCCAGGTTTAGTAACTTTAGTATCTATAGGTTTGACGTTATGTACCTTTGGTTGATGGTTCAGGGCGCTGCTGTGCTCGGATGTTTACCTCGTCCTCTCTTCCGGCCAGTCTGGGGTTTCGGATGACAGCTTTGCCTGGGGAGGTTGTGGCCCCCTCCGGGAACATTGGGTTTAGGGTTTAAGGTGTGTTCCTGAAAGCCATTGCTGCTTTCCGTTTTCATCCGTGCGACGAGGCAAGAGCTGCACGCTTGTTTTGACACCTCATTGCTCTGAATGCCAGCCACGCGTAGGGCAGGGACCCCCTCCTTGCTTTGAGGCTCCATCAAGATGCCAGAATCAGCGATTACGACTTTGATGCAGTTCGGACTGTCAGCAAGTCCACGACGCGTGTCTTTTTTCGGACTGAGCCAGGTATCCTAGACCCTAAAACGCTTAAACCTTAAAACCCAAAGCCCTGAAACCCTAAAGCCCTAAACCCTAAAACCCTAAACCCTAAAGCGCCAAGCCCTGAAACCCTAGACCCTAAACCAGGTATGAAGAAATGCGGCGCAGGGTGGAGGAGCTGAGGTCCTGCGCCCGGGGAGACTTCAGAAGACTAGCACTTAAGGTATATCCCTAAACTATAGTATCAAGAAATATGGCTTCGGCTTAAGGTATAGTTGTAGATGGAAGGATTTTGCAAGATCTGGATCCTGTTTGGGATCCCGCCTATAGTCTCCTGTGGTTCCGTTTTGTGACCTTAACAACCCTACAACACAGGGAGCTGGAAGATACCGGCCTGAACCACAATCCATCCTCAATGATCGAGTTGTCTTGCTCCCAGCATCTAGCATTCAGTTGCCATGAAACTCTCTGGCTAGAGGGTGGTGTAGTTGAAGGAAGAAGTGGACACTAGGATGGTTGAACAGTTTTTTTGCGGCTGAGGGGGTTCGGCTGTGGGAGGACGGTGGACTCTGCAAGAAAGCGAAACAGGAAAAAACAACTCGCGGCAGCGGGCGTGAACAACTAAATCAAGCCCCAGGCCCCGAAAACCTTAACCTACCACTTTCAATGAGCAAGAACCTATAGCACCAGAATCCTAAAGCCATTCAACCCCCAAAACATAGTGCTAAAACCCTCAAACTCGAATGTCTGAGGCGGCAGAAGGAGACGCATCGACCACAGCTTGGCCACCAGGAGCCGATCTCGAAGATTTTGATAGAATTGCGGGTGGTTTACGTTTTGGGTTCATTATAGTAAGGCTCTCATAAACTCCTAAGCCCTAAACCCTATTATGGTCGCTTAACTTCTGAAAGTGCCCTGTAGAGGGAGGTATGCTGCGTCAGGACTCGCCTCTTGATTAGCGCAGGGTCCGAAGGTTAGGATAGGGCTCTGCCAAGTTGTGTTGAAGGGATTCCGTATGTAATCCCCATGCAAAGAATCATAAGTCTGTGCCTTCTCTGACGAAGGGTCTCAGGGTTCGTTAAAAGTTCCTGGACCCAGAATCGAGTACACCGTCGCAGCACAGGCAACAGAAGCTCATAGCCCAAGCTCCCAAAAGTCTAACGCCTGCCCCGAACGCTCAGTGCCTCAATGCACTCTGTTACCCGGTGATATGTTCATGCGCTTCTTAATGAGTATGGGGTTTATTTATTTTTCTGGTCGAACCAATTCTCGGCCTCTTTCTGGTCATTGTTTGCTGTCGTATCTCCATGCAGCTTGCTGCTGCTTCCCAGTTAGTATTACAGATACTTATTTCTTAGATGTATACAAATACTACTAATACTACTACTAACACTATAGTCATAATAGTACTACTCAGGCTACTACAAGTTAAGCTCCATATTTGGGGCCCCTGATCTTCTGAGTATTCAGCCTCTGAAGGATTCCTTCGACCGCCCGGAACGACCGAAACCCCAGCGAGTAGTGCGCCCGGTCATGTGGTCCGTCGGGACAGGTTTCCGGGCTTTCGGGGTTTGCGTAATGATGTCTCCTTTAGATACATGTATGGGAAGTAAGAAGCTATGAGAAGGCCTGCGGCAGGATGCTTCAAAGAGGGATTTTCAGTACAATCGTATGTCTGTTCGTTGAAAGAATGCGTGTTCGTGTTAGTGCGTGCCTGTCTGTCTGCGAGTGTCTGCGTGTGTGTGTGTGTGTGTGTGTGTGTGTGTGTGCGTGAGTGAGTGCACGTGAGTGTTGGCGCGTGCTAACACACAAACACAGACACACAGACACAAACATGCAGACCTGCGCGTACACACGCGCAAGCACATATGGTCATGTGCCAGATCACTTGCGTTTAAATCCATCCATCACGCATGCATTGACTCATAGGTAGACATGCTCGTCTATCACACACGTGTCTATGTATGTATGTACGTGTAATTCAACATCTAAGGATGTAGTTCTGTATGCTAAAACCCTAGACCCTTGAAAGCATCTAGACACCAAGCCCCTCTCTTCAGTGAGGGTTTAGGGTTTAGGGACTCTTGAGGTGGAGGCCTCCCGGCCAGAGCGGGCTCAGAACTTTGGAGGCTCGCTGGGATCAACTTCCTGGGCCACTGATTGGGTTTCGGGTTTCAGAGTTTAGGGTTTTACGGTGTAGGGTTTTAGTAAATAGGGTTTAGGGCCTCAGAGTATTTTGTTTTTTTGTTGAGTTTTGGGTTTCGGGTTTAGTCGGACTACAGCCGACCTCGGAAGCTTGCTAACTGAGTCCTGTGAAGCTCACTAGACTAGAGGGTTATTAAAGCTTTTGGTTGTGTTAGGGCTTGCTATTTTCTGGTGATTGCGGCTTAGGGTTTAGGTTTGATGTTTATTCTGATTTTGGCTCGGGTTTTGGAGTTCGCGCCTTGCGCTTTGCTGCTTTTGATTTAGGGTTGGGAGTCTTGGGTTTAGGGTTGGGGTCTTGCGGTCTGCGAAAGTTGCTGGACTCAGTTGGGCGTCATGGTGACTGTTCTCTTATATAGTGTTATAGCCGAAGGTGATCTTTGCGCCGTAGCAGTTTCGGCACTATGGTTGTTTTGTCGGGCTGCTCTCGGCTTGTGGGATTTTTAGCCTTCTACTAAGAGGGCCACGATGGACTTCTTAGCCACCTCTACAGTTACCACGAGATAACTAGACAACCAGCACCAATCATCCCTCTTTCAGTATCCACCTTTATGTTTGAGAACCCTTGAAACTGCCAATGCCCCGAACCCAATGCCCTTGGATGCTCTTCCTCCAGAAGAGCCCTCTCACTCTGAGCCCAAAGTTTTGAAGCCTAAGATAGCATGCCATGATGATTCAAATCACGTCTTCCGAAAAAATTCTGAGTGCAGCTGACTTCGGACTAAATAGAGGATTAAGGGTTCCCGTCCGTTGCACAGCAGGAACTCCTCCAACGTAGACGTGGAACATCTCGATGCTCGCTTTGTCAGGTAACCCTTGGAGTGAAGGACCCTGCCGTGCAGCCTGGGTTCGACACATTTGATTTAACTTACTGTTGTGAAATTTCGGGTTTGGGGTTCAACCAGCGGCCGACTCATCTTGCGGTTTCGGGGTGAATGAGGCTGGGGGGCAAGGCTTCCTGCGCATGAGGCCTGGAACAGATTACAGATTCATGTTTTCAGGTTGCATCCTTTGAGTTGGAGTTGAGGGCCAAAGTCGTCAAAGTTTAGGGTTTGAAGTTGGCTCCAGGGCTTACGGCTCAAAATTGGGGATATTACATAGGGCGTAGTTCAGGGTTCTGAGCCATGACCTGGGTGGGGGCTTCAGGTTCTCTGGGGTGAACGGTGCAACGGGGAATGCGAGACTCAAGAGTTCGGAATGACGTTTTTCTCATCATCCGCTACATTATATTATGTTGTAAATGTTACATGTAAATACGTATGTATTTATGCATGTGAATACGTGTATTGGTGTATGTTTAAACATATATATATATATATATATATATATTTCTAGCGTCATGTGGCCAGGCGGGGCTTGTGCAGCCATCATGAGCCCTCTGCCTGCTCATGCTCCGCGTAACCGGCTCTACTTGCAGCCCGTTCCACTACAGGCTCAGGTTGATCTCACACCAAGTACCCTGCGGAGTCACGCACATAAGGTCATATGACGGTCGTACACTGCAAGGACACTTGAGTTCCAAAGGCCCGCGCAGAAGTGGCTCGCAGCCTCAATCCCAGCGTTGAGAGTATTCTGCATAGGGTGGCTTCTTACTGGTGCGAGAAGTGGCATGAGCACTGCAGCTATTGACGTGTTGGTCGCTGTGGCAGTTCTTGCTGTTGTGGCAGCGGTAGCACCATGAGTTCTAGTCCCCGCCGTCGTCGTCATCGCAGTAGTCGCAGATTTTTCGGAAGCTGTTGCCTTTTGCATACTTGCGGCTCCCAGTGGACGTCGCCCTCGTACTAGTAGTGGTAATGGTAGCAGCCTTAATACAAGTGCTGGGTGAGCCATGCATCGTCGTGTTGTCGTTAGTGGCTGTGGGCGCGATTGACCTCATAGTAGTAGTAGTCGTAGTGGAAGCATTTGCAGAAGTTCGAAGGTAGACGGTGGGCGGCAGAAGGCAGAAGTAGAAGTAGAAACAGAAGTTGTAGTAGGGGTTCTAGATTCTAGATGGTACTTAGTAGTTCGTAGTTAGTCGTTCGTAGTAGTGCATAGTTAGTAGTGAACTTGTAGAACTGCAGTTTCAGCACGACGACGGCTTGTAACACAGCCCTGGCTGCTAGGACATGACTACTTACTGCAAAGCTGTAGATTGTAGAGCAGCGTGCTTTTCGTGAAATTACGACCTATACGCTTTTGCTCCTGTTGCTATACTTTGTGCTCTTCGAACTTGTCAAGCTGTTTATTCCGCATGGCAAGACACAAAGCACTACTTCATTGTTCGTAGCGGTGCCCTAGAGCATAGAAAACAAAGACAAGACAAACAGTTTACGGCTGTGCCCTTTCATGCTCCGTAAGGTCAGATTTGTAGCAGTTGGCAGTTCACGTCTCGGCAACTTGCTTCAACCCCACAACCCGGAACCCGAGAACCTGAACAAAACCGTGCCGCGGTTGGATGGGATCATCGGCACAACTTCCCCCGCCAGGTTCGATGTTGAAGGTGCGACGCTCGGAAGGCAAACCTCAGGCTCTGAGCATTTCTGAGCCACTGCAGCAATAGTACCCGCAGAAATAGTCTTCACCGTAGTGTGATCAGTCAAACCAGGACTAGGAACAAGTGGTATTCTTCAGCAACAGTCAAATGATTGCCGAAGAGGTGAAACTGCTGAAGTCTGGAGCCCATGGCACAAATGACCACCGACTGTCACCCGCACTACCGTCCTAACCTCACTTTCCTTTTCAGTAGCACCATTGTCATTTTCTTCATGACTCTCCGCATCACCACCACCGTCGTCATCATCACTCTGCTTATCAGCATGCCTTCGTGGTTGTCAACATCACCATCCGCATCCACAGCATGACCGTCAGAAAGATTTCGACGAGGAGTGCTCTGCCGGTGACGATGATGATACCGTCATCGTCGACTCCGAATAGATAGATGACGATGATGATGATGATGATGATGATGATATGGTGGCGATGAGGTGACAACGATCGCGCACGATGACGGCATGGCGGATGTGGTGGTTGTGCTGTCCATGTCATGCGCATGCCGTGGGATGGAAACCGCAGCTGCGAGCGGTGCAAGGAGAGGATGTGGGCTTGACATCCGGTGCTGCTGGAAGGTACAGCAGTGTTACTGCCACGTTTCCATCCGGTTTCCGCCTTGTGGTCTGTTTGGGTTCATAGCTCAGGGTGTCAGGGGTCAGGAGGTCCGCAATTCGGCAAGGTTTTCTTCTTCTCAAGAAAGCATGGCGTTCTTACTGATCCTGATCCGAGGATGCTATCCTGGCAACTTGAAGCCCTAAAGCCCTAAAGCCCCCACAGCTGAAAAGTCTGCAAACTGATGTCTGCTTTGTGCATGCGCTTGGTCGGATTTGGTGTTCCTTCTGAGTTCTGCGACAGAAACAAGATGATTTGAACTCTTCGGCAGGCCATGATGGTTCCGAGACTAACATACGGATCTTGACAATAAGAATGGGTTGGGGGCAATATTTTCTATAAGGACACGTCATTAACTACTCAGACCCTACGATATTTCCGAGATGCCACCCGGTTCATAGCCGAGATTCACGAAGCCGCATGAAACAGAGCCTCTGTCAGAAGTCATGAGTTGCCAGAGACCCGAAGAAACACAGTAATGATGGAGTTACTTGCCTGTCTGCCGAGTTTTACTGAGATATGATGCATGCCAACATACATTGTCTGTCTGTGCTGTAAAGACTGCTGCTAGTTGTCTAAAGGCCTGCGGCTTCTGCATTCCTAAACCTCAAGCCATCAGCAAACCCCCATACATCAAGCCCAAACTCCTCAAGGCTACCACCATGCAATGCCCCCCCCCAACCCCCGATCCTGTCCCTAGTAGCAGAGTAGGTAACCTTTAACCTTTTTTTGGGTAGTAGAGTCCCTATATAGTCCCGATATAACCTAAAAGGTTAACCTTTAGTTCCCCATGATACCCGATAAGTAGGACCCTAAACCCTAAACCCTAAAAGCCCTAACCCCTAAACCCCTAAACCCTAAAACCCAAACCCCCTAAACCCTAAAAGCCCTAAACTCGCTCCACGCCAGATCTAGTGGACTCTGCCGGATCCAGCTTCTCCGGCTGCAAAGAGGGGTGGAAGCAGGGGGTGGAAGGGGCGGAGACAGAAGAAGGTTCCAATGTTGTGAACATGACAGTTATGTATTATAGGTATAATATAATATAAGATACTATACTATCAGAAAGTGGGTATATATATAATATTACAGAATAGAATAATATGATATACTACAACTCAAAAGCTGGCTCAGGAGCAAGCCGAGCTTCCTCGTCGCAAGTTTTCTTCACCCACCACCTAAAACGGAGATCGGTTGGGTTCTGAGCACCCTGAAGCCCCTAAACCCTAAACCTGAACCCTTTAAGGAACCCTTATAAAAACCGAAAAGTCTTCCGCTTAATCGCAAGACTTCCAGGTGAAACCTCGGATGCTTCCCCGGCACACAAGTCGTCAGTCGCGACCTCGCCGGGATCTCTTGTACATATGGGCGGTTGTGAGGATTATGGTCCCTTTTTGGGTACCCTAAATAATGGGTGCCGCATGGTAATCATGAGCCAAAAAGGGACCCTAATTTTGACAACCACCCCTATATCATATATGTATATGTAAGGGAATATAATGTACTATACTATCATATAGCATAGTACATTATATGATAGTATAGTACTGGGATCTCTTATGTATACTAGAACATATTATATACTGTCATGTAGTAGAGTGCAATATAGCATAATGTAATGCATTGCAGCAAGGCCTCGGCTTCGGGAGCTTCCAGCTTTAGCCACACTGTATCTTATCATAAAGCAGTATGCTGATTATTTGCACTCTTTTGCACAAAACGATATTATCTTGTAATGTATTATTTTGCGTTATAGTACTTTATAGAGCTATAGTATATCATGGTATATGTTGTTAAGCGGTTTCAGTTTTGTCTTCTACCAGTTACCATTTGTCAGAAAAGAGTACACAGATCGCTGCGTAGTGATCGGTTCCTGATTCAGGACAAACCAGTGCTGACTATGATTATGTATGTTTCATGGGGTGAAGCTAAGCAATTGATGAAGTTATGTTTGAAAGTTCACAGTTCAAGGCACCATGCTCGCAGTGCAGTCGGAATTTGTGAAATATGTCTGTCTATCCGTGCGCTTCGTTGCATCAAGAGCTGGTAAAAGCTTGCATTCGTGAACGTCAACTGGAACATGAGCGAAGCCATGTCTACCCTCGTGCTCCCAACACCTTGAAGTCCGGTGGCTACAGAACCCAATGGGAGTTTTCAAAAATTAGGGGTACCTTATTTTGGGGCCCTTATATAATGAGGATCCTACTTTTTCGGGTGCTATATTAGGGTCCCCTGTTTTCGGAAACTCCCACATAAGCGTTACCAGGCCTTGAGCAGTGACGCATCATGAAGGAGAGATACCAACATACGAAATTCCAGTGACGCCTGGTATTTAGGGTTTAGGGTTTTAGGGTCACAGAAGTCGTCAACTCCCAGACCCCTATACCCCTAGACTCTCAACCCGGATTCAGAAGTTCAGCATCACCTCCATCAGGGGCCCGCCGCGCGTGCCCTGCCGCCACCGTCGTCAGAGACATGGCCGGCATCGGATTGGCCGGGTGCTCAGGTGTTTGTTTTCGATGTGGTGTAGGGTCTTGGGGTTCCCGGAGTTCATTATGTTTTATTGTACTCTACTATACTATATGATAGCATATTACATTATACTAAATCCTTAGCATATCACAGTAGAATATCTCATTCTATATGTGAACCATGCGTGTGGGTTCGAGGTTGAAGCGGGGCTCATGGCAAAGGTCCGATTTTGAGGCTTCGGGCAAGGTGCCACTCGGGTCTGGCGTCTTGTCTTTCCAGGCGGCTTCCCCGAAAATCCTTAGTTACACTCGGCCGCTGTCTTAAGACTCTCCCAGGCCCTGCAACCTTTAGCAGGTTGGAGCTTCGAGTGCAAAAAAAAAGTGTGAAAGGCAGCATGGTCAGCCAGACATGTCTGATAGCTTAGGAATGCGAGCATGGCAAGAGTGGTATTCACTTCTGTGATCTGCAGCCCGGCCTCAAAAGGACGCAAGCAGCCCTGTTCGAAGGATTTGGTGCGTTGCGACAGATGTTGGAATGCGAGGACGTGTCGGCGCAGACCCTGCCTTGCCGCCTGCAGCAGTTGATTCAGGCTGCGACCAAGCGTATGCAGCAATGGCAGGAGGGATTGAAGCAGGCAGTGGCAAGCCGCCCCATGGCGATGATGGCTTTAAAGTTTGCTATGGGCGTGGTGTTTTGGCTGCTGATGCACGGATCAGACCTCCTTTACATGGTCGGAGTGATTGCATGGATCCTTTCGGGACCTCCTCTAATCATTACGCTGCTTTTTGTGGCCAGCGGGCTCGAAGAAGAAGAAGAAGAAGGCCACCATCAAAAGCAGACTGCAGCCAAGGCTCCTTGCCCTCTTGAATCCTTGCCTGAGTCCTTCTGCATGCATTTCATGGACGGTACGGGGAGCAGCTTCAAGATGTTGTTTCCCGATGTTTTCCCGGTGCGAGTCATGGTTTTCTACCACACCGTGGATTCCTCCGCAGATGTTTTACAAGAGCTTCAGCACTGGGATCAACTTGCTGGCGAAGAGGAGTGCTGCGGAAGCATAGTTCTCTGCAACACGGAGTCCGTGGAGAAGGCCATCGCTGTGTCAGCCAAGATCGGGTTGCACAAAGCCGTGCACGTGCATGCCTTGCGCCCTCGAGGGCTGCCATGTTCGAACCCACTGGCTCTTCTTCTGGATCAACGCGGGAGGATTCTCAAAATGGAGCATGTCGTCAAGCTCAGTGGCCCGACACGTAGCCTGGTGGGAGAATCGAGCACCATCATCGAGCATAGCCTGAACGCATCGGGGCTACCTTAATTGGAGCAGTTTGGATTTCGGGTTTATATGGGCTCCTTGTTAAAACATTTAGGCACGAGGGGCACCCTAATCCGGGTGGCCCAGTCCATTTTCCTTCACGGTCGTGCGGTGTTCTATGGAGCCACAAGGGTTCGCAAACCTGTGGTTCTACTTTGCAATTCTTTGGACGGCCACAATCAGGAGCCGCGATGCGGCGAGAAACGTGCGCCTTGCAGAGCACGGTGTATTCCAGCTGCTAACTACATCCAGGGGCACACAGCTAGAATGTCAGGGCCTCATAGACATCTCTGTGTCCGAGGCCCGCAGCACCTCCTCAGAACTCCTTCGCATGGCCAGAAGCAGGCAGAAGAGACGGCTCGGGCATCTAGAGGGAGGGGCATTTGGGTTTAGGGTTTCAGGGTTGAGGGGTTAAGGGTTTGGGGGCTTAGGGTGGGTTGTAGGCTTATCGATTCATAGGCTGGCACCGCTAGAATCGCTGGCTTGGCTGTGTTTTCGGCGTTGATTCTGGGCAGCTTGCAAGCTCGAAGCTCCGGCAACCCCTGATGCCCCAGAGCCCCTCAAGAAGCCGTCTTCCATAAAGTCATATAGCAGAGTTCAAGCTCTAGAACTCCAGAACCAGAGCAGCAGGATCCGGGAGTTCCTGGCCACCTTCTACGCCATCCACGGATCCGTGGGGCTCACCTAGCAAGGTGCGCACGGTCAATCGATTCTTGACCAAGGAACAGACTCATAAAAGTAAGACTGACTCGTACCAATGGCCACATCATCCTCTTGAAGCACCCCCCCTCATAATTACAAGCACTTTGTGGGAAATCCTTCCTGAAATCGTCCCCGCCTTTCAAAGCCTCTTCTGTATTTAGGGGGTTCCGAGCAAGAGGGAGCAAGAGCAGGAGCTGGAGCAAAAGTAGGAGCAGGAGCAAGCAGGAGAGGGCGCAAGAGCGGGAGAGGGAGCAAGATCAAGAGCAGCAAGAGCAAGAGCAAGAGCAGGAAAAAGAGCAGCAGCAAGAGCAAGAGCAGCCGGAGCAAGTGCAAGAACAAGAGCCCGGGGACTGAGGCTGCCCCTTCAATTCTAGGGAGAAACGATTAACACTCATGAGCTGGATGCTGCTCATGCTGCTAATCAAGGAGATTTCCAACGATTGGTATGTCTGTCACGAGGTCACACAGCAACGAGTGCAGCAAATGCAAGTACAGCAATCTCCCTCATCTCGATTGTCTAAAGTGTTTGCGCTGACGTCGGCGAAATGCTATTTCCTGTTCATGACTCGAAGGAATTTGGAAGCTTCTTGACGAGCCGTAGCACAGTAGACTGCATGGTTGTGAAATCCTCCGCTGAAAGTCCCTTTATGTGGTATACCCCGAGGCCCTTTTGCAACTGCCAGGCATATCATGCCCATTGCACAATCGGGCCCTTCTGTTATAGAATCGCAGTATCCCTTATAGGAGCCTTTATACACTCAGAATCCTCACTAACCTCTATAAAGAGTACTTGGGGTTCAGGCTATGCCTTCTCCTCCTGTCCGGCTGGAAGCCCAGAGTGGCACCCTTTGTCTAGCTTTGTTCTGAATTTTCTTGTGTCTGCCGATCGTCATCGGGGTTTGCAGGGTTGCTGCTGGGATTTTTTGAAGTTTCGCAGAGTCCAGGATGAGGTAGAAGTAGAAGGCGTTTTCGCCTTTGCTCTTGAACCTCACTACTGCTTCTTAATTCCACCCTGGTAGCCCCCTGCTACTCTGCTTGCATTTCGGAACATAGGCGATCCCGTTTGACGTATGTGCAATCCCGGACGATGTTGAAAGGAACCAGTAAAAGTCTCCAGAGCCTCCCAGCTCGAATTCAGAGCTTGGGTTTGGGTCTGCAGCCGCTCTCAGCGTGTGAGGGCTTGCGGTGCGGGGTTGAGGACTGAGTGCCAAAAAAGATTGGAGCTACTTTCATCTCCTTTCGTGTAAGTGCGAGTACGAAGGCAAGATCGTTAATCAGAGAGGGATGGAGGCGACAACAAGATTTCACGTAATTACTGGTACATGATGTTTGAACGGCATGGAAAGATGGGAAACAGACGAGTGAATGACATCTAGTGCCTTATAGTCGGAACAGACAACAGTGGTAAGCCTGTGAAACCTAACACCCGAAAGACGACCCACACCACAATGAACCCGATCTATTTAGACCTTAAACTTGAAGCCCTAATTGCACCACCGCCAGCGAAAAAGTAAACCCTACCCTGGACTACCGAGACACAGCCTAGAATGAACGATAAGTTCGCTTCCAGTGCCGGGAGGCAACAGCGAAAGCCGGTCCATTCCTCAAACTGCATTAATATAGAGGCCTTAGTAAGTAGAATAGGGTTCCTTTAAAGGGCTACTATAACGGATCTGTAAGATACTATAATATACGATGTTGCCAGATCCATGGCAATGGCTTGGGGTTCCGGCTTTCGAAAAAAACTGTTCGCGACTTCGGGGTTTCAGCATCCGGAGGTACTGACTCTGTTTCCGGAGCGGGTGTCAGAGTATGAAAGCAAAACAGTTAGGGGGTGACGCTCCTGAAATGCATGGCACCGTGTAACGGTCTGTGAGCACCAGCTCTTCCAGATGCTCGTTCCTGCAGCGATATACCCAGAAGCCTCGTCACTTCACACCCTCTACTAGCAAACCTCCGCGAAACCCTAACCCTGAACGTATCCTTCTAAGGAGCCCCTAGCCTCCATCGTTGCGAACGAACCACAGGCCTAAAAATCTCGTCTATTTCATGACAAGACCCCGTCCTGTGTGTATCAATCTTGGCCGCATCCACGCCTAAATCCCAAGCTGCCGATGGCAAGGCTCCTACAAACGCATGGCAAATCCTAGACAAAGCCTTAAGATTTAGAATAGAGTCCTCTTATCAACTAGACCTCCTTCCCCAAACCCTAAACCCTGTGCTATACCTCCTAGACGAAGCAGCCAACTACCCAGGTTTCCAGAATCCTGAGGCACACCGAAGGGCATCTTCAAGACCTGGAGCCCGTCATCCGGCAGTACTTAAGCCTCTTGAATCAAGCCGAGGATCCTCCTATAGACCCTATTTAGGAGTCAGGGTATCGATAGCATGATCTCCCCTAGAATTTCACTGATACTTAAGGACCTATATGGGTGGTTGTCAAAATTATGGTCCCTCTTTGGGTACCCTAAATATTAGGTGCCGTATTATAATAAGGACCCCCAAAAAGGGACCCTAATTTTGACAACTGCCCATATGACCAGGTGCCCAGCTATGCCATTCCGTGGGAGCCGGTGTCCTCCCCTCCAGCGGAAGCGATGGCCACAAAGGCGCATGTTGGAAGTGTTATGTACCACCGAAAGTCTTCGTGAAGGTTTAGACTCGCAACGTAATTTGGCTTTTGTTATGGATATTGTGAGCATCCTTGATCATGATTCGTGTTCTCATGCTCCTTTCCTGCTTCTCATTACTCCTCATGATCGTCTCGTCCGGTTCATCGTGAGGACCAGAACCTGTTCCGCTGCTCCTCTGTGAGAGTGTTAGTCTGAAGTGCTCGTGTCGTTGTGGTTGTTGTCGGCGTAGTCGTCGTCGTAGTCGTAGTGCTTGAGGCTGTGGTTGTGGTTGTGTCTTTTATATTTTTTGTTGTTGTAGTTTGTGGTTGCTGGTGCTGGTGCTGCTGCCACTGCCGGTGCCGGTGCTGTTGCTGGTGATGGTGTTGGGGGCTGGTGTTGGTGTTGTTGTTTTTGCTGTTGCTGCTGCTGTTAACTGTGGGCGGGACGCTGCTGTTGCCGGACCTGAGCTTTGTAAACGTCAACCAAAGTTTCGTGATCACTAAGGCCCTAAAGGCCCCCTACCTTCGTCCTGCCATTTTATGCTTTCGTGGTTCCAAATTCCGTGCTTAATTGTTAGATCTTACTTCCAAAATATTCAGTAATCCTAGTTCCTGAGCCCACGATCCTAAGCAGTTCCTCGGCGGTGATGTTAAATCCGATCACTGCCTATGTGGCTATGCGGGCCTTGGTGCTGCATGTCTCGTTAAACCCTAATGCGTACACCCTGAAGCCTAACCTCAAACCCGAAGTCCTAAGTGAAAGCGGGCTTGCGCTTTATGGGAACCGAGTTCGTGACAAGAAAGGCTTTAAACACCGAATCAAGCACAGAAGCTCGTAAACACGAGAACGATGGCACCAGTTAGTGGCAACAGGAGACGATAAGATCAGACATATACATCAAGTGGCTGCGCGAATCGCGGGCTTTAGCCAGTCCCGAGCCCGAAACCTTAACCCTGAACCCCAAACACGTTCCTCCTCAATTATCCTGGACGCAGGCTCCCGGGCCTTGTGCGCTGATGGATGCACTTTGGATTGTACAGTTTTGTCGTGGTTTTACTGAGTTTCAGGACTGGTATGTAGGGTGTAGGGTTATCTCATGTTATCTTTCTGCATGCTACAGTCCAATTATTCGGAAGGCCGTGGGAAAACTCGACTCTAAGACTATCGCGGATTGGATTAGGGCCGTGACCCGGTAGTACACCTACTCTTGGCCTCCTAGAACGAGCGAGAGAGAGAGAGAGAGAGAGAGAGAGAGAGAGCTAGCTTTTTAGACAAGCAGAGCCGTGGTCAGAGAATCGCCATTTAACCACCTCTGCAACAGTCGGGGGCGCACAAGCGCGCGGTGTAGGAGGTCAAACCCCTACACCCTAGCCCTGGCGAAAGAAAGCTAGCGAGAGCAGACGGACAGCAAGCTGCGAAAGCGAGAGGAGGGAAGGTGTATGCAGGAGTTTCACATGCACTGAAATGCGCGTACATACGTTTACATAGTTTACATACATGCATGCACATCATACAGGCATGAGTACATGTGTATGTGAAGTACATACATGAGTATTTACTGATGGACTTGCCGACAGAACGCTGCTCTTGCTTTCCATGACCTGTTGTTCGACAAGCGCCAGCCCAGTACTCCTCAACCCGATCCCGAGGACCGCGAATGCCTAGTATATAGGGCCTGAATAGTTACCAGACCAGTACTATTGTGGGCGCCCCTTGTTACAACTGTAGTTTACTGTTCAGGTCCCTAAAGTAGTCCAAAGCTAAACCCGGCAAAGTCGAAGCCCAGGCTCCACCGGGACAGAGGTCACGAAGCACATCCGATGAGATGTAAGCATCCCAGTGGTGATAGTTTGCCAGGTGCCATGAGATTACAGTGTAGAGGGTTTAGGGTTTATATAGGGTTTAGTCCATATAGGTGACATGCAACAGCCGAGTAACGGAACCGAGGTGTCCCTTCAGCTTTCCGTCACGAAGAAGTAGTGGCCACAACTCTTTCTCGTGTATGTAACCCCACAATCGCACTTCCTTGGAAGCTACCGGACATCTGGCAGGAGCCGATCGTATAAAGGACCCGAAAGCCCGCACTCTAATCACTAAGGCCCCTATTTTAGACCCCACATCTGGATCATGTCAAAAAAGCTGGAAGCCCTAGGCCGCGCGCCGGGGCTCAGGCTTGGCAAGCTGACGGATTGGGTTGTGGCGTCTGGGTGTAAACGTTTAGGACCTAAGTTTGGGGTCAGGTTTAAGGATGTATTTAGCGTATCATTCGACTTCAGGTGTGGGGGCATTTCAGGAAGTAGGGTTTAGGGTTTAGTCGGGAACACTACTAAACATGGTGCCACTAGGCACCACAAAGTTAGTTATGTAATGACACCTCAGCCTCAGTACTTGCGTTTGCATGTCATATCACATTCCGAGTCATGCTACTAACTCGACTAAACATGATGAATGGTGCGGATGTGGCTGCAGGGTGTCATTTCGCAAGCTTCAGCATGGAAGATTTCGAGCTTTGCTTGCATTGTTGAAGAAGGCATCATGGGTCTTCAGGATGTTGATGATGTTGAGCATGTTAACCTAAGCCTCCAAGTTGCGGTTCCAGGGATTGATCCAGAAGCTGGGTTGGAGGTTTAGGGGGTTGGGGTATAGACTGTCGGTGCATGTACACCGCTTCGGGGTTAAGATCCCTGGCCCCAAGTCGTTCAGCATTCTTTATACTCGTATACCTTCATCATGATCTGTGGGCATGTCTGCTACTGTTGCTGCTCGCAGTAACGTAGTACTGGCAGCTTCACTGCTTTGAAGCTATGATAATGCTTGAGAACGTGCAGTGCGGCTCGTCATCTAGAGTCTTTCTACTCCTGTTTCGTCTTTGATGTTTCATGAGTTGTTGTGCTCAGAGGCTTGTTAGTGCGTCAGTAGCGTCAGTGTTGCTCCTGTTCCTACCAGATCTTGTTGTTCCTGCGCGAATATATTATATGAGAATATGTTGGCGGCTGCCTGCGTGAGATTGACGTCATCTTTGCAATTCCTGTGGTTGTACTGGTTGTTGCTGGTGTGATGAACAGTACAGGCGACTAGAATGACGAGAATACAGCCGTATGGAAGGATGAGGTTCAAGGCCGAATCACAGCATTCTCGCCTGTTGGACAGGATGTGCTCGAGCAGCAAGCGATCTTGGCAAGCATCCAGGCAGGGTGATTAGACATACAGAATCTGATGGCCCTCTTTTCTCGAAATTACAACAAATTCAATCTCTGCTTCAGCAAGAACTGGCTGCATGTTGTGGAACTGCCCACTTTGCTTGTAGCATTACCAAGTTCTCTACGTGAAGGTATTCCACAGGCTTGCAAGACTCACATGGTCGGAAAGCCACAAACCCTGAAACTAAGTCTCAGTACTGCGTGCTTTGTTGTACGCAAGTTCTTAATATGACGTACTGAAAGTGCACAAGACCCTGCTGGCTTCTGCGTGTCCTGTTTATGACTTCGGGTCTTCAGTGCCGGATGACAACTTGCAAGGGGGTTTATGGTTTATCTGGCATTTTCCCGTGCTTTGCTCTGAATCCCCGCAACAAGCCGAATGGGTGAAGTAGGGGTTTCGACGTCTCACCTTCCGCCAGTCGAACAGCCCGTCCTCAAGAAGCGTGGGGCAGAGGCCTCGACTGTGGCCGCGCATGCTCTGCTGCTGCATCTCCGAATGCTACATGCTAGTTTCTACCACAATTTTCGAGCAAGTGCTAGCACTAGGCTCACAGTACTAGAACAGTACTAGTTCCTAGTACCATGACTACGTCAAGCTTTTTGTCGTGAGGAGTTCGCTCTCCAGGGCTCCCCCTTGTTGCACGGCCGAGGCCCCCACGTTTGTCACACTTTGCGGTCTTTGTTGTCCTCGTCGTTGCGGCTGTTTCGTGAAGTTGTTTTTGTTGGTGCTGCTTGCTTGATTCCATACAGGTTTTGCTCACCATTGTTGTTGTTTCGTGTTTGCTACTAGTATTGTTCAGGACCTTTCGTGTTCGTACTACGCTGTTGTTTCTCGCTGCGAACGATGTTTCCGCCGATGTTGCAGTTAGGTGTGCTGCAACGGCGGCTACGACTAAGGAACATGTTGCAGCCCATCCCACGCGAGAGAAGCAGCTTGCCCGAACCTCAAGGGCTCAAGCGCACGGTGCAGCCGATGAGAGACGACTTCGGCAATCTTCAGTGGCTGGGGCTGATATTGATCGACCAGATCGGTGCCAGTCTATGTGTAGATGCTTCGCTGTTCCGTTGGAGATGGATGGTAAGCTTGATGCTTGCAGTTTGTGCAGGCGCACCACTGGATGTCAAAATAACTGAGGATCCTTGCTATGGGTTGATACAGTGCGCTTCCTCAAACCCCGCGTATGAAGTGGAAAGTCTCGACTTCCGTGGGAGATCGAAGATTTCGGCTTGCCGTCCAGGGAAGGGATCTCGTGTGATGTGCTGTAGGTTGTACCAAATTTCCTGACAAACATGCAACAAGTTAAGATTGTGTTTGCATGAGACACAAAAACAGGTACATTCACTTATCTTCTTTTTTTGCTATACGCACACGATCTCCAAAAACAGCCGCGTCTTCTAAGACCTATGTGAAGCGACGCGGTGCGGGGTAATTTTACTGCCATTGGATTGGGGATGATTGGCGATTTTTGTATCACGAGCCCTTGCACCCCGACCCCACATGAATCCCCTTCATCCGGACCGGAGCTGTGACGACGCCGAGGCCGCAACGGACTGCTAAAAGTGCTGCGCAACGCAAGGTCACTGGAAGTGGTTTGGGCCATGTTTTCGCGGTGCCAGCTTTGGTATCTTTTCGTGCTTTAAGTAAAGAAGAAGAACAGTTGCAACTTGTAGGGCAGACACAAACCTGTCACTGCCCAGGGTGCTGATGTGGTCTGACCCCACCTATCAGTCCGCAGTAGCCATGTCCTCGCAGAGTGTCTATGCGATGGCCACATTTTCTATGCGCATAATGGTCCAGCCAAAGATGATTGCTCAAAGCAGGTCGGCTGTTGATACGTGTTCCTCATGGAAAAGGGTCACGAAAATGGCATCACAGACTGCAGCGGAAAACTCGAAAGTAGTCGGAATGGGGTGCATACTAGTAGTGAGGTTACCCCTCGGAAACCAGGTCCTCAGTAGCAGCACTCCAACCCGCAGCCTTCTCCAGAAAGTTGACGGTTTTGGGGCAATGTAGGGGCCTTAATAATTACCTGCAGTGTTTTTGGGGAGTTCCTTATTGTAGTTATAGTATAAATGGGCCCCTAAACCCTGTTCTATTTATTGAGGCCCCTATGCTGTGCCCGCAGCACTGGCTACGGGCTGAAAGCCTCGTGCGAAACCTTGCCAAAGCTTTTCCCCGAATCCCACACGCCCCTCCAAACTAGGCAGGCCGTGTCTCAACACCGCAATACCCTCAGCCTTCCACCGAAATCGTAAAGCCTTGAACTCATTACTCAGATCCCACAAGCAGCGTAGGCTTTGCTGCAGTCCCTGGGGCTGTGCCAGCAACCCAGCATGCCTTCGGGAAAGACTTGCCGTCGTCTTAGCCATCGCAGCAGCAGCAGCAGCAGCAGTAGCAGAGCAGTAGCAGCACCAGCATCCACAGCCCACCAGGGTGCGGATAGGTCATCGCTATCACCATCACCGGAATCGTCCATATCAAGACCATCACTATCAGCATTAATATCATCACCATCGCCATGCCATCATCGTGACAGACAATATCATGGGTGACAGCTTCGCCACCCTCACCATCAAGATCAGTACCACATTCGCCATCATCTTCCTCATCATCATCATCATCGTCGTCATCATCATCAGCAGCATCATCCTCGTCGTTATCGTCTTCGGCATCATCATCAGCTTCATCATCGGCCTTATCCTGACACGTCATGTTCATCCTCATCCTAGTCATTCTGCGAAGCAGCAGCATACCATTCCCGCATTCTATCATATTGCATCACTGCATAGCGAAAGTGTGATCATGAGAACAGATCGGACAGCACTCAGCACCCAGCGAGACCTCCCCTGACGATATCTCCTCGCACAGTCGCCTACACCAACATATCACATGTGCTTCGCAACTTCAATCATCATCACCAGCTCCGCCATAGCACATGCAGCAGCCATCACCACAAAAATTAGCAATGCCAACCACAAGAACAGGAATGCCCTTACAGCAGTACCACATACAGCAGAGCTAGCTAGAAGGCACTGCACACATTGCACAATAATTGCTATGGTTTCATTGTCGATTTTGGCCACGGGCATTTGCTCGCTTGTGAAGAAAAAGCTCAAATCTTCGTGTCATACGTGAAGCAAGGTCCTGGTGCTTTCCTGAGCAAGCCGGCGCAGGAGGCCCTTCAATGGATGCCTTGGACCTTCAGGTTCATGGTTTCATTCGCCTTGCGGGTGAGTCTTGAGTCTTGAGTTTCGTGTGCTGTGTTTTGGATCATGATTTCTCAGTTTAGCCATTCAAGGATATTGACACTCATGGGCTGTCCAGCAGCGAGCATCGTCGTCTTCTAACGTCGACATCGGGTCTGTCTTGTGCTAAGACTCGTTTTCATCTCATCTGACTGTCCACGGACACTCCCGGTCCTTGTCAGCATTTCTGTTGGAGAATTGACGTCTACCATTATCCAGTATGTGATGCAAGATAATCAAGAGCCTTCAATGCTCGATCCAAAAGCATCAAAACGATGCCCACTGCATGGAAAGATCCCAAGCTTCATGTTTGCTGTAAAGCTCTCATCTATGCTTCCCGGACTATACGACTAACCGAATATGTCACACTGGTATGTTTTTCTGTATTGAAGTGTATTGCACTCCTATTTTGTAGAATACCATATTCCATGGTGGTGTCGACCGCCTCGGCTGCCTTTCTCCATGAGACCGGTGTTCAACTTACACACCAAAGTACGATATCCCAACACCCAGTGGGTGTCTTTGTATGCTTTTAGGGTTTAGGAGCCTCAACCGAGACCCGGGCATAATTTTACCTAATCCTATACTAATACTTGTATTATTGTTGTTTGTACTTGTATTCGTATTCTCATAATTACGAAGATTCATACTTTTGTCCTAATGACGTCCTGCGCTTTGCCGCCTTTGCCTCGGGTCAGTAGACGCTGCAAGGTCTCTGGCTTCACTTGGCCGGGAACGGCCGGTAGCGAGGCCTGGCAGATGTAGGGTTAGCGTTTGTGACGTGGGGGTTTCCGAAAATAGGGGACCCTAATATAGCACCCGAAAGAGTAGGATGCTTATTATAAGAACCCCTAAATAAGGTACCCGAATTTTCGGAAACTCCTACGTACGGCTTCGGCACAACTTTCAGCCAAGCCTGAAGTCCCTTTCCAGGCACGATCGACTGCGAGCCAATGGCCTGCATCCCCATCGGATGCACAGGACCGTCAAGCCGTCGGCCTTCGGCTACACTAGGATGTACTAGAGTATATGCATATGCATATACAATAACATATGTATAAATATATACTATATTATGCCGAAATGCACTTCAGTATACTAAGCGGTACTTATAATGTACTGTATCGTACTATAACATACTATAGACTATAGTATGGAACCAGAAAATACACTCCAGGTCTGTGAACCTAACTTACTTCAATATCCAAAGAAAACGTACCTGCTTCCTGAGGGAAGGAGACCTGCAGCTTCAGGCAGACATAGCAGCGACAGGTACGTTAGGTTTAGGCTGTAGGGTTCAGGAGCTAAACCCCCAGCAGGAAGATTAGCTCAGCTGCGGTACAAGGAATAGCCTTCCCATCATAAAATCTCACGCATATTTCTGAGGATCTACGATCCTCCAGTGGCATCGATCTAGCGGCCAAACACTAGGGCCTAGGGTTTCGGGGTTCGCGGGTTGTTAGTCTTTTTGTGGTTTGCGGCTAGGTCGCCCGGCACGCTCTGCAGTTTCCTCACAGGAGGGACACGAAGGACGCAGCTTGGCCATACAATGGCCGGGCTCGCCGATCGAGGCTTTCGAGTTGATTATTACTAGTACTACTACTACTACTACTACTACTACTACTACTACTACTACTACTACTACTACTACTACTACTACTACTACTACTACTACTACTACTACTACTACTACTAACTGCAATCACTATAACTATTGTTCATCATTGTTACTGCAGAATTACTATGTGTATTCGGGCTTCGTGACCCATACCTTCAGGCCTGAATGCTACATTCTGGAAAACTTAAGATTCGGAGAGGTAGAGGTCTTGTCGAGTGCGCGGCGGTTTAAGGACTTAGGTTTGGAGGGTTTCGGGTTTAGGGTGTGTATGGGAGTCGTATTTTTTGCAGTTTTTTCGTGTTCGTGGTGGGATAGAGCATATTGTGCACGACATCCCGTACGTTTATGTGGACATTTGTGTTTTGCCCATGCTGCGTTTGATTGTCTCAATTGCATGCCCCTCCGAAACTTGGCATAGGAGCTCGAGTAATTTGCAGACAACGCAGATTTTTCTGGTCTTTTCATAGCCCTGCCTAGATGGTGAGCTTTAACCCTCCTCAACCCCAGATCTTAGCCCGAAAAGCCAATCCCTAACCACGAACCAAGGTAGAAGTCCAGAGACAACCTTTCGGGAAGCCCTGTCGAGCCCTTATAGTATTCGTTATAGGAACTTTCTGATAACCCCTGTGGATACTTATGAAGCGGCATTTTTAGAATCCGGGAGGAGAAGCACTCACGCTTTTTCTGCGGGGTTCGTGATTTGAATATGCCGGGAGTAATATGCTCAAGAAGCCTCAGCTTGTGAGTTTGGGTTTTGGGGCTTCACTAGGCCGCAATCCTGGTGTGGAGCTCGACGTTGCAATGCGGAGATTTCACATTTTGGGGCACAGTGCTTGCAGAACGAGGTTTTGACAGCTGAGGTCTCTAGATTTCAGAGTTTGTTAGTGTGTGCTCCCGGGCCGCCTAAACCTCCAAACCTGACGCTTCGAGACCTTAACCCCTAAACACTACACTTTGAACCAACCCTCTTAACAGGCTCCGGGGCGTTCGCCCCCGGCCACAAGCTCGCCACAGGCTGCGAGCTGTGTTGAGGGTTTCATTTTTGGGGGGTTGTCGTTCAGGGGTTGGGGTTCAAGTTTAGTGCCTGCTTGGGCTTTCAGAGGCTTTACTTCGGTGTTGGTTCTGGGACGATAGAGCTAAAGTGGCTACAGTGGATACATGGAAAATTTCTGCTTCGGTTGTTGCTGCAGGCCTCTTGGACAGCAGCCGTAGTTCTTGCAAGAATATGTTGACGATGACTGTTGTTACTGCGCACTAGTAGTAGTTCAGCAACGTTAGTAAAGGTGAAAATGACATTAATGGCAACGCAAGGCCTCATTTGCTTACATGTACGCAGGCATGTGTGCATGTATGTACTGTGAAACCCAGCAGCTTCGAAACCTCAAACTGCAGGAAGCGAGCCCTAAACCTGACTAGAATCCTAAACCCTAAACCCTAAAACCCTAAACCCTAAAACCCTAAACCTTAAAACCCTAGGGGTCTGGGTGCAGCCAGTCAGCATCGGAAACCCAGGAGCGAGGAACCCTGCACCCCCAGGGCGATTTCGCTCCGCCGGGGTTTGGGCCATCGGGCCGCGCTGTAGTGGCTACGTTTTGGGGTTCAGGGGTTTAGGTGGATGTAGCAGCTAGTACATCTCCGAAACAAATCACTCAAAACGCCTCGTCAAGCTGCGAAGATTGTCGTAATCGGTTATCACGCAAGGCCTTTTTCTGGAGTCTGCATTTACATGGCAGCGCTTAACATGCTGAACAGCGACCAGGACTCCTGAATCCAGCATCCGAGAGCCGGCGTTCTAAATCCTGCCTGTCGTGAGCGCAGCCACAGCATCCTAACCCGACGTCAAACGCTGTGCCTTTGGTCTCCATGGTAGTTCCTTTGCCTTTTTCTGGTTACCCTCTCAGATGCTAGATGTATCCTTGGTTAGACCAACAAAAGGAACGACAATGGAGAGTATATTATATATTTTATATTATACACCATATATAATATTTTGCTTCAGGTTGTGGACCCCTGGAGAGCATAGGTACAGCCGCAAACCCTGCGGCCTACACCTGTCCCTATGATATTTAATACATGTATATACGTATATGTGCCTACACATAGCTCTCCCACACTCTATCTGTGTGTCTGTGTATGTGTATGTGTATGTGTATGTGTATGTGTATGTGTATGTGTATGTGTATGTGTGTGTGTATGTGTATGTGTATGTGTATGTGTATGTGTATGTGTATGTGTATGTGTGTGTATGTGTATGTGTATGTGTATGTGTATGTGTATGTGTGTGTATGTGTGTGTGTGTATGTGTGTATGTATGTATGTATACATATACATACACGTGTATATGTATATTTATATGTATATGTCTATGTATATGTCTATGTATGTGTATATGCATGTATGTATATATGTATATATTTATATTATGTGTATATGTACATAAATATATATGTGTCTCTATATGTATATGTATATGTATATGCACATGTTGTGTATTATATTCACCCCCGAGAAACTGTTCTGATGATTCAGACTCCTGCTTGAATCTTAAACCTTGGTTAGCCGCAGCAATTTTTCCCAACACCCTTGGCCAGGCCGCCGCACCGCTGCACGATGAGCCTCAGGTGGGCCAGTGGCCGACTTCACCGGCCGAGGCGTTTCTGTATGCACCATGCTTGTTAGGTATGGATCTGCATGTCATTCCCGCATACAGAGAGAGCACGAAACCAGAGAAGGAAATTCATACAGATGTGTGTGTGTGTGCGCGTGTACGTGTGTATAAATACCATTATCATTTTGTGTGTGTACATCTATATGCATATGCGCATCTCTGCGTGAGTATGAGGGTGTGGAGTGGCCTAGCTCGCTCCAAGGGCTTCGCATGTAGAGCCATCGATTGTGCGCCGAGCTTCGGAGAGCATAACTCTGGGGTGTTGTAGTTTTAATACGCAATCGACAACAGGTTTGGTACTTGGTCTATATATATATATATACACACATGTATACATACAGAACACATGTTACATATGTACTAGAGATGTATTGTGTTTGTTTGTTGATGTCTCATGACATGTAAAGCAAGGAATGCCGATGTTCATGGGCCCCAAACCCCGAATAACCCTTGAACCTCGAGCCAAAGCTCCGACGTGGAATAGTTGGAGACCGCAAAACTTTTCTGTTAAATACCAACTGATACGATAGTGACAATACAATGGCCTTGCCAGTAATCGTAATCAGTGGTGATATCGGGAACAGTTTAGCACTAATCTGCAGCAACAACACGTGGTTATTCTTCATGTTTCGACGAGCATCAGAAGAACAGGCACGAAACGAACTTGCACAGGCCTGCAGCCCATCTACGGGATCTGTGGCGAATGGCTTGCAGACCCCAACATCTCCGGAGCAGGCAGGGCGAGACGGGTAAGCCGAGACAACGAAAAGATCCGGCGTTGCTACATGGGATCCTACTATTTAGGGTGCTTTATCAAGGTCCCCTATGTTCGGAAACTCCCACATGTTGCTACAAGCTCTGGCTTTGGCATCGAGGGCCTCTCTTTCGCTGGCCTAGCTCGTGTCGTTCTGTTGCGCGAATGCATGTCGAAGGCTAACTAGCTGTCGTTCGTGATTCTTCAAGGGCTATAAAGCCTAGAGCCTCGCGGCATGTCTGCCCTGCTTGTAAACCCCACTGTCACCACTGTTTTTGAAAGTAGGATCCAGTCTTTGAAGCCCAATATAGAATCCTAATAATTACCAACACTATGTTGGGGGTCCCTTAATATAAGTACAGTAGAATGGGCCCAAAAACCCTATTCTAATTATTAAGGCCCCTGCATTAAGAGACCTGTAGGGATCGGCCCGGAAGCTTCCACAAGCAAGGTTGCTACTCCCAAATGTAGCGAGCATTTGGGTGTAGCGAGCTTTGTCAGGCCATTGTCCCGATATCCTAACATGGTGGCGCGGAGACAGGGTCAGCGCACTTAAAGAACATGGGGGGCCTGAATATTTCTAACAGGGTTTTGGGGTACGTCCTACGTTTACGGACTGTATGTGTGATACTACTACTACTACTACTACTACTACTACTACTACTACTACTACTACTACTACTACTACTACTACTACTACTACTACTACTATTATTACGACTACTACTTCTACTACTACTACTACTACTACTACTACTACTACTACTACTACGACTACTACGACTACTACGACTACTTCGACTACTACGACGACCACTACCACTACTACTACCACGACTACTACTACTACTACTACTACTACTACTACTACTACTACTACTACTACTACTACTACTACTACTACTACTACTACTACTACTACTACTACTACTGATTTAGTTCGGCTCCCATATTATCTCAGGTTGGTTTCTGCAAGCAAGGCCTACTGCCGGCTGTGACAATAATGAATAATACCACGAACCGCAACCTATACATCAATGCAGCAAGCCTTGTCTGCATACCAAATCCACAATCCTGACAGCTGCGTGTTCTCCTGCTTGTATTCCATAGCTTCCGCAACAACTCCGGAAATGGAACGAGAAAGGCTAAGCGGTAGCTCAACTTCGTCCTCATACAGGCGATATATCCTCTGAACCTTCAACGCTAGACCCTTAAACCCAAATCTCAAATCCCAAAGCTACAGTGGAAGTCCTGAAGTCATAAGCAGAAAAGCGCTGCACGCGCTAAATCGTATGAGCCGTAAATTAAATTCTACAGCCTACAAGACATCCGAAGCCCTTAGTCCTAAACCCCATACACCCTCAAGCCTCTAAGCTCTGGAAGCAAAGCTCAAAACCCTTTTATCCTCAAAAGCCGAAAGCCAAGCCCCCGCAGGCGTTTCCGGCATCTGGAGCAGCGAATAATCGTCCGTGGGCCATGGGACTTTCCGAGGTGCGGAAACCTTTTTGTTCAAGGATGGGTTTGTGGGGAATTAGCAGCCCAGAGCCCCTAATTAGGGAATATGCCTTAAATCATATTAGGGAGCCTACTAAAATTTAAGGTATATTCCTTAATTAAGGGATATTGGAGTCTCTGGGAGGGTTTTGTCCGGGCTTCGGAAGGGCTTTCTGGTTCAGGTCCGGGTCTCAAGGGTCTAGTTTTGGGGGTGGGGCTATGGGTCATTGGAGCTTTGGGGAGTGTGGGTTTTGGTTTGGCATCGTGCCGGAAAAAGGGTTTCGAAGTTGAGGGAAATAAAAAAGGCTGTAATTAAGTTTGAAAGGTCGCGTTCGTTTAGCTTCGCGAGTTTTGGACTGTTGAAATTTCGTGGTGTGGTCTCAAGGTGAGATGCGCAGATTTCAACCCCTCAACTTCCATCTTGTACGCAGCACGAATCGATTCCTACACCCTGAGACCTTACCCGCAACCCCGAAAATTGCAAATGAAAGTTTGGGTGTCGAAGGCTTTTCCACATTGTGGTTCTGACGTTTTCGGAGGTTGAGCCGTGCAGAAGAGGAAGGGTTCTTGGAGTCTACCTTGGAAGTGTGAATAGTTGCCACCGTTTTGCATTTGCGTCTCACACTAGAACCCAATTCTGTAAACTCCAAGCCTCCCCAGAACGGCATGAACTGTTGTGGGCATTTGCTGCCGAAGGTGGGTTACGATTTTGGGTTTCAGGGTTTAGGGTAATGTGTTGTTTTTTTAACATGTAGGGTCTAAACTTGCGGCATCGAGGTTGAGTGTTCGGCATGCGGGGTTGGGAGGAGTGTGTGCCTTCGCGAAGGTCTCACACGCCGGCGTGGCAAACGGTTCGCCAACTGCAAGCTCACCAATGCAGGATGGGGCCGAATTGGTTGGTTTGAAAGGTTACGCAGAGATGAGTCCTCAGGATTCCTCAGGTAGCTCTGTGCGCACATACAGATGGACATTTCACATACACATCATAACACACATACATCTACACTTCCCCTAAAGGCCCATGTCCTGAACTAGCCGCGGCCAAAGCACCTTGTAGAGGGTCACAAAATGCATTGTGTGCTGATGGGTGCATGTGCATACACATAGACAGACAAACCAATGTGGACGTGTGTCCACACGTTCCTCGGCGCACACGTGCGCACGAATCTCCGTCTTGATCGTTGTCTTTGAAGGAGACAGGCAAAGGCACCAACATACAGACATATGAACATACACACAGACACAGAACCTCTCTCTCACTCGTCTTCCCTAGTTACGTGGCAGTCTGGAATGGCTAGGAAGTGACTGCCACACAAGCCGGCGGCCTTGGGCAGTGGCCGGCATCACCTTTGCAGGCTTGTTTTAGGGTTTAGGCCTTAGGTTGGAGAATCATGGGACGGGTTCTGAATTAGGCTTTATAGGTAGGACATTTCCAGTCTAGGTATCGTGGAGCCAATGGAAAAGAGATCTTTCACTTTGCTGCGTTGGGAGATGTTGGACGTTCATGATTGAAGCGTTCAGCTTCAGCTGGGCTTCAGTCTAGGACCTTCCTTTCCAGGCTTTGACAGACTTCGAACCAATGCCAGGGCAAGATGAACATGATGAAGCTGTACAGACTAACGACAGCAATGGTAGCAACACTGTAGCTTCTTGATTTCACACGGTTGTCGTCGTCGATAGCAACAGTAGTTAATTCTGTCAGCGGAAACGACAGGGGGCATCTGCTGCACTGAGTGGCAGCGCTTCTGGACGATGGCCTGCATCGCCCTCGGAGGACCATGGAGGGAGCTGGGTTTGGGAAATTTGGCGATTGGTTGTGCACAGGACAAGTTTCGCTGCGAAGCAAGAGAAGAGAAAGGTGGCCATTCGGCTCCAGAGAAGACTACACAAGCTTCACGCGGTAGCAGCAGCGGCGCCACTCGAGGAAATGAGTGGATCGTCATCTTCTGCAAGTCCGGTTCCGTCAAGTCCTGGAAGTCCTGGGCGGCCTGGAAGTTCTGCTACTCGTGTCATTGATGATTTCGCATCCATTGTCGAGGCTCTTCCGAATCCTTTGTTTGCAAGTGGGGTGGCAAAGACCCCGCGTTTGCGCACAGGGACGGGTGTCTTGTCATTGCCTCGAGATGTTGCAGAACTGAAGGCTTTGTGCAAGCAAGCCCCTTTTGGTCGGGGATCTGAGACTGTGGTTGACAGGACGATCAGGCGAACCATGGAGACTCAAAATCTGGAGGTCCTTTGGGCCGATCTTGAGCCTGTCTTGTCCACAGTCCGCGCAGAGCTCTGCCCAGATGTGGATTTGGTTGCCAAGTTTTACAAGGTCTTGTTGTATGAGCCAGGCGATTTCTTCCAGCCCCACGTAGACAGCAAAGTTGGCGATGACCACATCATGACCCTTGTGGTGGACTGCGGGGCTGGTGCCTGCAAAGGTGGAGAGCTATGCTTTCCCAAGCGAGCTTCCCAATGGCGTGAGCTGGACAAGATCGGCAGAGACAGGACCTGGCTCTCCGACTCTGGATCTTGGTGTTGCTTTTTTGCCTCTGAGCTTCACTGTGTGGCAGAGGTCACGTCAGGGCGTCGCGTAATGGCGACGTTCAACGTCTTTGGCAGCCCAGCCATCCCCGCCCAGACAGACTCCAAGAAAGCCTTCGTCACGAGTTCCAAGGAGATTTCCTTGTTGTCCTTGCCACGGCAAGTGCAGCAGCAAGTGGTTTTGACAAGCGGCATGGGCAGCGTTTATTGCTGCAGTTGCACTTGCTCTTTTCATCGTGACTTACTGGGTGGCCCTTCCCAGATTCTGCAACTTTGGCTCAGTGAATTCAAGGAGCGGCTGCGAGTGGAAATGGGGGACAAACCCTTGCTTGGCATACCATTCCACAACATGTACAGTTTCGACAGCTCTGGCATTCTGAGGCCTCATCATTTGAGGGGGAGGGATTGGCTCGTTTACAAAGCATTGGTGGCTTCAGGAGGGCACTGTTGCTTGCTGGAGTGCGCGGTGAGTTGCGAAACAGGCCGGAATCTCAAGGGGCTTTCTAGAGCTCGTATAGGCCAGGACATGACTGAGCGCTTCCGACCAGAAAACTGGCCGGCGACACGTCCGATCGTGGTAGATGAAAGGTTTCAAGCTTTGGCAGGGACAAAGACCTTGAGCGATGAGGAAATGTTCTTCTTGGCTGACACCAATGGGGAGAATGATGAATGGGGCCCGGACAAGACTGTTTGGCCCTTCCGGGGTGTCAAGTGGGCAGTGTCTCGGGCCTATTTCGCCAAGCGCTTGCTTCTCGAGTCTGAATCCTGCGACAGGTCTAGAACACTCTGGGGCAATGCAGGGCAATTCCGCGTCTTTTATTATCGACGTGCAGCCTTACTCTGTGAGATGGAACCCTACGACAGCTCTATCGTTCGCAGATTTGATCCTGATTTCTATGAGCATTGAAGAGTCGTTGGGAAGGCCCTCCCGAAGCAGACTCTCCGCCAACAGAGTGTTAGAGCATGCTGGACATGCTGGTCCTCCTGACCTCTGCGTGGTGAGTCCAAAATGGCCGCTGGCCGGGACATGGGAGGGTTCATAGGGTTTAGGGCTTTAGGGTTTAGGGTTTAGGGCTTTAGGGTTTAGGGTTTAGGGCTTTAGGGTTTAGGGTTTAGGGAGGTCTTGAATCTGTCATGGGACAGAACCCAACCCGAATTCAGCTCCCGGGATCCCAACCAGAACCCAGAAACCTTCGACGCGACCAAGAGAGCCACCTCCAGCCCGACACGTGCAACGACTCCTGGGAACCAGACGACCATGCCATGACGCAGGGACTGTCGGGGGTTATTTTTTGCTACTAATGTACTAATATACAAATACGAATAATTGCTAATGTGATGTTGCTTAGACCGGGCCAGGCTTCCGCGCCAGAGACTGGCCTCGGGCAGTGGCCTGCAGAGGTCAGCCGGGAGGGCCTTTCAGTTTGAGGCTTCGGGGTTGAGGGTGAATCAGGATTTAGGGTTTATAAGGTTTTTTTGTAAGGGTATAGGGTTTAGGGCTGAGGTTTAGGGGTTTGCCGGCTTACGGTTTTGGGTTGATATACGGTTTAGGGTTTACCGAGGGTCAGGGTTTTAGTTCCGGGGCTGCGGCCGTCGGCTTCCTCGCTGTCGGGATTGTGAGGGTCTGTTGTGCTCCACTCCCTAGGTTCCATGACGTCTTTGTGCCGGCACAAACACTCCGGCGTCATGAAGTGCGTACGGTGGCAATATGGGTCGACAAATCGGATGGACGGACGGAGGGATGGATGTATGGATGGATGTGTAGTGTATTTGTATATATATATATATGTATACATATATATATATATATATATATGTATATATTAGATGTATGTATATGATACATATATATATATACACACACATATAAATGTATGCATACATACATTTATATGTGTATGTGTAGATATGTGCCTGTCCGTAGTGCGATGAGCACAAAATCTCCGAGCCACGCTGTGACAATTTGATAATGTGAGACGCGGTGACAACGAGAAATGCTGGCGAGAGATTAGTGCGATGAGGCCTGCGGACACTTTCAGGGTTGGCACATGTTGGCACTCCTGGTCTGTCCTGAATGGTATTTGCAATGAGCTTCTGACTTCTTCAAGCGCAAATCAGATCGTACATTGAACAGGTGCCTGCTGTGCCCCGGCCCAGCAGCAGCCCGGCCGGGCAGTGGCCTGAGAAGCCTGCAGAGGCAGGGGAACGGGCCTGGACAGGAAGAGATGGGCACTACAGTGTGGCTTGAGCGCACAGCCCGGCAGGTTGCCACTGCGCGTGAACCCAGTGAGAGCCCGTCCGGGCAATGGCCTGCGCTGCCGGCAGAGGCACAGCAACGTCTGCTGAAGCTGCCTGGCACTAGATCTTAACATCGCAAGCCCATATCATCTGAAGATGCTGCTGTGCTCGAGGGCGGTGGCAGCCAGTCTGGGCAGTGGCCTGCGACTTCGCCGCAGGCCAGTCTGCGGCTGCTGCCATGAATTACGGATCGGAACGAGGATCGTCACATGCTTTTCAATTCAAGAAGGCAGATACTGTACGACTTGCAGTCATGCTTGTGCCGGTAATTAGGAGAAGCACGGGACAAGCCAAGACACGCCAGACCCGGTGTCGGTGCTCAACATTGCCATGCCAGATCTGAAACCACAGACATTTCTCCGTGCTGCAGGAGCTAATTACGACAGACATTTTTCATGTTGACCGGCTCTTGCGCTTTGCATCGTCGAGGCTTTTGCTGTGCCCCGGCCCAGCAGCAGCCCGGCCGGGCAGTGGCCTGAGAAGCCTGCAGAGGCAGGGGAACGGGCCTGGACAGGAAGAGATGGGCACTACAGTGTGGCTTGAGCGCACAGCCCGGCAGGTTGCCACTGCGCGTGAACCCAGTGAGAGCCCGTCCGGGCAATGGCCTGCGCTGCCGGCAGAGGCACAGCAACGTCTGCAGAGTTGCAAGATGCCTCGCCTCAGATCAAAGCATCCCATGTGCATGTCGTTTGAAGATGCTGCTGTGCTCGAGGGCGGTGGCAGCCAGTCTGGGCAGTGGCCTGTAAGTTCGCCGCAGGCCCAAGTGTGCGGCCGTGCATTCTGGATCCTCGACTCACAGTCATAGGATGGCTTTCTCGAGATCAGGACATGGTTGACACGGGTTCGCAACAACCGCCTGTTTTTTCTACCGTCAGATCCCTCCAAACCCTCTAAACCCTCAGCCCCAAGCCCTAAGCCCTACTCTGGCAGGTTGCGGCTGGAGAGAGTCCTGTGCCCTACATTGCCCCTATATTAGCCTTTATTAATCTATTTGCCGGCACCAACAATCTTTCCTACTCCTACACAGACACATTCGGAAACACACACCTGGGCCCGCGTAGTTTTTCCTTCCGCAGGTGCCTGCCCAGTCTGGGCAGTGGCCCGCGACACCCACAGAGGCTGGAATCCGCAACGGGGCTTGGTATGGTATGCTGCACCTGGAAGTTGTGGAAGTCTTTCCCTCATGCACTGCACTCAGCCCATGGGGGAAGGTTGCCGCCGCTGCTGAGCCCAGCTTCAGCAGCCAGGGTTCTCCCGGGCAGTGGCCTGCAGCTGCACAGGCGCACAGACGGTCTGCGATAGGGGTGTTTCCATAAAGTGCTGCCTTCAATCTGTTGGGCACATCGGAGTCCCAAATCCGATTCGGTTCAAGTTCACCCTTGAAGTACGAGTTCAGAGGCCTCCAGGTACCAGGCTCCAGCACACTCGCACCGCAGCAGAGCTGACATACAAGCGAAAGGATACTCCGGGCCCCTCTATCTAGGTGAGCACTTGGCGCTGATCAGCTTGTGCTTTGCCCATGTAGGCATTCTCGTGGCAAGATCCTGGCATTCCCCTTACCCTTGCAGTGTTGTAGGCAAGCACCGCTTGGTTATCACTGCGGCTCAGTGCTTCTTCTACAGAGCCAAGCCACGGCTTTGGCTCTGATTCTAGATGAGCCCTCACTCCCAAATTCTGAATTGTATGCCTTCGTCGGTCCTTTTCTGTTCGGACGTTTGATTGTGGAACGAGAACACAGGCTCGGCTCAACTGCCTGCTTTGGAGCATGTCGCATCCTCCTGAGAACTCTGCATTGCCTTCCATTCGTGGTGGAAGCAAGGCTTCCTGGCGACTCGTGACGCCTGCCACTGCGTCGCACGCGTCGAAGGCGGCTACCGAATTTGCCGAGCCCATGACCGAAAGAGATACGAATGTTCCCAACATCATCATACCCATGGTCCTCAAATTCAACCGATTGTTGGACGCAGAGCTTTTGCAGCGGAGCCTCGCCATCGCCCTCTCCTTGTTTCCAAGTATTTCCAGCAGGATGCGTGACAGGCGCTGCTTCGTGAATTGCCAGGCAGGCGTCCACTTTGAGACAGTCCGTCGTAAGGAGGTGGTGGCCCATTTTAAGAGCGCGCAAGAGTGGGCTTCCGTCGACGTTTTTCCAAAAAGAGTTTTTGTGGCTCTGGCGGACTCGCCCCTGTTGGAAATACGACTGTCATGGTTCGAAGGCGAAGGCAACCTCAATGGAATCAGCGTGCTCTCGGTAGCGATGAATCACGCCGTTGGTGACATGGCCTCGCTTGTAGCCTTTTTGACGGCATGGTCGCTGCTGTGCGACGGTAGCCAGGTCGAAGCCCTCCCAGCTGATCTGGTGCCCCCGCAGCCGACCACCCACCGGTTCACCCGATTGTCTGAGTTCAGCCGGAAGCCCAGCGAGGGGCTCACCCTTGAGATGCTGCTGGCCATGGCACCGGAACTCGAGAAGCGACGGCCAAGGAGGATTCATTCGGAAGCAGTGGCCACCGAACCGGAAGTTGATGCTCCGGAAGGTGTTACTTGTGAAGCTTTGGATGTCACTGGAGAGGGCACGTTTGCCCGGGACGATTTGGCGAACAAGGATGAGGGTTGCACGCCGCAGCAGATCGTCGATGGCTTGTCGTTGCACGGAGCCGTCAACACGGTCCTGGAATTGCGCGTGGATATGCCCTCACTCAAAGCCCTAAAGGAGGAGTTGATGTGTGAATTGGCTGCGGAGAACGAGTGGTTCTCCAGCTTTGAGCTCTTGGCCAGTATGCTATTCATCGTCCAAGCAGGCATTGCTGAGATTCCTAGCAGCGACAAATCCGGCGGGATCTTGGGTGCGGCTTTAAACGGCTTCAAGAGCGATGCCTCTCTGGTAGTGCCCTCGGGCATGCTGCGCATCCTGCCGGTGATCAGCGTCCGAGGACGCGTTCCCGGTGTTGCAAAGAATGCATTTGGAAATTGGTCCGTGTATGCGAAGGGAGTAGATGTGTCGACGCCGGTGGAGAAGAAGGACAGGATTGCCGCAGGGCACTTGACGCCCGCGTCCAGTGCCTTGCCGACTTTGGACGCTGAGGCTCAGCGCGCCGTGCTGCTGCGCATAGTGCATGAGTTCCACTTCAAGCTGAGGCAGAGTGTTGCATCCCTGTCGGATGTGCTGGAAGGGAAAGAGTGGGTTCAGCTCATGGCTGATGCGGGACACGGTGCAGAGCTCTGGACACCGTCACTTCGTGCAGAGGAGCTCGCGCACCTGGCCAAGACCAACTCCGCCGTTGTCTTAACTAAGTACCCCACGGATCCACTTACCAAGCTTCGCTTCGGGAGCGACGAGGCTGTGTCTGGGTTGTTGTACAGTGAAGATATTAACTTTCGTTCCGAGAACTACTGGTTGATTGCGCATCGCGGGGGAGAACAGGGCGACCTCACCATCACCCTGGCATTGTCTCCCTCGCGTGCAGATGCATTCCTGAAGCTGATCAGGGCCTGGGCGTTTCCATTCGAGCTCATGAGCGCTCATGTCACATAGGTCACTTGCCATGTTGGAACAAAGATGCGCAAGTATTACCCATCGGGCGCGAATTCCATTCTTTCCAAATTATTTCACAAACAAAATTCCATCAATCGGTCTATACAAAATTCTCTGATGTGACAGGCGAGCAATCTTGGCAAAGCATTTGCAAGACCAACCTGCTTCATTGAGATTCAAATCCTGCTTGTGAGGGTCCCTGTACACACAAAGCAGATTGTGCTGTAGGACAGGTTTCTGAATTTATTGACACGGAGTTTGGGCCGTGAAGCGGATACACACTTCGTCCTGCACTGGTGATTCCAAGATTCCAGAGTTTGACCAATGTAGTTCTTGAAATGTTCGCGCAGTGCAGCAGGGGATTTGTTCAGCACATATTCAAGAGACGCTCGTTTGCACCGTAGTTGTTGGCACTGTGTTCCGGAAGGTCACGGCACTGCCGGAACAAAGCCAAAGCCCTTCCGGGCAGGCCCTTTCGCCTGCAGAGGTCCGCGAGGGTGTGCAAGAACTTGCAAGAACAGTCGTTCCTCCAACACATTCTGACAATGGCTTGCTTTGCCGCACCCAGCTTGATAGACAACGGGCTCATTTATGCAAAATAGGGAGCCGCCACTGTGACTGTTTGGTGCCGTCCACACACTCTGCCACCCACGGACAGACATATGCCTTCCCAGTGTTGTCTTTCAGATCGGGACGCTGGAGTTGAGGGGCATTTTGCCACTTGCGAGTTGCGGAAGTTTTCGACGCTGTTGTGACAAGCAGTAGGGTTGGTTGCATTGGTTTGATCTCCAGTTCCTCAACATACTGTAACAGCAGGTGCCTGCGGAGCCACAGCGCAGTCGCAGCCAGTCTGGGCAGTGGCCCGCGACACCCACAGAGGCCGGAATCCGCACCCGGGCTTGGTATGGTATGCTGCACCTGGAAGTTGCGGAAGTCGTTCCCTCATGCACTGCACTCAGTCCATGGGGGAAGGTTGCCGCCACTGCTGAGCCCAGCTTCAGCAGCCAGGGTTCTCCCGAGCAGTGGCCTGCAACTGCACAGGCGCACAGACGGTCCGCGAAATCCTTCCATCAGTGGGTCTATCATAGTTTCTCTGATGTGACAGGCGATCAATCTTGGCATAGCATATGCAAGACCAACCTGCTTCATTGAGATCTCAGATGTTGTGTAGGACAGGTTTCCGAATTTATTGACACGGAGTTTGGGCCGTGAAGCGGATACACACTTCGTCCTGCACTGGTGATTCCAAGGTTCCAGAGTTTGACCAATGTAGTTCTTGAAATGTTCGTGCAGTGCAGCAGGGCATTTGTTCAGCACATATTCAAGAGACGCTCGTTTGCACCGTAGTTGTTGGCACTGTGTTCCGGCAGGTCACGGCACTGCCGGAACAAAGCCAAAGCCCTTCCGGGCAAGCCCTTTCGCCTGCAGAGGTCCGTGAGGGTGTGCAAGAAAGAACAGTCGTGCCTCCAACGCATTCCGACAATGGCTTGCTTTGCCGCACCCAGCTTGATAGACAACGGGCTCATTTATGTAAAATGGGGAGCCGCTACTGTGACTGTTTGCTGCCGTCCACACACTCTGCCACCCACAGACAGACGCATGCCTTTCCAGTGTTGTCTTTCAGATCGGGACGCTGGAGTTGAGGGGCATTTTGCCACTTGCGAGTTACGGAAGTTTTCGACGCTGTTGTGACAAGCAGTTGGGTTGGTTGCATTGGTTTGATCTACAGTTCCTCAACATGCTGTAATAGCAGGTGCCTCCGGAGCCACAGCGCAGTCGCAGCCAGTCTGGGCAGTGGCCCGCGACACCTACAGAGGCCGGAATCCGCACCCGGGCTTGGTATGGTATGCTGCACCTGGACGTTGCGGAAGTCGTTCCCTCATGCACTGCACTCAGTCCATGGGGGAAGGTTGCCGCCACTGCTGAGCCCAGCTTCAGCAGCCAGGGTTCTCCCGGGCAGTGGCCTGCACCTGCCCAGGCGCACAGACGGTCCGCGAAATCCTTCCATCAGTCGGTCTATAAAGATTTGTTTGATGTGACTGGCGAGCAATGTTGGCATAGCATGTGCAAGGCCAACCTGCTTCATTGAGATCTCAGATGTTGTGTAGGACAGGTTTCCGAATTTATTGACACGGAGCTTGGACCATGAAGCGGATACACACTTCGTCCTGCACTGGTGATTCCAAGATTCCAGAGTTTGACCAATGTAGTTCTTGAAATGTTCGTGCAGTGCAGCAGGGGATTTGTTTAGCACATATTCAAGAGACGCTCGTTTGCACCGTAGTTGTTGGCACTGCGTTCCGGCAGGTCACGGCACTGCCGGAACAAAGCCAAAGCCCTTCCGGGCAGGCCCTTTCGCCTGCAGAGGTCCGCGAGGGTGTGCAAGAACTTGCAAGAACAGTCGTTCCTCAAATGCATTCCGGCAATGGCTTTGAGGGGCATTTTGCAACTTTCGAGTTGCGGAAGTTTTCGATGCTGTTGTGACAAGCAGTTGGGTTGGTTGCATTGGTTTGATCTCCAGTTCCTCAACATGCTGTAACAGCAGGTGCCTGCGGAGCCACGGCGCAGTCGCGGCCAGTCTCGGCAGTGGCCCGCGACACCCACAGAGGCCGGAATCCGCAACGGGGCTTGGCATGGTATGCTGCTCCTGGAAGTTGCGGAAGTCGTTCCCTCATGCACTGCACTCAGTCCATGGGGGAAGGTTGCCGCCGCTGCTGAGCCCAGCTTCAGCAGCCAGGGTTCTCCCGAGCAGTGGCCTGCACCTGCACAGGCGCACAGACGGTCCGCGAAATCCTTCCATCAGTCGGTCTGTAAAGATTTGTTTGATGTGACTGGCGAGCAATCTTGGCAAAGCATGTGCAAGGCCTGTCATTGAGATCAGATGTTGTGTAGGACAGGTTTCCGAATTTATTGACACGGAGCTTGGACCATGAAGCGGATACACACTTCGTCCTGCACTGGTGATTCCAAGATTCCAGAGTTTGACCAATGTAGTTCTTGAAATGTTCGTGCAGTGCAGCAGGGGATTTGTTCAGCACATATTCAAGAGACGCTCGTTTGCACCGTAGTTGTTGGCACTGTGTTCCGGCAGGTCACGGCACTGCCGGAACAAAGCCAAAGCCCTTCCGGGCAGGCCCTTTCGCCTGCAGAGGTCCGCGAGGGTGCGCAAGAACTTGCAAGAACAGTCGTTCCTCAAACGCATTCCGACAATGGCTTGCTTTGCCGCACCCAGCTTGATAGACAACGGGCTCATTTATGTAAAATAGGGAGCTGTGACTGTTTGGTGCCGTCCACACACTCTGCCACCCACAGACAGATGTATGCCTTCCCAGTGTTGTCTTGCAAGTTTTGAGGGGCATTTTGCAACTTTCGAGTTGCGGAAGTTTTCGATGCTGTTGTGACAAGCAGTTGGGTTGGTTGCATTGGTTTGATCTCCAGTTCCTCAACATACTGTAACAGCAGGTGCCTGCGGAGCCACAGCGCAGTCGCAGCCAGTCTGGGCAGTGGCCCGCGACACCCACAGAGGCCGGAATCCGCACCCGGGCTTGCTATGGTATGCTGCACCTGGAAGTTGCGGAAGTGCACAGGCGCACAGACGGTCCGCGAAATCCTTCCATCAGTGGGTCTATCATAGTTTCTCTGATGTGACAGGCGATCAATCTTGGCATAGCATGTGCAAGACCAACCTGCTTCATTGAGATCTCAGATGTTGTGTAGGACAGGTTTTCGATTTTATTGACACGGAGCTTGGACCATGAAGCGGATACACACTTCGTCCTGCACTGGTGGTTCCAAGATTCCAGAGTTTGACCAATGTAGTTCTGGAAATGCTCGTGCAGTGCAGCAGGGGATTTGTTCAGCACATATTCAAGAGACGCTCGTTTGCACCGTAGTTGTTGGCTCTGTGTTCCGGCAGGTCACGGCACTGCCGGAACAAAGCCAAAGCCCTTCCGGGCAAAACCTTTCGTCTGCAGAGGTCCGCGAGGGTGTGCAAGAACTTGCAAGAACAGTCGTTCCTCCAACGCATTCCGCTTTGGCTTTGAGGGCATTTTGCAACTTTCGAGTTGCGGAAGTTTTCGATGCTGTTGTGACAAGCAGTTGGGTTGGTTGCAACGGTTTGATCTCCGAACCTCAACATACCGTAACAGCAGGTGCCTGCGGAGCCACAGCGCAGTCGCAGCCAGTCTGGGCAGTGGCCCGCGACACCCACAGAGGCCGGAATCCGCACCCGGGCTTGGTCTGGTATGCCGCACCTGGAAGTTGCGGAAGTCGTTCCCTCATGCACTGCACTCAGTCCATGGGGGAAGGTTGCCGCCGCTGCTGAGCCCAGCTTCAGCAGCCAGGGTTCTCCCGAGCAGTGGCCTGCAACTGCACAGGCGCACTAAGGGGCTGCTTGCATCATCAGTCGTGCAGCGTAGCTACATATTCTCTGATGTGATAGGCGCACCAATCTTGATGCGAGTTTGCAGCTCCGAACGTGCAAGACCAGTCTGATTCATTGAGACTTCGGATTGTTGTGTCAGGTTGACATGCACGGGTGATTCCAACATTCCAGAGTCTGACCGATGTGGTTCCGGAAATGTGCGCGCAAAGCAGCAGGGGATTTGTTCAGCCAAATGCAAGAAACACTCATATTATGTACTGTAATTAGTTGTCAGCACTTCCTTCCCGCAGGTCGCGCCAGTGCCGGAGCAAAGCCAAAGCCCTTCCGGGCAGGCCTTTTCGCCTGCAGAGGTCCGCGAGGGTGTGCAAGAACTTGCCAGAACAGTCGTTCCTCAAACGTATTCCGAGAATGGCTTGCTTTGCCGCACCCAGCGTGATGGACAGCCTTTTGTGCATGTAAAGTGTGGTGCAGGTAAGACTATAGGGTGCTTTCAATTCAACCCTCCCGCGCACAGACAGTTAGTGGACTGCCCGATCGATTTGTGGAAGTTTGAGTCACGAGAGCAGTTGTCCAATTCCGCAGTAGCGTTCTGCACTCAGTCGAGCCCATAAAATGAAGCTTTCCATACCAAGTTCGAAACACATCATGTGCCAGACAATCCCTTCTTGCGTCAGCCATGCTTCATGCAACTCACAGATTAGGTCCGTGACTTGATGAACGCGGCGAATCCGCTTCTTTCCGAGCGAAACTTTGCAATCAGGCGCCCGCTGAGCCACAGCGCGGTGGCAACCCGTCCGGGCAGTGGCCTGACACACCCGCAGAGGCACGAACTCGTTCCCTGAAGCCACACGCGCTCTAAAACCCCGAGAGGTTCCCAGCTCTCCGGAGCCCAGCGAGCACAGCGAGAGCATTTCCAGCCAGTGGCCTGCACCTGGACAGGCACAGAAAGAAGGGTTTGCGTTTCAGCACGACACCGCTCTGCGACATGGTTTGACAGCTCAGCCCTACTCTGCAGCTCATGTATTACAACAGCGCGGAATGTGCCATTGACAAGTTCTTCGTTCAAGGCGTGACATAAGAGGCAGTTGCGGCAGGTTCGCCTGTGCAAGATCGTTGTTAGCATCGTCGTGATAGACCGAACGTGGTGCCTCCACAGCGTTTCCCGCAGACCCATACAAATGCACAGAGGAGGCAGAGCCCTATGCAGAGAAAGACACGCAGACAAAACCAGAAAGACAGAGGCTGAGAGAGAGAGGGAGAGCCACCCAACGTAGAAAGCGACCACCCCAGACGTGCAGGCAGAAAGAGACAGCTGGACGAGGTTTGGACAAAGCCAAACAAGACAACCAACTACGTCAGGAACCCTAAACCCCATAACCTAAACCCTAAGCTCCAGCTACTTTCCTTCTTGTTCCATGCCATATCAACGCTTCAAATCAAGGCTGCTGCAACCAAGAGTCTATTGCTAGAGTCTAGAGACTCGAATCCTCAAGATGAAGGCTTATGGCTATGGCTTATGGGGGTGTTAAGTTGGCTTATCGCAATTAAAAGGTGTAAGTGGGTTTAAGCGTGAAGGGTTATAGGGGTCAGGGCCATCAAGTTTGCAGATGGGGCTGGCTTGCAGCAAGCACCTGTGCAGCTTCAAGTGCTTGCTCCGCAGGTTACCGCAAATGGGCCCAGCAATGCCCTTCAGTGGCCTCCATCAGTGGAGGCTCACGAGAGGTTGCAAGAAACATTCTTAGCGCGGCCCATCCCTGTAGTCCGTGAGACAAGGACGGAGGCAGAGAATCACCGAGAGAGACGGAGACTGTGCTTCTTCGTCTTACCGCTTTGCACAACGTCTTACAAGACAAGTCTTGTCCATCTGCGCCGACTTGACTGCCGCCACCGCAGTCGCCTTTGCCTCTCCACACTGGTTGCAGGCGTCGGAGCGGTGGCCGGAAACTGCAGAGGCTCCAACTTGCTGGTTTGATGCTCTGAGCACTAAACCGCTGAACAGGCTTGTCCCAAAGCTTAGCCCCACAAGACACCAACCCAGGTCGCCGAAAGGGAACTGTTCATTTTCTACTATCTAGGAAAGGGCGTTCAGGGGCTGTTCAATGCAGTAACGCGATAAGCCTCGCACACTCCACAAATCGTCTCCTTAAGCAAGGTTCCCATCCCCGCAACTCGAAGCCTGAATTGCTTGAACGCGGCGCTTGAAGAGCTCCCCGGCTGGGCCCGCCCTGTGAAAGTAGCAACCCAAGAGTCGGTAAACACTTCCAAACTTGCCCCTTACGCTCTCAAAGCCCGCTCGCCTTCAAGGAAAGAGAGGAAAGCCTGTCAACTCAGTTTGTAAACTCCCCGTACGGAAGCTTCTGCTTGAAAGGCTTCCAAGCCCATCCGGTGGCCCGATGCCGCTGTGCAGGCACCCCACGGTTCAGGGTCCGGGGATCTGGATGCAGGGTCGACGGTTGCAGGTTTAGCTGGCATAGGCCGGTGTCGGATTCCTTGTTCATGCGTGTTTGCCGTGAGGTCTCTGGGGTTTCGAGGCAAAGCGCGATGCTAGTAGTACTACGACGACTGCCACCACTGCCGACTGCTGCTACTGCTGCTCGATACAGATGCCCCGCTACTTCTGCTACCGCGACGACGACTACTACTGCTATTGCTGCTACTTGCCTAGGCGAAGTTGGCGACGACAGTGACTGCCATGGCCACTGCAGGAATAACTGCCACCATCACCAACTTGAGCACCATCACGACTTTTTGTGCGGAATCATCATCGCTGTCATTGATCTTTGCTTTTTCATGATGACGATGGTTACGATGATTGTGATTACCATGCAATTATCATCAATAGTGCCTATCCACCCAATCTTCAGGATCATCACCGCCATCACCACTAGATCTCTTCTCGTCAGCATCATGAACAACAACAGCATCATTCGCTTCGTACTTGCCATAAGTTTCGCCAGCAACACACTTGTTGATATCAGCGGCATCCTCGCTGTCTTCTTAAAGGCGACAGGGCTCAAGCAAGCCGCAACAAGCGCCACACAGCCCGGCACAGAAGCACGCGTGTCATTTCTTGTTTATTGTGTGTCCGAGGGTTTTGTGAGTAATTATAGCCAAAGCAACCAACCAGACACCTAGCAGTTGTACGATGTTGAAGCTTACTGCCCATGACGGTACAAAGCTCATGAGTACGGTTCAGGGCTTTCAGCACAGGAAATGCGATTGTTCCGCCTGGCTCTCTTAAACGTTGGGCCAAGGTACTCCAAGGCTTTGGAACTCCAAGCGAGTACTTGTGGGTTTGCCGATGGGGTTCATCTAGCATTCATTGTAACGTAATATCCTGGGAAGTCCCTAAACCCTGAAACCTAAGCAGTTCTGGCCGAGCATCAGTTGGGGCGACTCGCATGGCTTGACCAGGAGCCAGCTGTTTCAGAAAGCTCTGCTCCATCGATGACGAAGGCCGCCGGATCTAGGACAGGCTGAGAACAAGGCACGGCTTAAGGAAAGAGGCAGAACTGGACCATGCAGAGACCAAGTTGTTGGGATGCATAATGCTGCTCCTATCTCAAAAAGAGGCCTTGTCGGCTTGTGCATATCCGTCCCTAAAGGTGCATCTGTTTCTTTTGGTGGGAGCAGCACTCTCAAATCCAAGCCAATGCGGACCCTCTCGCACAAGAACTTGCAGTCCCGGGCCCCGCACAGAGCCCGAAGTTTAATCTCGAACTTTGGTGTATACACAGTATGAAACAAACTTTGTTTTGAACAATTTTTTCATAAACCTATAGCTACTCTGAAGCACAAGTTTAGGCTTGAGCGCCTTTAAGATCCTAGGCTCGATTTTGAGAGTGATGGTTCTAAATTATTTGGCGTCTCTCAAGGAGCTATCAAGGCTTGCTTGGATGCAGCACACCTCAGGTCTTTTCACAGAACGAAACCGCACCCTCGAGTTTCGACCGACAGGCCCCAGGCGACTCGGCAGAAGTTCCTGTGGCATCACCCCCGGCACAGGCGGACAAAGCACATGGGTGGTTATCAACATTAGGGTCCCTGTTTGGGTCCTTGTTGTAATACGCCGCCTATTACTTAAGGTAGCCAAAAAGGGACCCTGATTTTGACCACAAGCCACATGTTCTCTTGAGATTTCTGATTGGAGGTTGATGATTACTACAAACAGTGCTGAAAGTAGTGCAGTCACGCTGAAACAGAACAGCCAATCTGCGACGACCCCATGGAACTCCAGCACAAAGGGTTCCGATATTCAGCCTTAGTCTTACGAGTGGACTGTGTCGGTTGTTCTTGGTGTCTTGTTGGCTGTCATTGGCCAGTGTTGGGCTTCACGCCGGCGAGCTTCAGCAGACAAGGGATCCCAAAATAGAACCCTGTACATACGATCCGTAGCCCTTGTGGTAGATACCGGCCCCTCATGAAAAGACACCTCCTTGTAAGCTCAGCCTATTTCTTGAGGATTCACAAGATCTAGGACCTTGCTTTTAGAGTTTACGGGTTCGGGTGTCGGGCCGAGGGCAAGGATCTGGGGTCCAAGGTTCACGGCTGGGGTGGGTAGGGCCTGGGATTTCACGAGGGCCTTCCCGGGTTTCCGGTAGTATCCATCTACTATTTTGGCTGTAAGCCATCCTAAACACTAAACCCTCTAACTCTAAATCCTTATGAACCTTAAACCCTGGAAAACCCTGACTCCTAAGCCCTTATAAACCCTGAACCCTAAACCCTGACAGTGAATGAACGCTTCGAGAGGCAGCTGACTCCGCAGATGTGGGAGCTGCTGTCGCAGCGTGGCCCGAGCCAACGCAGGCTCCCGATCCCTGGGTTTAGGGGTTAGGCTTTAGGTTTAGGGTTTTAGGGTTTTGGGTTTTAGGGTTTAGGATTTTAGGGTTTAGGGGTTTAGGGTTTTGGGTCTAGGGTTTGAGGATTTACTGTTCAGTGTCAGGGTTTTAAAGGTTTAGGGTTTACAGGTGCCTGGGTCGGGTTCTACTATTAGAGTTACGAGAAGGCTGTAAGGGTTATGGATTCCAGAACACCTGGTTGGGGTTTAAGGTTTACAGATGCTACCGAAGCTTGACTTAAATTAGTGATAAGGTTTCCTATAACTCCACATGAGAATTCAGTCATGATAGTCGCAGTTAGTATAGTGCAACCCTCCAAACCCCGTTCGCATGATTCAGGCCCTAAACCATGTGGGTGGTTGTCAAAATTATGGTCCCTTGCTGGGTCCCTAACATAGTACGGCACCTAATATTTAGGGTACCCAAAAAGGGATCATATTTTTGACAACCACCCATGTGGCTTCGGGCCTTAAGACCTTGGCTTGGCGCCTTTTGCCTTGGTGCCGGGAGGGGAAGTTCAGGGCACCGCACTCAGATTCAAAGTGCACGGCGAGTTTTGACAGTACCTAGAGTCCCCATTGGAGTTCCTTTTCTTGGTTTAACCAATTATATGTTACGGATCCTATAAGGTAACCCAAAAAGGAGCTACAATGGAGACTTTAGGCATGGCCTGATTGGCTAAGAGTTTGTTCACGGTTGTGTCTGTATCTTTCCAAACACGGCATGCGGCATGACTGGGATACAATTCCGCCCAAATGATACAGCAGTCTCGCATCAGGCGCTGGTAGCACACACAGACACAGAGATATGTATGTGTGTACAAATACATATAGAAGTCATATTACATACGCACATACATGCAAAGACCATAAACATATACATATCAACTTAGCTTCAAGTTCTACTTCCGTGGTTCCGCGGACCCGGCAACTATACCGTGGACACAAGCAAAACAAAAGCACAACTTGCCGGTTTTCCCGCCTTGCAGCAGGCGATGTCTAGTGCTGATCCGTCATCTGCCACCATGGACTGGCCGTCACCTATGCAGGCGCAAGGTTTAAAACGAGTGAGAGCTGTAATTCTCAACTCGATCAGAAGATACCTCATTCAGGCACGTTCGTTTTATTCGTCGTGAACAGGGACTGTGAATCTCGAAGGCTTGCTGGCATGTCTGGGTTGGCTTCGCCGAATCTGAGCTGCAAGAACTACTTTATCCAATCCTTACGCGTTGGCGGATGCACAGCATACGGTCACAGGGACTCGGAATCCATCCGAATAAGAAAACCAAGATAATCCGCAGCTCCGAGAAAGATTTCTGACTAAGGGATCCAGATGTGAGCCTGCAAGCTACTGCATGCAACACGATAACCTTTAGCAACACATCGCAAAACAACAGAGTTCAGCTGGGAGCCCTCAACAAGTGTCGCACTGCCGTCTTATATCCTATTACTTTAGACTATATCATATGAGCCCATGATGTTTTATCAGATCGCACTGTACATTACAGCATACCATATATTTTTCGGTAGTGCACCGAGGAAGGCCCCTTCCCGCGGTACGGTTGATGATATAAATCCTGCATGACCTTTAGGACCCTAAACTATGGGAATTATGGTATATTCCTTATTATGGGTAATGCAGGATTTATATCATCAACCGTAGCAACCTCAGCGGTGAAACCTGTCAGGGCTATAGTGTTTTACAAAAGCAGGGCTTCTTTATACCACGGTGTTCTGTACTATAGCGGAGCATAAACCAGTGTATCGATGTGTCGTATAAACTTATAAAACAGCGTTCTTTTGTTCTGTCCCATGAAAACGTGTATTGTAGCGTTTTATACAACCCTACAAGACATATAGCGCTTGTTTTGCTAAAGTCTCAGATACAGTCAATAGTAGCCATGATACTTACCCCTTGTAGTAACCGCACAGAAACCTCATAGCAACCCTTGTAGTAACCGATATGTCGTAGCGAAACTTAGGTGTAGAGTCACTCCAGGCCAAACCTTCGCTGCCGGTGCTTTGGGCCAGGTGTCAGATGGTGCCTTCGGCTGGCCTGCAGCGCCTGTAAAGGCGGCCTTCGAAGCAGGGTTCAGGGTTGAGGGCCTAGGGCGTGACAGCAGAACTCCAGTTTAGTTTTCGTGTTGTGAGAAGTGACATCAGAACATCTGCTCGCTGAAGCTCGCCCTGGGATAGGAAAAATGTATAGCGCACACGCAGCCTCATGGGCTCGTGTGGACCACGTCGTGAGGGCTGAATGGTTATATATATATATATACACATATATACATATCCATATATGTATATGTTTATATGTGTATATATATATATGTATATATCCATTTATGTGTATGTATATGTATGTACATATAGATATATGGGTTTAGGGGGTCATACAGATGGAGGCGTCGGACACCAAAGCAGCATCCTGTAGACCTCAAGCCACGAGATCCTTGTTGCTGACACTGCCCCCAAAAGAAGCCCTTTGACTTTAGGGGTTTAGGGTTTAGGGTTTTGGGTTTTGGTTTAGGGTTTAGGGTTTAATCCAGCCCCAATTCGCAGTTCCGCCTGTCAGCCTGCCTTTGCTATGTGCCTTGAGCAGGAATGGGCAGTCATCAGGGTATATCCTCTGGTGTCTCGACTGCCGCAAAGGTCTGCTAAGATAGAATTGTAGAGAGTTGACAAGAAAACCACCGTGCCTTGAGAGGGACGATACCCTAAACACTAAACCGTTTCCAGCTCTGTTTGCTCTTGAGGCAGAGGCAGAGGTCCCTTCGTCCTGGCCGCCATCAACAGAGGTGGGGTTTCGATGTTTGCTCAGGTTGGGTGCTGGTTCAGGGTTTGGGATGTCCTATTATAGTAGTCCCGAATTACAAGAAGTCGATTACGAAGCTTCTGCCGCAGGGTGCTGTGATGAGTGTGTCGAACATATCTATGATGTTGTGGTCTTCACCTTCGTAATCCCTAGGTCCGTGTACCCTCAACTCTAAACCCCTAAACCCTAACCCGTGTTAGAGCCAAGAGGTGTCCGCCCCATCTGCAGCCAAGGCACGCATCTTCTTCGCATGGGATTTAGGGCTCGGGCTTTAAGCATCTAGGGTTTAGTAAATTGGAAGCTTTCGATGCACCGGAGTTGGGTTTTGAAGGTTCCCACCTAAGCAGCTGAGCACAAAATCTTTATAACCTTTTGCTGGATGTACATAACACATCAGTCTATAACACTCTCGTCAAACATTGCCAAGCTTGGGGGCAGGCAACTGTGAAACTAGGCTACTGTCGGCGATGATCCATGGTAAGTAGGGATTCGGAGGATATTTTGACATGGTTCGGGCATGTTCGTGCGAAATAGAGACTTACGGAATGCATGATTGGTCTTGTCGATGATAAGTTTCTTAAACAGCCTAGATCTTGAGTGGTGGATCAGGATGTCCAGCGTGTCTAGAGTTCTCGAGACTAGGGGTCAGTCTGGTGGCGAGACCCTTAAGGCCAAAACTGAATGCCCCATGAAGGGGTAGTTATGGGTTTCTGTAATATCGCGGTCCACAGTAAACCATCTGAAGACGAGCCAGCTGAAGTTCTGCGACACGTAAGATGCTCCGGACTCCGGACGGCGTTTGGTCCTCCAAATTCAATCCCAATGAAAGCTACGAGATTCTCAATACCCCGAAGGTTTAAGGTTTAGGGCTTAGAGTTCCTCCTACCCCTCGACATCCTATACTCGCGAAATCCCAAGCCTTAATGCATACAGCCCACATCTCCAAGCCAGCTTGTTATTCCTATTAACCCTGTAGTAGCAAAGCCATTAGAAGACGTAGTATCATGCACACCCTCGTGATACATAAATAAACAAAAATTAAGTGTATATATGTACATATGTGTATATATATATATCGGTTAACACCACCAAAACTTATGAACAAGGGTACCAGCAATGCAAGACGGTAGCCCTCGTTGGACCAGGCCAGCGACCTGACTTCCAGCGCCGCCGACACCCAGCAGCCAAAGGCGACTCCTTTTGCATCTTGGGATCGTATGCTATTTGACATGGTATCATATTATACTATATTATATGACATTACACTGTATTACATTATATCATATCCTTTTACATCCTGTTGTCGCCCACATGTTATATGGTGGTTCCTTCTATCGCGTTGTATTATGTGATGTTGCAATGCGGTAAACACGACAATTGGGCCATTGGCAGCTTCGGTAGTAATTGCAGCTGGGCGTTTTCGGATCAGGGTTCAGGGGTTCACGGGGTTCAGAGGAACCCGGAACCCTAAACCCCCCTTATGCGAGCGGTGAAGAATCTAAGAAGGGCACCCTGTTAGTCGGGTCTTTTCAAGGCAGACATGAGAAGCTGAGAGTTTGAAAGGTCACAAAGTACTGGTCGATATGAGTGTAAGCCTCTGTGATTGCAGGCCTGGACCTGCAATATTTGTTGCGGAGAAAGAGCCATTGCACTTTAGAAAATCCTTAGTCTGGCTTGGAGGGGGTCTCAGATCTCCCAATCCTTCAAGCCAGAACCAAGACTTGTAAACTCCACTGCACCTCAGGAAAGTAGCCGAAAACCCTCTAGAGCACTACTACCCCTGCGCTCCGAAAGGCTTCCTAAAGCCACACGAACTCTACACCCCCAAAACCCCCGGAGGTCCCATAAACTCCGCCAGCTTTGAAGATCCTTAGGTGTTTAGGGTTGAGTGTTTAGGCTTTAGGGGTTTAGGGTTAGGAGTTAAGGGGACCTGGTCCCCAACCCTGGCCTCAGGTGCCTGTGTCGCTGCCCGTGGGATCCTTGCCAAATGCCAAGGCTAAAGAGGCTGCCGGCTTCTTTGAGATCTTAGGGGTGTTGTGGCTTTAGGGTTTGGTGGTTAGGTTTTGATGGGGCCAATTCTCGGAAGAGGGATTTAGGGTGTGCCGTCGCCGTAGAGTTGTAAGGGAACCGTCAGGGGATCCTTTTCGCATTTATTCCGACCTGTGTACTCCGCAAACTATTGTGGAGCTTGGGCGTGTGTTGATCAGTTTCCTTTCAACTCAGGGCTGGTGGCCTCTGAGACTTCAGAGTTGGCCTTCGGACTTCAGGCTTAGGTTTCAAGACACAGCCTACAAAAAAAGGAGTTAGTTATGACTGCAAACATGTGTATGCATGTATGTATGTACGTATGTCTGTGTGTATGGATGGATGGATGGATGGATGGATGGATGGATATGTGTGGATATGTGTGGATATGTGTGGGTATGTGTGTCTGTCTATGTCTATGTCTGTATACAGACAGACAGTCAGACACTCAGACACTCAGGCAGACACCCAGACAAACCCCCAAGCCCTAAACCGCAACCCCCGCCCTCCCCAAACCCTTAAGCCCCCAGACCCTTAAACTCCTCTTAGAGGTTCATGGTACTTAGTAATTAGGGTTATAAATAAGGTAACTATTCTATCCCCAGTTAGGGTACCTATAACTGCACTTACTAGGTCCCATGAACCTCCAAGCTGAAACCACGAAGCACTTGGCCCCCAGGAGCCGGAGGAGCTTCCAAGCTGGTGGCCGAAGGCAGGTTCCACCACGGGGCTTCTTTTGCCAAACACGGGTGTTTATGCATACGCACACGTACACACAATGAATGTCTATGTCTTTGTATACATATATCATATATCTACATGTACATATATATATATATACACACATACACACATGTGTGTGTACATATATATATATATATATATATATGTATGCAGATATGTAGGTAGGTATGTATGTATGTATGTATAGTGGGTTATGCATATGCATCTATATATATATATATATATATATGCATACGCATGCATGTGTATTTGCATGTTTATGTATCTATGCATAGTTGTTTTTTTTCTAGTTTGTGTGTTCGTTCATTTGTTTATTTGTATATGTACATGCATACATACCTACATACATACATACATACATACATACATGGTTACATATATATGTATACATACATATATATATATATATATATATTATATTATATACAGATTGCAAAGAAAAAGCTCAGGTTGTAATGCAGCTATTTCTGGCGAGTCGAGGGTGTAGAGCTTTGGAAAGGCAAGGGTGGCATCTAGGGTTCAGACGTTCAGAGATGCCGGATTCTCTGACATTCGCTGGACTGCATGTTGGGTCAGCCTTTACATGTGTATACATACACTGATGTATGCATGTATGTATACAAATAGAGAGACAGATCGATTGGCAGATAGCCCGGCTCAGTAGTTCCTGACTGACCGTTACCGCTCACACAACGTGCTTCTGCGCATACCGAGCCTTTTAGGTTTGTGGCTGGGCCTCGAACATCCTACAACCTAAATCCTAGATTCCTGAACTCTGACTTCGCGGGGCAAGCCCCACAGCAAAATCAGATCGTACTAGTACCTGATTATGTCATGCTTCATTTTACCATATTGTATTTTATCATGCTATACTGGGTTCTCTGATACTGCACTTCATTTTTATACTGTGTTTAGCGTCGTCAGAATGATTCTCATTGCTGCTACGACTAAGCATATCCGTTATGATCATACTAAAGAAAATACTAATACTACCAGACTTCATGACAGTGGAGATGAACCTTACTTGGGCCCTACGAAGCCGGCCTTCTCAGGGTTCTTTCTCGCGATTTGCTTTTCCACGGCCTTGGCGGGTAGGTTGTTTGGGGATATGGTAAAAACAAAACGCCCTTGGAGCTTCTTGACATGGGAGCATCAAGCCGGCCTTTCAATTATGTTACCTAACCTGTTCCAACTGCCACGGAGCCGCACTGACAGACACGTTACACCCTATTCCCCAGAACCCCAAACTCAAAAAACACCCACAACCGAGCCCAAGCTTCCTGAAGGGGAGCTGACCTGGTGTTCGGTGCCCGCTGCCTTGCACTGCCCTTTGCTAGTCCGTGTGGTTGCTGGATGTTGGAACTCGGAGAGAAGTTTGACCGCGTTGAGTGCGAAAGAGAGAACAGCTTGTTCTAGCGGGTCCTATAGAGCTACTGGATCACAGGGTGGGATTCAGGCTCGTGTTTGGCAGGGTCAAGGGCTCTACACAAACACAGGTGGGAAGTGTAGTGATCCTGCTGGATTGGCAATGCCTGCAAGAGGCCTGCTGAGTTTCACTACATGATCCGTGTTCATATAAGATTACCAATACTATCATGATAGTAGAAGATATTCACAGGTGAAGGCCTCAATTTATTTCTTGAAGCTGACAGCCAACTGGTCGCAGGCGTCACTGTAAACACACAGGGTTTCATAGAGGCGCCTACAGGCGCCTGAATGATTGAAGTAGTGCCTCGGGGCATATCATGCGTACATATGCTTATGTAGATAATGTACAGAGAGAGAGAGAGAGAGAGAGAGAGAGAGAGAGAGAGAGAGAGAGAGAGAGAGAGAGAGAGAGAGAGAGAGAGAGAGAGAGAGAGAGAGAGAGAGAGAGAGAGAGAGAGAGAGAGAGAGAGAGAGAGAGCGAGAGACAGAGAGACAGAGAGACAGAGGGTGCAAGTAGCCGCCTGCACGGTATTGGGGTTCACTGATTTCCCTCACCTTAGTCTCAGTCTTTCTTCCCGCTCTTCAGCCTCCTTGACGCAGTGGACAGGGAATCTACCCTAAACTCTAAACTTCAAAGCCTTATAAACCCTACATCCTAAACCCTGCAAACCCTATGCAGCTATAAACCGACCTACGCAACAACTCCTGGCAGCCATTGCGGCCCCTTGGGAGTCTAGAAGCTTCCGTCGGCCGCCTGAGCTAGCGATGGCTCAACACGAGCCTGGACCAAAATAGGGTGTAGGGTTTAGGGCACAAAGCAGGTGAAGAGAAGTTGGTTGTGGGGTTTGGGGGTGTGGGGGCTCAGGAGCTTAGTTTAGGCGATAACGTAGGGGCTTAAACCTTAAACAGCTAGAGTTTTAACAGGTTTTGGAGGTATATTCTACTATAATGATAATAAGGAACCCCCCCAAAACCCTATCAGAATCATTAAGGCCACTATACTATAGTACTCTTGTAGCCCTTACAGTATAGACCCCTCGAAAGGAACCCTATTCTGGTTGTTAAGGCCTTAACATTAGGAGTGTAGGTTCTGGGAAGGTTTAGTGTTCAGGTCACCTCTCCCGGGGCGTTGGAGCTCAAAGGCTCCAGAGCTTGAAAGCTCGATAAGATTCTTATATGAGTTATGTAGTATAATACATATGTATGTATATATATATACTATGATATAAGACTTTGACTATCAGATATACTATATCTCGTATACAGCATATTAGGGTGTAAGGTTTAGGCTTCACGTAATTATCCAAGGTTTTAAGTTTTAAGTGTTGGCGTTCAGGCTTCGAAAGTCTCCATGCTGCAGACATTTCACGCTCTTCACGTTGTCTTGCCTTGAAACTCTTAAGACTAAGGATGAGTTCAGGTTGAGACCTTGAGACTAGAAGTTCGAGCCCGCCTTCAGACTCCATGGGACCTCAATCAGTGTCCTGCATAAAGGCCAGCAGCATCCATCCTCAACAGTTTGGGTAACTAGTTGCTCTTGAGGAAGCAGATAACATGGACGATGTGCATCCGCTCCTCGTGAGAGAGGAGGACTTTGCTCCGGTTCACGGGTGCTGAGAACGCAAACCATACGTACGCCATAGATCAGAAGCCTGGACCATTCCCCGTAATCAGTGTAAACATGAGGCATCCCTTGATGCTTCGCCATAGAGTGTGCAGATATTGCGCAACAATATGTATGTATGTGTGCGTGTACGTATGTCTACATACATAGGTATATATACACACATAGACGACATAGATTTATACGCAAGCGCAGAAGCATGCATATGTATGTATGTGTGCATATATACGTGTGTATATATATGTATATATATATATATATATATACATACGTATACATATAGGTATAGGTGTGTATGTATGTGTTGGTGTATGTGCATGTATATATGTACACCTCTGTTTGTAACATTGTATGTACACGTAGGCAGGCAGGTAGGTATGTAGGTATGTATGTACGGTATGCAGCTTCTTACAGAATTATGTATGCATGTACGTACGTATGCATGGATATACGTATTTGTACGTATGTATGTATGTGTGTATGTAGGTAGCTATAGGTGTTTATGCACATGCATATACATATACATATGCACATCCATATCCGCGTCTTATAAACCACTGTGATTATTCTAGCGCTATGGTCTTGTAAAGCATAAACAACTTGCTTCGCGAGGCCCCCGGTTCGCACCCAGTTCCTGACACCATGGAAGACGGAGTACCGTGGCTTCCGAAAGCGGAGCAACTCTGGGTCTCGTTCCGTGTGACTCTTGCCTTGCTACAAGCTTGGCATGCACGGCTGGCGGAGTGGTCCAAGTTTTTTGGCTGCACTACAATGCTACACTTGCCGAAGCAGCAAGAGCCGACCTTTGGAATTCTCTAAGGACTCCGAAGTCCTCGCGCACGATCTGGGAGCAGCAGGAATTCCTAAAGGAATGCATTCAGGCACGAGTCGTGTTTTTTTTGGCTCTTACTGTTCGACGTACTTTTTTCCATGAGGCCCGCTGGAAGGAAAGCACTAACCATGCTCCCGGCATTCCTTCGGATTGGCTGGGTCGCCAGCTTCTTGCGGTAACTCCTGAAATCTTCGACGAGGCAGGTAACACAGAGACCCAAGCCCTGAAGTAAGTGTCTTTATTAATAAATACGTGTCCTTGAGGCTTTGGGGCATGTGCCCAATAAGGAGAACGATCTTCATTCCAACATTGGCAAAGCCATCGAGCGTTTGGAAGGCATTGTCTTCGGTGCCATCTTAACGTCTGCAGAATCTCGGATGCTTCATTGCAGGTCGCTACACGCCGCCGTGCCGTGAGCTGTCTGATGTCTCTCCTCAAGAGAGACTTTCGGGCAAAGTCGTGAGGATCGATGCTTTAAAAGCAGGAAAGTTGGTCCGCTTGGAGTACACTCTAGGCGGGCCAACTCTACTCATCAGTGCCTTTGCCCGGATGGAGGAACTCCATCCCATCGGTGCCATCCGGCACTTTTCGGTCGGCTGGCGCTGGGACTACCAGGACCGGTGCTACAGCCCCACCTTAGCGAGGGCTAAGGTGTTTTTCCGGAGACGAAAAAAACGGCATCTCAGTTGCTGGTGAGATAGCAAAGCCGCTGTACTATGCATAGCAGATTTCATATATGCCGGACAAAATATGTGGACACACGGCACAAACCGCAGTCTTGCAATACTCATGTATTTTTCTAGCACACTCCGCTTGCAGTCACACGTTTCGGATGATGGAAAAGTGCCTGGCAGACTGCGGGCCCTGCAATGTCCTACAACATACTTGTCCCTGCAAGCAAGGGTCATGAAACCTGAGCTCTGAGAGAGAATGTGACTTTCCTTATACGTTTTCGTCACTTTTACGTTACATGTGGTAGTTTCATATATGTGGTAAGAGGCTTTTAGCAATTTTGCAGCTTCCTATGGAATAGCCATATAGACTGTTAAAGTTTTGGGGTATTCAAGAGTTTTATATGAAAATCTTTGGAAGAGATTGAAAACTCCATACAACTGCTGGTTGAAAATCTTTTTAAATGTGAAGGCTCGAAACATTGAACAGCAACTTCCTATGGAATAGATTGTTAAAGGTTTGAAGTATTCAATCGTTCTATATGAGAATCTTTGGAAGAGATTGAAAACTCCATACAACTGCTGGTTTAAAATCTTTGTAAGTCTGAAGGCTTGAAACACTCAATCGCAACGTCCTATGGAGTAGCCATATAGATTGTTAAAGTTTTGGAGTATTCAATCGTTTTATATGAAAATCTTGGGAAGAGATTGAAAACTCCATACAACTGCTGGTTGAAAATTTTTTAAGTGTGAAAGCTCGAAACATTGAACAGCAACTTCCTATGGAGGAGCATGGAGGAGCCATATAGATTGTTAAAGTTTTGGAGTATTCAATAGTTTCATGTGAATATCGTGGCAAGAGATTGAAAACTCCATACAACTGCTGTTTGAAAATCTATTTAAGTCTGAAGGCTCGAAACCATGACGTACAAAATCGTATTGTTGTAGCTACTAACTGCTAAATGTGTATGGCAGAAGGTGGGTGTGCAACTCTTGAGTTGTACGCCTGCGGTCGGTCGTAGGACGCGGTGGTGTTTAGGGACCTGTCGGAGCTGTGCTTGCGAAGCGACAGACAACTGCAACTGAACGTTTGCGAGGGTCGCTTGCAAGACCGTTTGCTGCGCTTCACAATTCCGCAGGATTTATTTTGTGTTATTTTTTCAACAAATTACTTAAAATATCTGTGTATATGCATTATATTTGATACACAGAGCAAAGCTCTACGCCAAACGAATCTTCATTAGTAGTCATAGTAGTAGTAGTAGTAGTAGTAGTAGTAGCAGTAGTAGTAGCAGGAGTAGTAGTAGTAGTAGCAGTAGTAGTAGTAATAGTAGTAGCCGTGTCGTCGTAGTAGTCGTAGTAGTAGCAGTAGCAGCAGTCGTCGTCGTCGTTGTTATTGTCTTAGTAGTCGTTGTAGTAGCTGCAGTAGCTGTCCTCGTAAACGTCGTTGTCCGAGTAGTAGTAGAAGAAGTAATACTTTTACTTGACAGACTTCCAACACCTTGCGCACGCATGAACTTCAAATAATGTATATGGATACTCCGGAGTTAACTACTAAGCTATTCGGCGCATGGCTTGTGCAATATCTTCCCATAAGGTCAGCTCAAGTGTTCTTCGTTGTGATGATCCGAAAGCTACTTCCATTGCTGCCATCGCAAGCACTGCAGGGCCGACAGGTACTTTTAGACCTCGTCCTTGTCGGACATAGTCACGGAGCGCAGAGCCTTGAGTCTGCTGGCT